GAATGCCAATGATAAATTTGCGAGGATCGAGGATATTATCCAGGCAAAGGAGGATTCGATGAAGTCCCCGATGAAGAAAAGGAGGAAGACGCGACAGAACAGCCACGCAGTCGAGGAGGCCGAGGAGATAATTGTGTGTAGTTTAGAGACTATTCGCCGGGCCGAAGAGGAGTAGAACCATCAGATTTGTGTGTAGATTGCTTGCAAATTGGATGAGCTAGATGTCTTTTATTATGGTGGTGATGGTGGTGCCAAAATTCCATTGTGGGGTCGATTCCGCTGTTGGGTCCACACGTCTAATAGACAGTTAACTCCTACTTAATTAGCCAATCCCAAATTTCCACGTGCTTCCCGGAGAATTTCCCAATGAGACAGAGTTAGCCTCCTGCTGGCCGTTGTCAAATTGGTTGAGAAGATACGGTAGAGGGGTTGAGGTGGAGGCATGGAAGGAAAGTAGTTCGTGCTTTGGTTCGCCTTCGCAATTGGCCGTTGCAGGCACCACAAACCAAAATGGAAGGCGGCCCGGCTGAGTGGATACGATGCCCCACCTCAGCCCGGACGATTGGGACGACGTTTCTGTGCCTTCTCATTTGGCGGCCCAGAAGCCACATGCGAATGCCCTATTCACTGCTGCTCGGTCGCCCACAGGAACTGATGGAATATTTCCTCCGTAGATAGCCTATTTACCTAGCCTGGCATATCGAGCGAGTACTTCGGAAACATGAGGCTGCACGAGAACCAGTCCATACATACTAGTACTCTGTACTGTACTTGTAGAGGCACATCGCTCCGAAACTAAATCCGCCGTCTCGCAGACCGCGAAGATCGTAGCGACGACGTAGCGCAACAAGCTGCATCGGAAGCACCGGTGCTCACCCAATCCAGCGGGACGCCGTGCCAAGGGGAACCCGATGCAACCCAGACTGTTGGGACCAGAGGGGTTCTCACCGCCATCTGCACCCTGCGGCCAACCAGGGTTGCGTGCCGAGAGTGGAGGCAGCAAGCAGAACGACTGTACGGAGTTAGTGTGAACGTCTGAGCTTTTGTCTGCTCGACAACCCTCATCAAAAGCAGGAATGTTCAATTTGTTTGCGGTTTTGCGACAGGTAGATGCTTATGCAGAGTTTACCGAGTTGCTAGCGGTTTGAGTTTACAACTCTCAGGTCTCGAGTAAACATGTCATTATCTCGGGGCCGGTGGACCCTTGCGAGACGGAACCGAGCGCCCCACTAATGATCCAGCACCCGCATTCTCCTCCCGCTCTGCTGCAACATCGCTAATGTGTTATCTGGTAACGGAGGCGAGCCAGACTGGTGGGACCCCGAGGAAACATTTCGCCAATACCCAGCAATAACCACGCCGCACCCAAATTCTCCCTCTTCCAATGATATTTTTCCTGCTCTTGTCCCGCGCCACCCGTTACCGGATCCCCGGGATCGAGCACCAGTCAGCCTTCTTCACTTTAGTCTGCCAGGTCTGCCCAATCCCCGCTGCACGCCACGTAGTTGCAGCCGCGTGAGAAGATTTCGACGGCCCCGTCCGTCTCCCAGTAGTATCCGACCCCTTAAATAACCGCTCCGGTCGAGACATCCACCATGGACTCAAACGACATGTTTCCTCGACCTCGATCTCGATCTCAATCAGGGCCAGAACCAGAGTTGGCCACCCGCCCCTCAACCAGCTCAACTCAGATTGCCGTAGACATGGATTCAGATTGCGAAGAGGACCTCTACGCCATCGCCGAGGCCATGAGACAAGCCATGATGCGGGGTACCAGTAGGAGCGGGAGCAAAGTCAAAGCAGCAGCAGCAGCCACGGCCGCCGCGCCACCACCACCCCCGTCAGCATCCGCATCCAGCCCGGCCCAAACAAGGCGGACCAGCACCGCACAAAGCAGCAGCACCACCTTTTCCTCCCCATCGTCCTCTGCAGCCAACAGTCCTCACCAAATCAACGTTCCCACAATCACCGACGGAAGAGACCCAGAACCTGGGCCGAGGGGCGGCACCTTCGCCTTCGACGACGACATGGCCCGCTACCCGGCCTCCATGACCAGCTCGGTGCGCGACCACGTGTACGAGGGCGGCTTGCGCTACCACGCCTACCACGCGGGCAAGTACGCCTTCCCCAACGACGAGGTTGAGCAGAACCGCGACGACATGAAGCACACCATGACCCTGATGCTGTGCCGGGGTGCCTACTTCTATGCACCTGTCGACGAGGTGTTGGAGGAAGGGGGAGAGGTCTTGGACTTGGGTGAGTCCTCGCGTCACGTGTCTTTCTCTGGATTTGAGAAAAGGATGGGTGTTGAGGCGAGCAGGAGAAGAGTGGGGACTGGATCGTGTGGTGGCGAGGGGGTTGTGAAGGGTCAAGGGGAAGGTGAACTCGGAGCAGGTCAGAGGGGAAAGGTGTTGAAAGAGTACTGATGTTGCACATGGACCGCGGCTGACTTTGACTGCGCACGACAGGGACGGGGACGGGCATATGGGCTATGGAGCGTAAGTGGCTTGACTACTTCTCCCTATCGGCAACTTCCAGGACCTGAGGGCATCCGTCTCGGGACGGCTTGAGCTGTTACACTTGTCTCACATGCTGTGTGTCTGTATGCGGCCTTTGTGTGTCTGCTCATTGGGCGGCAAATCCTGTGGAGCTTGAGACCGGGCGAGATCTGCAGGGCCTGCACTGTCCGTCCGTGGACATGACGGGGCCTTGGCAGCCGGCGATGGTGTTTGAGTTTACCCCACGGAGGGAAGGAAGCTGACCATCCCAGTGGGCGACAGGTATCCCAACAGCACAATAACCGGCATCGACCTCTCACCAATCCAACCAACGTTCGTTCCTGAGAATGTCCATTTCTTTGTTGACGACTTCGACGAAGAATGGGTCGACCCCGAAAACAAATACGACTTCATCCACCTCCGCCACACCCTGCACTCGGTCAAAAACCGCCAAACCCTCCTTCGCCGAGTTCTTCAGTACGAAACCTAGTTCTTCATTCCCCATCACCTTCCACCTTTCTCCCCTCCATCCCTTCACTAACCCTCCCAACCCAGCCACCTCAAACCAAACGGCTACTTCGAAGCCCAAGAAATAGCTTTCACCCCCCGATGCGACGACGACACTCTCACCCTGCAAACCCCCTACGCCCTGCGCGATTACGTCAACTACATGGCCGCGGGCATGCGCGCGTTGGGGTCCGAGGCGCACGCCATCCTCACGTTGCCCGACGACATGCGCGCGGCCGGGTTCGACGACGTGCGGCTGACGACGCACAAGTGCCCTTTGGGCACCTGGCCGCGCGACAAGCGGCTGCGCTTCTGCGGGCTGTTTCTGCGGACCGTCATCATGGACGGGCTGCGGGGGCTCAGTCGGCGGCCGCTGATGGCGCTGGGTTGGACGGAGTTGCAGATCGAGATGTTTCTTGTCGATGTGCGCAAGGCGCTTATGGACAACGGGGTGCATGCGTACATGACGCTGCATGTGGTGCATGGGAGGAAGCCTGCGAGTTGAGTGTGAATAATGCGGGCAGCGTCCCTTGCATGGGGCGTCTACCAATGCGATTGGGTAGGGTGCATGGGTGAATTTGCATGCAGACTGCTGAGCCTGCTACGAGCTCGTCTAGCTTTGCCACTAGGAGAGGCAGAGGAGGGTTTCTCGGTTGATCCTGCGTGAGACGGTGTCAGCTACCGGCCGGACGACAAGGGCCGACCGAGCGTTGCATAGCGAGGAGGGGGGTTGCCACACCTTAACCACTACACACCACAGTGCAGGCAACAGCTGGCACAGTATCGCCTTCAGGGCACGCGATACGTCCGGAAAGAAGCAGCGTAGGCCGAGTTATGTGCCCTCATTCGCCTTGAGTCCTGAAGGGATCTCAGCAACGATACATCATCCACCCATACCCGGTCGCAGACGCAGACACGGCCGGAGAAAGCTGGGCTTACGGTGAAACCCGCCGGGCAAGTTGAACTGACGGCAATGACATCTGGGATTGCGGGAAATTCACAGGTATGACTGACATGACTCGCAACATTTCTAATGCTCGATCAACTCCTGGGATAAGGACGCATGGTGTTGCTACTTCGATACCTGCATTTGCATCGGCAGCATCCGAGGGGCAACAGGGATATAAAGGGGTGTTGGGCGTGGATCGGAATCGGTGGCTTCGTCTTGGACCTTGGTTGAACGTCGGCATTAGGGATCTTGAATTAGGAGGACGAATATTAGCGGACTCCTGACGGCAGCCCTGGGTGATGAATGATGGGTATCGGCTAAAACTCATTATTGCATGGACAGCAACAGACATAACAAGTCTGTCGGGCAAGCCGGTTCGAGCGTCGTCTGAGCAACTAAGAATGTGACTCGTGTTGGGAGGCTGGGCTGCCCGGACGCCCTGAAAGAGTTGTTGGTGGATGGTGCCGCAGCCAAAATGGAAGAGATCAGCTTGTTGATCTCGCCAGCGGGTGGACGTCTGGTTGAGCAGCCTTTGCCACCTAGGCTAGGTGGCAGTCGGCCGGCACCCGACCAGAAGCATAATACAATCAACGCTCAATCCCACACTCAGTTCCAAGTCGCTGCCTACGTTACCGCGGAGGTTCATTGTTAGTGAGACGAGTTCCTAACTCCTCCGGTGTTCTGCTTGAGCAGGGGTTGTTGAGGACAATGGTCTCTTCCAAAGAACCGGTCAGCGACAAGCCGTCAGGTATCAGGCATGGCTCACTTACGCAACAGCTGCACCTCTAGAGTACAATGGCTCACTTACGCAACAGCTGCACCTTCAGAGAACAAAACGGAGGCAAACCATAGCTTGATATCTGCTAGACCGCTCGTAAAGGCACGCACCGCCAACCGTCCGCACCTCGCCCTAAACACTTGTCTTCTTCCAGTGCACCTTGACGCTGCCCCAGCTGTGCTCCGAGTACGCCTCCTGCACCTTCTGGCACGTCTTCAGGCCCCAGTCCGTCACGCCCACCATCAGACAGCTCTCAAACATGAAGGCGCAGCTGCCCTCACCCACCTTGGCCGGCTTCAGCTCGGCGTTCCTAGCACCCTCGTAGCTCTCGGCATCCGGCCCGTGCCCGCTCATGACATTATGCAGGCTGGCGCCGCCGGGCACAAACCCGCCCTTGCCGCCCTTCTTGGCGTCGTACCCGCCCTGGATCAGACCCATGAACTCGCTCATGGTGTTGCGGTGGTACCATGGCGGGCGGAAGGTATCCTCGCCGACCAACCACCGCGGCGGGAAGATGACAAAGTCGGCGATGGAGGTGCCGGGGTGGTCGGACGGCGCCGACAGCACCGTGAAGATGCTCGGGTCCGGGTGGTCGAACGAGATGGTGCCTATGGTGTTGAACCTTCCCAGATCGTACTTGTACGGGTAGTAATTCCCGTGCCACGCCACCACATCAAACGGCGTGTGCCTCTGCACCGTCCGATGCAGCACATTATTGAACTTGCCCGTAACCGCATACTCGTTCACCCCATCAAACGCCGTTTCCCCGCAATCCTCATCAAAGCTCGCCACGGGCGCCTGGAAATCCCGTGCGTTCGCCAGCCCATTCGACCCGATCGGCCCCAGCTCAGGCAGCACGAACCGGCCCTGGAACAACTCCAGCGCGTACCCCCTCGCCGGCCCCGCCGGCAGCCGCACCTGGTACCGCACGCCGCGCGGGATCACGCAGATCTCCATCGGCCGCACCAGCAACCAGCCCATCTCGGTCTTGATATCCAGCACGCCCTCCTGCGGCACGACCAGCAAGTCCCCGTCGGCCGAGTAAAAGGCGCTCCTCTCGTCCATCGACCGGCCCGCGGCATACACGTACATGGCACACCCCTGCTTGAGCGTGGGATCCCCCGCGCCCGCGACCATGTGCAGCCCGGACACGAAGTCGGTGTCCTCTTCGTGGTCGAAAGGATCCCAGCGCAGCTGGTTGGGGATGTGGTGCAGCTTTCTGAGCGGGTGCTCTGCGCCTCCGCGGCCGAGGGACTCGTTGGGGGCCGAGACCTCGGCGAAGGGTGGGTGGGCGCAGGCGGGGAGGATGCGGTACAGCCAGGACTGCTTGTTCTCGTGGCGCGGAGCGGTAAAGGCAGTGCCCGACAGCTTTTCGGCGTAGAGACCTAGGGGCGGCTTCTGTGGGGAGTTGTGGCCGACGGGGAGGGCGCCGGGGACGGCTTCGGATCTGTTTTGTTGCGGCGGTGGTTAGCTAGCGAAGGAGGTGAGGCAGCGGCAAAGGAAGCGAGGGCGTACTCGAAATAGGAATCAAAGCCATTCCGGTATTGGTACTTCTCCTTGAACTCAAAGTTTGTGACGGGCATCTCGACGGTAGCTCGAGCGCGAAACCGACAGCTGACTCTGTGGAACGGGGTGGGTGATGTTAGGTTGGGGACCTAAGTAGCAATCGAGGAATTGGAGAAGCAAAGAGCAGTAGTGTTAAATCCATTCTTGAGATGCGGTACCCCGGCTCCAGAGGGCCACACATCTTCAAATCACTGCGTGGTCAAGTTTGGTGCCGTCATCTTGCTCTGTCTCTCCAATTCCGCACGCGACGATTCGGTTGGGGCCGCACCAGGGCCGAGGCTAGCCGCCGGTAGGCGCCCCACTACCTGCAAAGTTGCCAGCGTTCCACCACTCTCTACTTGCCAAGGAACGACAATGGACATCGAAATTCGTTTACTGCGGTAGGGTGCCGGGACCAAGGTATGCCGCGACGGTTTCAGTATCGCATATCAAGATTCGGTATGACCTTTGAGATCGTGAGATGTGCGAATCGGCTGTCTGAGGTCGGTTCGTCCAATCCTGGCCCCTCACCTTCATTACCCTGTACGGCGCCTGCCGGACGCAAATGAGCCGGCATATCTGATGTACAGTACCTTGAGCATTTAGACAAGCAAGAACTCAAACACAAAGCTCACTGCACACTCATGTTCGACCGGAGATACAATACATTCATTGACGAGTGGAGTACAGAAACTGCCTTCAGACCTCGCCCGCTGGGTGGGCTCCTGGCCCTGGTAACGCTGCCGGCCTACTGGGCTCTCAAAAGGAATAAAATCCGTTCCCGTCCGGTACGCTCAACCATAAGATACCATCCTACCGCATTTTGACTTAGACCCCCCAGAAGAAGCCAAACGCCGAAGCGGCAGGAATGTCAGGCGTGAGTCGATCACTACTCCTCAGCAGCCTTGTTCTTCTTCTTCTTACTTGACGATGCTTGCACGCCGGCATCCTTCCGCAGGTGCACAATCAGGCGAGTCCACGACTCTTCCTTGTCCCACTCAAAGCCTGCCAGGTATGGCAGGTCAAGCTCGTCATCGGCCTGCGCATGTCATGTCAGCAATTTGGCGGAGCTTGGGCTGGCGACAATGGCAAGCACCCACCCTTTTCTTGAAAGACTTGTGGATGGCATCTAATGCGTCCTTGATGGTGACACCCTTGAGGTTCCGCGCTGTTACCTCCAACCCCAAAGGGAAGTGCAGGTCAATCTTCTTGACGGGTGGCGTTGTGAGCATCTTCTTAAGGATCTCTTTATCCTCTACTGTCGAAGGCGACGTGTTTATCTTCCTGCGAGGGTTGTCAGAACGGTACCCGAGTACCAAGACTTGGATCAGACCTACCACCCCGTCGCTTGTGTCTCCTTGGCAATCTGCAGCTCAATTCCCTGAGCCTCTGCACATGGAGACTCTTGGTCAGCATTTCTCAAGTCGCCGGAGGGAACTCTGCCTTGCAAGCCAAGATAAGACGGTACCTACCCAGGTCATTGATGTTCATGACGCCATTGGCACTCGAGCTCGCCCTACGATGCTTGGTCTGCTTGCCCTCCGTGGGAGCGGTATCAATGCCTTGGACGGCAGAGTCGACCTTGGTGAGTGGCTCGGACATGTTGGATGGTTTGACTTGCTGAAGCTGTTTGGATTAGCTGTCGACAAGTCTCTGCAGACAGACCCGAGTGAGCAGTCCGCTCGAAGGGCAGGGGAGAGAAAGCAAGAAAAGGCAATTGATGCTATCTTCGTACCTTTGGAGACTTAAGATAGTAGAAGTTGAACGGTGGTTGCTGTACGGCTGGTGTGCGATGTCGGTGGGCAAAGAGAGAGGTGAGGTGAGGAGAGGAGGAGCTGAGAGGGGGTGGCGAGTGTTTTAGCTCAGGCCATTGTGTGGGAAGATCGTCCTTTCCTGCTGCAGCGTTCCTGCCTGGCACAGCTTCGTCAACGGGCGGGGTAATTGTCAGGACGCCGATGATCACGTTGGCTGGCTTACGGGATCGCGTGACGAGTACATCACGATGGAACGACATCGCAGGCAGCCCCTGCCCGGCTCACACGGTTAAAGGTACCTGGCCCGAGCGCCTTGCAGGGCGCTAACAGCCCAGGGCAGAAGAATCTGGGGTAAAACTGGGGTACCAGGATCCAGACCCACCCTGCCTCAACCAGCACCTGTGCCTTACCATTGACTGCAGAAGATTCTCGAGTGATCACAGTGCTGTGAATCTGCAAAAGGTAAAGTTGTACACTTTTTCTCTTGTTTGAGGAGAATCTTGAGGATTTGCAACCAGTGCTACTATCGGCAGGAACATCGAGTGACAAACATCAAAAGCTGCCGTTCCTGCACGCTGGTGGGGCAAAGTGGGGTATCCTGCTCAGTGACACCATCTCGTGTGAGACCCTTGTCGAGCAGAACGACCAGCGATCAAAGAGCTGTCGAGGTTCGAGTTCAAGGCATTGGAGGAACGAAGTTGATCAAAGTCATCGCGTACTGATTACGAAGAAGCACCTATGGTGGTGGCTGGCGTTGTCAATATCCGTTGCCATGCCTTGGTCTGCGCAGCCTGTCCGACTGTTAATTTCCTGATGCAGAGCGTAACGGCTGTGTCACTGAAACGCAGAAGCGGGGAAGCTTCACTGCCCCTATCAACCGAGCCTTTTGAGACGGAGACCCGAGATAAACCAAGCTTTTCCCAGCTGGGCTCCTTCCATGACCCCGCCTTGACCACTCCTGAGCTCCGCTGGATTCCCGGTTGACTCGCGGATGGACGTGCACTGTCAAAGAGAAACATGGTAACCTCCTGCTCAATGAGACATTGTCGGTATGGCTACTATTTAGTATCGGTTTTCCATCAATTTCACTTACATCAGGGCCCTCAGGCGCCTTTATTGATTTCAATAATGAGACTCAGCCTACACCACACCTTCTTGAGCAGGACATCGTGGGCAAAAGCGATGGCTGGTATCAGTCAGTAACACCTCTCGACAATCGTGGCCGTTTTGAGAACCCCTCATATCATGGCCATTTCTAAATCGCTGGACAGGTTCTGCCCGAGATCCCCTGCCCGAAACCTTCAACGTTCTCCCACTGACTGATGAATGCTACATGACAATACCCGAGCAGTGGAACACTCAGAATTGATGTCCTGAACTTGAGAATTGTCAATCACAGAGGGCAGAGGTCTGAGCCTGGTGGGCTTCGATGATAACTCCGTGCAAGACATCACTTACAACTGCATGTATCCTGATCCGGCTGATCCGACTTGGAGTCGATAATCCAACTAAGCTTCATGTTAAACCCGGCAGTCAGTACACTTTGGCTCTCCTTTCATCCGGACTTGGCAGCCAGCGCCTTGGCCAGTCGCCTTGACCAATCTCGGCTTCCACAAAATTATGGGCTCTCAATGCATTATAGGTAACAACGGGTTTGCTCAGCGGCGTTAAGTTCGACGGCCGGTGAGGGGTGAAAACTCCAGGGCTTTCTATAGCCAACCACTTGCGCGAGAATAGGGCTAATTGATGAAGTTTTTGCCTCCAAATCCACCAAAGGCACATCTTCTCTGCACCCAATCGATCTCCAACTTTGGAGGTACTCTTGGCTGATTGTGTTGAAAGACTTGAGAATGTCAAAGCTCACTATCACTCCGGCGACATTCAGGTTCCCCGCCTACGACTTTCATCATTGACAGTAGGGTGTGTCGTTATCCATGGCCCGTTGACTTGGCCATGCCATTACAAGATGTTATTTCTGAAAAGCGTCGTTTGATGAGCAGCATCTGATGAGTAGTTCGAGGGTAATGGGAACAAAGTAGGGTTCGTGGGGCTGGGTGGTGATATCGGGAGGCCCCTGAATCGTTCAAGTTGAGTCCCAAGATTAAAATGAGAGTTGAGTCAAGGTCAATGCCGTGGAGGCTATCATGTTACTAATGATACTAGCGGTGGCACTGTGGCAGGAGGTAAAGTCTGGTAAACTGGTACAATACCTCCATCATGGCTGAAGGTGAGATTCCATTTTCTAGCACAGTGACAAGATTGAGCCTCATGATGGCGCTGGCCTTCCACAACTGCAAATGATGCACATTTGCATGAGATACGAGCCCTCAGCTAGTACCGTGAGGGCCGTTGGAAACAACATTTAGCCCAGACGGTCACTCTAACTGATTGTGAGTCCGCTAGTCTCGTCCCAAGGTAAAGCGGTTTACAAAGTCAGGTGCCCTTCAAGTTAATTAGCTAGCTCGGAGTGAAAGGGATTAGTACCGGAGATTCTGAGGTTTCGAAGCAGGTGAAGTATGTGGACCGCTGTTTTCATGGTTTCATATTCATGATCATTCGCACAGGTAGGTACCTAGACTTCCTAGCTCCGCACGCCAATTTCTTCAATTTGGAGGATAAGGTACTGCTGCTTACCTGTGGCCTTTCTTAACGCGACGAGCCCCTGTAGACTTCGTGCTCCGATACTTGGACTTCCGATCCCAGCACACGAGGCAAATATCACCGCCATCGAAAGCGACAAACCTGGACTCGAAGTGGCATCTTCTGTCAACCGTGTGCTATACTATTCAGAGCGAAAATTCAATGAAGTCAAACCAGCAAAGACGGAAATAGACGCCCATTCCATTCACGTGGGGCTCTTCGAAGATACCCGCCAAGCCCGCCTTTCCGCGCCGAAGGCGACCCTTTCCGATCGTCTGACACCCGCAAAGTTGTACCCCAAACTCAAACCACCCATATCGGGTAAATGGCCATGCTGGCCTCAACTGGATTGTCATACCAGCGAAATAAGCCCGGTGTCAGCAGAACCTTTACTCGGACATTTCCATAAAGGACCAATTCGTCCCGTTGCGGGGGCACGCGGCTACTCATCAGGTTCTTTTCTTTTCATCAGGTTCTTTGATCAATTCAATACCTTCCGAGTTTCTGGGGGCTATCTTGGCAGACTTCAACGTGTTCTTTTCCACCACTTCATTGATGTGTTTCTAGATTGAGCATTGACTTGCTCCTCAATGGCGGTGTGTCTATGCTGCCCTCCACCCACTTGAAGCTTCACCGCATTGAGGAATGGTGGATTTTGCACAGGGGTTTGAGTGAACCCAGCCACCCCGGTATTTGGCATCAATAACTTGGAGAATTCTTCAGGACTCCTAGGCAAACAAACATTATCGTGTCGTTCTCTGGCACAGCTCCAATATCTCGATTCCAACACCCAACTGTTTCATTCAAGATTTCGAAGAATAGGGGTCATTGACAGGGGGGACACCGTCGCCATCTATAGCGAGTACAAACGCCTCACCGCTGCCATCCTGAACCTCAGTCCCGACACGCAACGCCAACAACCTAACCTACTCTTCCAACGCTCCCACCAGTTACATCCTTCCTTTTCGACCCCATCCGATCTTTCGCCCAACCCTGACACAAGATCATCACCAACCTCCTGGAAAGTTGGAAGAACTCAGCTAGCCGTCACGCAACATGGTGATACTACCTCTATTAGACATCAACACCGCCAAATTTACCACCCTGCTCTCCCGACTCCCCATCCTCCTCCAGCAAGACGAAGACCAGCTTCTCAACGGCATCTGGATTGGCCTGCTCAGCGTCGAGGCGCTCATGGTGCTGGGCGTCATGGTGCGCGGGCTGTTCCGGGGGCTGGCGTCGTCGAAATGGTTCAGATCTGGGCTGGGCCAGCGGACGAGGCATAGCATGACGCATTCGGTGGATATGGGTGTGACTCGGAGGATGAGTGAGGTGTCAGAGGCGGGATATCACTGGCCGGACTGACATGAGCTTAGATGAGGAGCGGCATCAGTGGGCCTGGGTGTCTTGAGGTGCATTTCTGGGGTTCGGTTCTGAAAAAGGGTTTATGGAAGCCATGAACGATGTGTTATGAGAGACGGCTCAGGGGGTCATGAGTGATGGATTATGAAGGACGGCTCTTGAGTTGATGAGAAACGAATCAAGGAGACTGGAGTCGCAGGTGGCGGGTAATAAGCAACTCGGAAGAGTTGGAGAGGCCTGTCCGTTTTGGGTAACTGGATATTGAACAAAGCGTTCGTCTCAAGAATGACAAAGTCCAGCTAAAACTCACGGTATGGATACTCAAGATCCTGAAGGTCATCTAGCAGCCGTATTTGCGTGTCTTGCCAGACAACTTGGGAGAAGGAAACGTTCAGGTTACAGGGCAGGTAGCGTGCCCGAGACGGAACTGAAGACAGTATCGCGCTCTACATCGGATGCACATGTCTACCTAGGCATTTGCCTGCGAATGCCCCTTTCAATCAAATAGGGCCTTTTCCATACCGTGCCCTTACCGACATCAACATACCTCTCAACAATCTTAGCGTTGGTTATCACGGGTCTAGATCTAATGTGATTTCGTGCCTAAGTACCCTCCCTGTTGATCATGATTCAAATCAATCTGCTATGTCAGATATAAAAACGCTAAGAAGCCTGCGTCAGGCGCACAGGGAAGGTTGATTTCTAATCTACTTAGACGGCAGTGACCAAGCGACCAAGTCTTTTGGGGTGTGGTGCCCGCTGCCAACTGAGCTCTCTGAATCATCCTCGTCCCATATAAAGATGCGTCTCCCGCGACTAGCACCCGGGCCGTCCTCTCTACAAGACGCATCTGCTTTATGTTCCTGATTCTCATGTGTCGCCCCAGCACTCTTGATCACCTCCGAATTTCCTTCCCCATTCCTCGCACTTCTGAATCTATCCTGCGACCCAGTCCTAGCGTGCCAGTCTCTAATCTCGAACCGAAGCTTTATATATTGATCGGGTATGAGATCCCTAGCTGCCAGGGCATCCCACACCATGTTCGCTTGCAGCCTGCCGTACTCACAGGCCATATCGACGTCTACATACGGAGGTCAGCTCCCGAAGAATTTCGCTGGCACTTTTCGAAACCGCTCAAGGCTGTGTTGGTTGGGTAGCGAGGAACTTGAACTCACAGATCTCATCCCTTGCCTCCTTGAACTCATCCACCGTTTTCTCGACAGCGTGCTTGAACGACCGGAAATTCGCGGACAGTCCGCCGCCGGCACAATACGACGCCCAGAGCCGACGGATCGTCTCGTTGGCCTCGGACTCGAGCTCGTGCAGTTGCGTCCTTGTCCTCCCGCGGAGCATGTCGAAAAGCTCGGCCATGACGTCTGTGCCGATCGGGAGGAGCGTGGGGCTTGACAGGCCGGAAGGGGATGCCGGCCAGCTATTGATCTCTTCGTCACCAAGCGGTGTGTCGGCGCAGCTGGCGACAGGGGTTGTAGCACCGGTGGGAGAGGAGAACGTCATGATCGTTGGGGAAATGTAAGGTGTCTTGATCAAAACGGCTGGAAGGGAACAAGAGATTATCGTAGCACTGGTGATTGCTGTGCGCTGATAGAAAACGCAAGGGCGAACGAGCACCAGAGGTGGCATGAGCGGTATATAACTTCATGTCAAAGAGCGCGCACGGAGACTGGCGACCGGGCAGGCAGGGGGATCCAGTGACGAATATCAGCGAGCACGGTTGCTTCATCAGTCATCTCTTCGGATACTGCCTCCAGATGAGATACAATGACGTGGCAGGTTTCTTACAGGGGGTAAACACAAGGGGAGTTGTCGATGTCAAAGCCTTGGTGACCTGGCTCGCCTGGAACGGTCTATCGTCCACGCCTTCCTGAACCTGATCGTTTCATCTACGGAATAGCTTTGGTCGTCGGTGCTATCCCCGCCTTGCCCAACAACTGAGCACTTTACTTGCCGGCAACCTTACAGCCTACTACCGTACTGCAGATGGATTATTAGCATCTTTGATGAAGAAATGTCCTGCAGTACTCTGCGACGAACAATGCTTTGTGAAGCTAGGGAAGCCCGTTGCATTGCTGTTCTGATAGTGTCTTAGGCGTCATTGACTTGGCCGATCTGCTGCATTCTGGGCGGCATGTCCGTCGCGGACTGGGAACAGCAGTGTACCTTATATTGCCAGCCGACATGAAGGGCAAGCACATGTACCTGTAAATGGCAACATTTGCCAGCCAGGGCTTGAACAGTTGCCGGCGGGGCGGGGCTCCGAACAGCTTATCCACAATAGACTCGGAGTGTCGGCGGATCTAACTACCGATGCGTTTTTGTAATGTTGAGTCGAGGACGTTTCATCCCGGTCTTTCCTTGGCTCGCCAACTGCCCCCGACCTTTCAGCTCGATATTGCGGCCAGCAGATGCCGTGCGTAAGTGGACGTCTTATGTGCGTAAAAAGCCCGTCTGAGATGTTCATCAGATCTCGGGCCTTGCATATCAACTCCTTGATGTAAAAGCTTGGTCAAGCCAAACCCGCACTGTGGTGTCCATTCTGGAGTATTCGTAGAGGGCCATGACATCGTCGGAATCGGCAGACGTTGCTGTTCCATCACAAACAGGTCCCGGCCCGACGGCTGCAAGCCAAGATCGCTTCACTCTGCCCGGCTTGGTTAGAACACCGAGCAGTGGGGTAGCGTAGTATTTCCCGTCGGGCTGGGACTTGACGGTGGACGCTTGGATCAGTTAGGCTCGGACGAACGTGCAGTAGCGTAGCTCCAGGTGCGCATAGTTGGGCTGTCGGGGTTACTTTGCAGAGAATGAAGAGGAGCGCAAGCGACCGTCATGAAGTTCAGGAACGAGCGGGCCTTTGTACGAGCGCCACAGCCGAGAGTCGCCGATGTGGTACCGGAGATACGCCTGGCCGGTGTGAGACGCAGGATTGTTGTGCCGAGCTAGCGTGATGGTGTGAAGCAAAGCCTTGTTAGCGAAAGTTGACGTCTGCAAGGCCGGGCTTACTTGGAGCTTGGCATGGTTCAAGTGCGCAGGGAGTGAGAAGCCGTTGGAGGGAAAGGGGTAAATCCTTCGGGCCGTTTCCCAGCGTCTGACACCCTTTGAGGTTTCCAAACCATGAACCAACTCGATGTTGTCCTTTCGATGGAGAAATCGAAGCGAACTGCGAGAGCTTCTGGCGATAGAGGTGGGAACAGCCCAGATTCCGAGAACCATCTTGTCGGTAAGGTATGTCGAGCTTGCCGAAGGGGGGACCAGCCATGTCCGGAAGAATACGTAACTACTTCTGTCAGCATTCAAGGGCTCGGGCGATGCTGACAGTTGTATCAAGCCGACAAGACCCCTTCCCCGGGTCTCTCCCGCCGTGCATTGCATATCAGCAACAGACCAGCCATAAATTACCTCGTTGGCATCATCATCATCATCCGGGTAAGGAGATGTCATTCGAGGACACTGAAAGGTTGTCAACCGAGGTAATATCGAGGCTGGCGAAACTGGCATCATGCAAAAAAAGAGCTCCCTGGAACAGGAACAGAGAAGAGCAAAGCTCGCGAATTCAAGGCCCACTTCACCCCTCCTCCAAAATCCAGCCCCGGACTGGGGTCCCGAAACTAACGAGCGATTAGCCGCAGCATGCGGGTCATGCATGGATCGCTTCTCTGGCCCCTGAACGAGCTGGCTGAATGCGCGAGGAAAAGTACCACGATCAAGTGGGCGCTCTGTCGCTCGCCAGCGACAGTTATTGGCTGCCCACCAAGGCTCGCCTGGAAGCCAGTCAGATGTAGCGCAATAATGAGGGGTGGCTTCTACTGCGGTACAATGTGAGTGGGTGAACAATTCGAGGATTCCTGGTCCAGCCACGGGCGGCTCATTCCCGCATCCCCAAGAATCCGCCATTCATTGCCACGCGACAATAGCCGCTTCGGTGTCCTGCGGGTCTTTATCCTCGCGTGCCTCCCGTCCTCGTGGCTTCCCAGTCCACGTTCTTTGTGTGTCTCAGCCACTGGCAGATCTCCCAAAGAGGGCATCAACTGAAAGCTTGACGAGAAGCACGCTATTCATCAAGATCTCCTACACTTCCGTGCTGATCTCGCAGCCGTCTGTCGATCCTCTGAGAGTCGGTGGCCGAACCGAACCGAGATCACCAATTCTGAAGTTCTCTCCACGGCAAGGCGCCAGAAACAGCAGACATCCAGACATGGATCCGTATGCTCACGGTCCAGACGAGCTGGATGACATGGCGTAAGCTTCCTTGACTTCGTGGTTGGGGACCGCTCCCAGTGATCCTGGGCGCAGAGCGGTGCAGCAGCTAACATGGCGCCAGGGAGAAATTGAGCCGTCTGAGCTCGGGAACATCCAGCCTGTCGCGCCATGCGCCCGCACCCTCAGTGTCATCATCGGTCGATGAACGGTACGATGCGCGACGCAGAATCCCGTCAGGCGGTATGCCTGAATCGCCCAGGTTTCCGGGCCAGGACGACGTCTTCCGCATGCCCACTTACGACATGGGGCAGCGGCCCGGCTCGGGGTCGATGCAGCCTCCCGTCGTCCGCCAGTTTCACAGAAAAGATTCTTACACTTCGGAACGACGCCCGTCCAGGGGCTCGTCGGCTGGCTACAGTCTCTACCCTGCAGCCTCCAAGCCGCAGCCGACCAAGCCACTTCCGCCGATCCCGACGCTTGGCCGCCAGAGCTCGCGCCGCGCTTCATCGCAACTGTCGCTGGACGGCACGGATGTCGCATCTGGAGACACATCTCGCTATTCGCAGTCGTCGAGGGGCAGCACGCTAGAGCGCGTGTCCACATCCGGCAGCGGCACGACGCCGGCGTCTCCCGCGGCACTGGCATCGCCGTCGGCAATGCTTGGCGAGCCCCGCGCGCGATCACAGCCGATGCGACCACGGCACGGTTCGTCGATCGTGAGTCTGGTACCGTGGAAGCAGCTTGCAGCGGCTAAAAACGAGAAGCCGCTCAAGGAGCCGTCGGTCTACTTCTTCGACATCTCCACCACCTCGGCGACCCTGGCCAGCAAGCACGGCAACAACATCATCAGGATATGGTCTGTCGGCAGCGGCGAGGTGCAAAACACGCTCAAAATCTCGTGCTACACCAACGCCGGGCCGCGCTCGCGCGAGTACTTTGTCCGCAGCCACGCCATCCTCTCGGAGCCCTCCAACCTGATCGCCATCGCCACCGGCTTTGGCGACACCCTCGAAATCTGGGACTGGGGCAAGAAGAAGCGCCTCCAGACCATTGAAGACGCCAACCGCTGGGCCGCGGTTCGCTCCAACGTCATGGAAGCCGGCTGGTGCCCGCTCGTCGCCTACCGCGGCGACGCCGACACACTCGACCTCTACGCGACCACCCACAACGCCAAGAAGCCCTTCAAACTCTCCCGCTCCATCGACTTCCGCAAAGCCAACCTCCCCGTCCTCCCCAAGTACCCGGAGCTCGCGTTCTCCGCCACAGGACCCCTCCTGGTAACCGCGTCCGGGCCCCGCCCACCCCGCCTCGGCCACCCGCCTCCCGAGCGCGAAACCCTACTCGTGGCCTGGGAGATCCACGATTCTGCCCCCGAAAACACGCCCTACAAGGTCGTCGCGCCCTGGCAGCACGCTGAGCTCGACACGGCGCTCCCCTCGGGGCTCGCAACCTACGGCTCGGTGGCCGTCTCGATCTGGATCCCGGCCTCGTACCGCGCAGTGCCCGCGGTCCAGAAGGACGGACACAACGCTTTTAACCTCGCGCCCGTGGCAGTCCACCACCGCTATGTCTTGGTGTGGGACTTTGCCGCGAGCTCGACCCGGACGTTCCGCATCCCCAATGCGACGTCGTGCGTCTCGCCTGACTGCAGGTTTGTGGCGTACTGCGATGCGAGGGGCGTCGAGAGCGGGGCAAGGGGATGTTTGGCGGTGGTGGATGCCATGACAGGGCGGATGCTCTGGTGCTGGCCTGATCCCGAGGCTGGGCTGATGGATCAGCAGGAGGAGGCGGGCGTGCAAGCGGCGCTGGGGGATTTGAGCAAGGTGACGGAGATGTGCTTCTCGGCGGATGGGGGGTTCTTGTTTGTGGGGAATGCGGAAGGCGGGATTGCGGTATTTGAGGTCAGGGAGGGGAGCGTGGGTGCTGGAGGCAGTGATGCGGCCAGTGTGAGACTGACTGGGAGGTGAAGGGCGCCTGGAATTTTCCATGTGATGATTGAAGGTTTATTGCGGTCCTCGGAATATCCTGGCCGTTTTGGCTGGTGGTGCTAAGGAGTCGGGCAGGATGGAGTTGGGCGTTTTGGATGGGAGAGGGTGAGCGGATGCGTGTTTACAAGTGGCCTTGACCACTGCGACTACTAGTTACATTGCCTATTGTGTAGACCATGACGTGCATGTCATGGTCTCAGTTCACAATGTTAATGCTACGAATGATACCCTTCAAATCTGTTTCTAGTAGTCAGTGTGACGATCAGCCTGAGGGAGGATGGGGCTAAGTACTTCCCCCTCTTGTCCCAAGAAAATGAATGAGCATGCGCTGTGGATACCAGGTAGTATATAAATCAGCTACCTCAGGCGTTGGTAGCCTGGATGTTTGTACTGGTAAGAACTCGTGAACACTACATGTAGCATATCTACCTGCTCTGCTTCTGCTATACTCTGGTATATGGTAAGTAGCTCTAGAATCGGAAACGCCAGATTTGCGAGCTGAGTACCCGAGTAATTCTAGGCAGTATTAATCACCGAACCAACTTGTATTTTTCTCCATAGCAATGTGGAATGCTACTGGAATATGATGGAGTGGTTCTTGTGTTATCCTATCTGTCTATCCAAGCTCTCTGTTCGTGGATTGTTACGATCTTTGTATGTTGTGGATGTCTAATCTCTGACGTAACATCTTCCTGCTTCGGGTAACGTTAACGTTATATACGTGTGGCGTAGGCCGACTCACACCGCAAATGACGGAGCTCGGCTTCTTTATGGTGACCTTGAAAGATTCAGTAAACGCCCATTGGCGCTTACTGCAATAAGTGCCAACCTTCTGCGGCGAGCGCGGTGTTGGTTGGCTGGTCTATACATGACTTGCAAAAGTTAGTGTACTAGATGGACAAGACGGTAAGATACGTAGGTAGGTGAGATGAGGTACACTAGCTAGGAAGATGTGTCCATGAAGGAAGCTGAATAATAAGAAGAGACAGGACAGAAGAATACATAGAGGAAATAGAACAATATTAAAGAAGAGAAGAAAATTGAGATTAGAGAAGAGATATGAAAAGGAAGAAAAGAGAACAAAGAAATTCACACGAGTGTAATGTGGGACAGTGAGAGCTGCTCTGGTCTCTCACTAGGCCCCTTCAACCCAGAAGGACCTGGAGGACCCATAGCGACGGTTCCTAATTTGGAAGAAATAGTAGGATGTGCTGTATCAAATCGTATCATCGTCATCCTTCTGCCAGGTCGGCATTGTCGGCATTCACGTCGACGAGACCCATAGGAGCCGTAGATATTGTAGAGAGCCCCACGGCCTCGAATCCGATGGTTGGGGCAGTGCACGAGGCGGAACAAGCAGGTTGGACGGGTTCCCTCCTGGCGGGGTCTAATTGAACCGGGGGCACCGTGGATACCTTCTGCTTGCCCTTGGTTTGTGGTTTGGCTTTATTCTTCTCCTTTGCGTTCTCCTCGGCAAGGCGGGCGTTGCTCTGTTCGACCCAGTCATTGTCGACGTCGCTGCCGTCGCTGTTGACAACTGGTTGTAGCTGGTCAGTTGGGGATCAAATCATGAGAGTTTTATCCATATAGACAGTGTTGGGCTTACCTCTGTAGCCAAACTTTTTAATAATCTCTTCCAAGTCGCCGTCCCCGTATATCGTAGCATCGTGTCGCCGTTCGTGGCACTTTGGCCTGGGGTTCTTGAGGTTGAAGTGCTTGATGGCCCGTTTTGCATGATCAAACGGATTGTACTTGAAGTGATACACAGATTCGCCCTGACTACATCGGACGATATAGTAGCCATGCCCCGTTCCCGGGTTGCGGAAGATGAAATCGATCCCTTCGACCCCGACGGCATCGATTGTACGGATGTCAGTCTGTGAACGTCATTAGTTTCAGCCCGGAGGACACTTCAGAGTTGCCCCTGAGGATCGGGATGAAGGAAGAGGGAGTGTTCATGCATACCGAGTTCTCTTCTGAATCGGACGGCGCAAACGAATACGTTCGGCGGCGTGAAGAGACCCTGCGAGATGGGACGCCGGCCAGAAAAGCCCCCCTTGGCTTCTTGAATGGGACAAGAGGCGTGTCCTGGCCGCTATCGTGACTCCGTTTTGCCTGTCCGGCCAGTCTCAGGCGGTAAGCTGCTGTTGGACGACTTGCCTGAGCGATGTTGCGTGTCATGACGCCACGGTACCTTTCAAGGTCATCGTCACCGAACTCGCCATCATCGGGGCTGGGAGCATGGTCGGAGTCCGAGGAGATGCTGATGATATCAACATCAAGGACTGAGACATCGCCCGGGGCTGTAGGGGAATCCTCCATGCCGTATTGGGCTCGGAATCTTCGGATGTAGTTGGAGACCGCTTGTATGTGCTTTTCGGCCAGTCTCTTCTCATCCAGCCTGTCGCCACAAAGTGCTCTAGCTTGATGCTCGTCTATCGTAACAGAGATGGCGGTGTAGACATCCTCCATTGCTCGTTTTCGTTTCGTAAAAGACGCATCAAGAGTGGCGGCCAGTCCTTTATCAGCATCATTCTCCAACTCAGCGATAGCCGAAGGCCAGTGGTTTTGGTATGCTTTTTCTTGTACCTGCCAGCAGCGAATTAAGGCCTTGACCCGCGTTTCTCGGTTGTCCGATTCAGCCATGCTCACAGGATTCTTTTGCTGAGGATGGCCGGCAAAGCCGTAGCTGTAAAGCACAGAGTTAGAAAAATGGACAAGGAATGGCGAGCTTGGGGTGGTTCCCATACCAATTATGAAGCAGAGAAAACGATGGAAAGATGAAGCGGACGAAGGGGAGAAGAAAAGCAGAGGCAACCGAGGCGATGCCAGTACCGTAAATGTACGTAACTGAATTTTCGAGTGACATTGTGAGCTGTCAGAGGCCCTCCTGCCGCCTTACTGGCTACCTGGCCCATGACCGCCCGATCAGCCAAGTAGATGTACAGTAACTGTTTCACTCTTTTCTTCCCTCGAGGGACACCCATCCCCCAGGTCTTGTTCTTGGAGACTGAGGAGGGAACAAACAGCATGCTTCTGCAAGACCTATCGATTTCAGGTCAGAGAGCGGCAGGTTGCAAGGCTCCGATATTGGCAACAGAGGGCATATCTCGCATCAATTTGAGGCAGGGTGTGGCTGCCAAGGAGCAGGCCGGGGTTGCAGCGGCCGACAAGGCACACTTCGAAGCCTTATCAGGTTTCAGTTCAAAACTCAGGAGGCCAATAGGTTGTCGTCAAGCAGTGTGTTCGGAAAATGCTCATATGGGTAGACAAGCGAGGTAGTTCCGTATTTCGTGGAAAAAGTTCTTAGGAGAAGGACCTGGATGATGCTGGGCCATTCTAGTTCCGACTTGGTTGCAGACATAACTAACTCATGTTTCAGTTTAGCGTGACAAAGTTTGCAATCCAATCTGCGGATAGCTAAGGTACCTCCGTAATCAGGGGGGCACTCCTCCCAGTCTCAGCAAAGTGTTCAGCCAGGGAGGCTTTTCACAGTAGGTCTCAACAAGGCTTCCTCGCAACTCCGAGAACGGCACTGTGCATGGTATGCGTATGGTGGCAGACAGGGCTCCCTCCCACCAATCAAATCAGTTCAGTTCAACAAAAACCCCTAAGTTACTCGTAGGCTGAGCTGAGCTGAATGATACGTAATTCTAAGGACACCGGCAAACGGTTTGCTCGAGTTATCAGTGGCTTATTAGGTACTGTACTTTACGGAGTACCTACCCAATCGTTGGCATCCAAGTAGAGCGCGGCGGTTAATGTAGGTTTGAACCATTCGAATGAAATAGCTAAACTCACACTGAACTGGATATACTCCGTTTACGAGAGTTTCGGCCAAACTCTAATATCCGGTATTTCCAAGCTGTCAGAAGTTCCCCCTTGAAATATTGTGGTATGCCCTCCCCACAAAGGCGCTGTTGTGTTTCCTCCGCAACCTCCCCACCCCCCCCCTCCCTCGGGATATTGGCCACCATCTCCCTCTCACGCGAAGTAACAAGGCGTGAAAGGCAAGCGTACGTCACACGCCCTTGACAATGATGGTGAACTCTTGTCTCCGTGCCTGTTCTTCGGAGGGGTCAACACCTCGGTTCATTTTCATCTGCTGTCGCGGCTAGAGGCAGTTAATGTCAAGTATCCAGGGTGCGTATTGGGGCGTCAGAAAGCCAGCATGGCGGTGTACGGGATAGATCGAGCGCCCGATTGCAGGGTACCAAGTGTGCTGGTAATACCGCTTCCATCCTGCTCGGCAGGAAGATTGGGTTGGAGGCACGGAGCCATACACGGGTTCTCCACGCCGGTGGCAGCCAGGTCTGAAGAGAGAAAGAGAAGTGGAACATACCATGGCTGTCCTACTGTTTTCTGGCTGTTGATTTATGTTGACACTACGTGGGTGTAGTACCGGGCTTGTCTGATTGACATGTGGTTGGGTACCACAAAGGGAACTGGCGGTTCCTCCAGGTACACAAGACGCAGGCGCGATTTTGAACACACCGAACTGAGGCTCGGGCTGCCTCCTTAGACGAGCTTCGTACTCGACAGCGGGGACGCCGTTCTGCTCCTGCCGGACATTTTCGGCAAGGCGGCCGTTGCTCTAGAAACCCACTCAGTGTTAACGTCGCTGCCGTCGCTGTTGACGACTGTTTGGACTCGGTTAATCGAAGCCTTGGGGCAGGAGAATGAGACCCGGCAGGACCATGGTGACTTACCCTTGTAGGCATATCGCCGAAGGATCTCGGCGCAAAGTGCTGCCTTCCCAGCTTCATCGTGGTACGCTGAGATGCCTGGGATCGTTGAAAGAGAAGGATTCCAGAGCCGCCACGCATCCGGAATAATCACGGCACGGACGTCCCTGGCCATCTCGAATGATGTAGTAGCCGGACCCTATGAGCAGGAACGTAAGGATGAAGTCGGTTCTCTCAATTTCCCTGGCGAAGATTGTGCGCACCGGCCCCTGTACAACCTAGAGCGGCAGATGACACAAATCAGTCAAAACGACCACCTCTCGGTAGGGCGGGGACAATGGGACGAGGATAGGGAACGTCTTGATAGCCCGTACCGGGTGCTTGGAGTCGGGGTTCGCTATGCGTTCAGTGTCCGACGGCTTAGCATGACGGACTACATGTAGAACCTGGTCTGGCAGCTCACAGTGTTGTGTTTTCCCAGGGGGAATATCATGATGTCGTGCCCGCTTGCCCGCGGCTTGCGACTTGTTGAGCCCATTTTCTGAGTACCGCTTATTCTGGGAGGTCCAACCCGTATTAACTTGATGTCCGGCTAAGGTAACGACAGGACGTTAGGTAGTGATCGGTGACTTACCCGAGCATTGCGCCGCGCTGGCATGCCGCCGGTGTGCTGGTTGGCATTGTCGACCGAGGTGGTTCTGTCTTTGCCATCGGCATCCTGCACGTTGGGGCTGGTGAATATAGTGTCGGCATCGGGCGCCGGAACATCGCCCTCAGGGGCGATGATGCTCGCGTCATTGCCAGGGACGTGGGAATTGAGGCTAGGCGGGTTCGCACCGGGCTCAGGTCCGGCGTCGTTGGCGTTTGATACTGCCACGTCGGCATCGGACCCCATAACGTGCCTGTGCATGGCAGGGACATCGTGCGAGGCATTGGTGTCTGGGGAACAAGCCCACCACAGCTCTTCTGCTAGACTCTTCCTACTGGTGACAACCGTAACCTCTCGGCAGAGCCCCTCAGCCTGGTCTTTGTCCCAGTCGGCGGCGGGGATGTTGGCCTTGATCAGAGAAGCGGGATCGTTTATGTCGCTGATTAACACGTCGAAAGATGCGCATGTTTATTCAACGAAATTCTTTTTCCGACCCTCATTGTACTTTTCTCGCTCCTCAAAGATGCGCCGCCAGGATTCTTCTCGTTTGATGCAGACATCTTGACGCAATCTCTCTTCTTCGGAGCAGATTGTTTGCTGCAATGTCTTTGGATCGAACATTTTTGATTGCTGACAGTCGACAGTGGAGGCTGATAGCGGGAAGTGAACCTGAAATGGCTGGGGACGGGAAGGAGACCAGTAGTGAGGGACAACAAAACAGGGTACGGTCGGGCAGCTAACATGGATTTGACTAAACTGCAGCGGTGTGTCCAAGTGAAGAGGGATAACGTTAACCCATTGAAATTTTAAATTGCGAATGGCTTCCGTGTGCAGCGAAGAATTGTTTTTGAGCGAGGAGAAAGACAGAGAGGGACGCGAACGGGATTGAAAGAGAAAAGGAAGCGGCCCAGGTGCTAGGAGGCCCTCGATCAGCTCAGTGTCTGTCCAAGGTCACGGTGTACCTCTGCTTTGTATGCAGCTCACATTTCCCTGGTATCTGATGAGTCACGCAAGGTAAGGTAGGTACTTGAGCCTCATGACTCAGCTATCTTTTAGAGTACCTGACACCTTGATCAGCTAACGTTGGGGAACTTCGCGGTGTTCCCACAGTTTCAAGTAAGTCATGAACCGCAGAGACCCATGGCAGCCGCTGATATGCAGTTACCTGAAATGGCCAAGCGAGACCTGGGTCGCCGCCGCGCTTGGCGTGCTTCGACCCCTGGTGTTTCGCCTGCTTGCCCACAACGAAGGAAGGCCAGTGAATTCAGAAGGCCCGAGTCGCCCAGTAAATTACAGGACAATCTTGAGACCTGGAGGAGAGCTCGCGGGAACAGGGACTCGTCATATTATAGGACAGTTCCTTCTACCTTTCAGGCGAGCTGCGTCTGTGGCATTTTAGCCTTCCAGCTTAACTAGTAGAGGCGTTCAATAACCAATTCATCACAACAAGTCTAGATGCCTCTAGCCTACTCTAACACATTACATTGTTGGACGATGTACTGAGACTGTTCGGTGTGCAGGGAGGGTTGCTCAGAGTGCCACTGTGGCTATCGTAGCCTGTCCGGATGCGGCAGGAAGTTCTGTCCATCTTACCGCCACCTTTGCTTTTTGAGGTGCGCCGAGTGATAGTGGTGACAAGCTGTCGCTAACAACCCGTCATTGACCACTGAATGAACAGATTAGAATGAACCCCGAGATCAAGGTAAGTAGGGGCACTTACTGTAGTCGCGTGCATGAAGAAAAACCCCTGTCGCAGAATGATTACGATTCACCATTTCCACATCCGTCATATGTTGACATGCTTCCGTTTTAACCACCAAGGAGTTCACCCGCCTGCTCCATCAAGTCCACGCATCTAGAACGGTAGGTTCCCCGACCGTAATGCCCATGACTCTGCCGTTTCGGACGGATATCTCCCGTCCCGACCTCGCGAGATGTTGCCGAGGTCCCCAATAGGATTCACGACTAACGGTAGCTGTGGATCATGTTGACGATAACGATAAATAGTGGCGTTCCCGGTGGGAATCACCCGATCCCGTGTGCCAAACACTACAGTCCACGCAGCCAGATGGCCCAGAAGTCGAGCAATGGAGCGTCCAAACCTGTCGCCGAACGGCCCGTAGCTGGCGATGTTGCCGTAGACATCGCCGGTGCCCAAGTTTCCTGTCCCGATCGTAGACCCCAATGAGGCCAACGCTGCCAAAGGTGGGACCTGGAGAAGAAGTCCCCCTGCGTCGTGCAGTGCCACCTGTTGCAGCATCTTCCAGAGGGCAAGGTCAGACAGTACTTCATTCGGCTCGACCGTCCTCCCATCTCCAATGATGGGAATGTAGCTGATGAGGCTCAGGATCCTCTCCAGTAGCGGCCCTCCGCTCCTCCAGAACCGAAACCTCTGCCTCCCCAGATCGTAATGGCAGCCGGGAATCCACTCCTCGTGGATCAATGCTCGTCCACCACGGGTCCTCCTCGCCAGACAGGGTTGGAAGGCCCAGAGGCGGTCGTGAACCGAGACCAAGTGACAAACATCCCTCACTGCCCAGGATACCCGGTCGTCGTAGAATTCAGGGTAGTTCAATCCCAGCCCGCCCGTGAGCGTTGGGATCCCGAGCGACCCCACAGTATCAAACAGGCCCATGAACCTCACTGGTGGTTGGAGAGGGCCGGGTACCGCATCACCAATTAGCGGCCAGGAGTTCCTGCGCCGAAAGTCGATGGAGTCGCGAGCATGCGGCCTGTTGTCGGGATCAGGGCACTTGTACAAATAGTACGCTTCTTCGCAAAGCTGACGAGTCTGGTCATCGCTGAGTCCCAATCGCACCCGGTCGATGATGCCGTAGTTGTTGATCAGTCCGGCAACCGAGCGGACCGTGTATGCCCCGCGGCTGAGGCCGAACATCCAAACCTCATGGCTGGGAGTGTAGTGATTGACGATGAACGAATACGCCGAGATGACTTCCTCGGCAAGGTCGGTAGCCGTTGCTCCGTTGAACAGGTAGTCGAGGAAGCTGCCGCCGAGGCCAACGCCGTGGCGGTACCGTGCGACGACCTGGCTGTTGGCCGGGACGGCGGGGTCAGGGTGACGGATATACTCATGCGTGCTATTGAGGTCGCTGATAGGTACCTGGAACAGCCTGGCCAAGCGATAGATGTTAGTCTGGGTGCCGGTCTCGCGGCCACACCAAGTGCCGTCGCAGAGGACGATGATCCGAGGTGCCATTGGGCAGTAAACAATTTGTTTTTCTGCTCGCTTGCGATGTTCTGACTGCCGCTGTAATGTCAGTGTCCGAAATGGAAGAGGGAACTTGGGCCGCTCCGGGGTAGATTTATACGAGTAATGACCCATCGGTTAGTTATTCCGAGAGTACTTTAATGACGGTCAGATGGCTCGGATCATTCAGCTTGGAAACAGTTAGTGCACCTACCTAGGTACTGTACTTAAGCTCAATTTAATTTTCCCACTGCAACAACGGAATTTCCTACTCCTGGAGGTTGGTTCCTGCCGTTTCTGGGTACATACACTAGCCCGCGGCAGTCTGACGTAACTATTGTCGAAACGCATCATCCACCGACATCGGCGCTTTCTCAACGAGCAGTGCATTATAAGTAGCAGCAAAACGTCGGGCGTTGACTGAAATTGAGATGACGCAAGAGCTCGGTCATCATGAGTCTCCGGCGCTTCAAGTATCATGTTTACCTAGGGTCAATACCTAAGGTACTGTAGATACCTACATACGTACATGAGCTTCGCTTGTACACACCTTGGCAGCACTGCTTGCACCACACATGGCACCCCTTTCGCTTTTGACACGATACCCAGCCTAATAGTCAAACATTGTATCTGTACCTCGCCAACCAGAACTAGAGCATGGTATCGAAATGAGTAACCCCGGTGCCCTCGCTGACGGCCATTTCGCCCAGATTGGGGCAGCCGTCGCCCAGAGGCTCGACCAAGGCCGGGCGACGATTTAGAATGCCGTCGACGGTGTTACCCAAGCCGGATTTGATGCCGCCAAGTCAGCGACAACACAAGAAGCCATCAACAAGGATGTCCAGACTGAAATCAACAATGTGCAAGCGACGATTCAGAAGCGCATTGAGAGTGGCGTCCAGGCTGGAATCATCAAGGCCCGAGGCAACGTCCAAGGCCTCATCACTGACGCTATCCGCGGTGCTGACCAGACATCGGCGGCTTTGAAATGATGGGTCGTGTTTCTTACCCACACAATCACTGTGTCTATCTTCGGAGAGTTAACACATTCACGGTCATTATCCAACAAATCCAGCATCCGGCTGAGCTTCATGCAGAAGGAACATGGTTCGAGTTCGATAGTGAAGCCGTTCGCTGTTTTCCCTCAGTAGCCTGGCTGCTGTTTGTCACCGCGCTGGCCCTTGCAATCATCATGTCACTTCTCCTACTGTATGATCACGAGACCAGCAATGAGGCCTTTGAGGGGAAGAAGAGATTATGGGTCGCCTTTTTACTTCACCATCTTCTCTGGCCTTCTGTCGCTGTCCTTCTCGGGGCTTAGATGGTTCTGTCACTTGCTGTAGCTGCCTACATGGGCGTCGTTGGGTGGATAGGCTGCGCTGTCACTTCAATAGCCGCAGTTGTTGCTGCTGGATGCCGGACAGTACAATTGTGTAGGATGGTTTCGCCATCTTTAAACAACCAGCTGCAAACAATGAACAGCCATGGGCTTAGACAAGTAACTGCACATGTATAGTCACAGGTTTCTGTTTAGGTCTGACGGTTGTCCAGGTAAGAAGGTATCTTACCTAGGTTGGCGCGCTTAGCAAGGCATCAACTGTTTTGGAAGTGGCTTTATCCGGTGCCTGGAAATTCTCGAACCAGATTGTCCAAGCTGCCAAGGGTAGATTGAATCACGTACCTTACTCATGGTTACGGTCCGAGTTTATAACGACTTACACACGTAGGGGTAGGCACTGTAGCCTTCCACCTCATTGGCCGACGGCATCGATAGTCCTCAGCTTAAGTTCTTGCTCACTGGACCGTCAATCCAGTTTTAATCCGCTAGAAGGAGCAGTTGTGACGTGACATTGAGGGAGACTTGTTCGTCATCTTGGGGTCGGGTTCGCTGAGGATAAGGTAGTGACGGCGACGCCCGCGACATAGGGGCAAGTGCATTCTTTCCATACTAGAACGAGCAAGCCAGGAGTAAGTAAGCCTAAGTATAATACTTGGTGCGCTCTTAACTATGAGACTAAGGTACAATATATGCAAGTTAAGACCAATAGCTATAACTAAGATTCTATGTCCTGCATATTATGCTTGTCCTATTATCTTAAACGACTATAAGACTAAAGACTTTTACTTATACTCTATGTCCTGTGCATGACAATCCAACCCTGGTTTGTTTATTAGCGTGGCACATGGCAGGCCCTAATAGTCAGCTAACTAACGAAAAGGGGAATCGCAAAGGGAGAAGGAAAGAAGACCAGGGAATCGGAAAATAGAAAAGAGGAGATAGAGGAGATTGAAAGGAAGAAGGAAGAAGGAAGAAGGAAGAAGGAAGAAGGAAGAAGGAAGAAGGAAGAAGGAAGAAGGAAGAAGGAAGAAGGAAGAAGGAAGAAGGAAGAAAACAGAAGTTTTGTCTTGCTCTTATCAAGCTCCACGCTCACAAACAAATCAGGGCTGAATTGTATGCTTGTCCAGTTTATGGAGGACAAAATCACAAAAAGATAATCTACGATCCCGCTGGGACTCGAACCCAGAACCTTTGCCAACTGGACAATACAACTACTCGTGATTGAAACCGGAAAGCAACGCCCTACCATTGAGCTACGGAACCAAATGATTGGTTGGGCGCCAACAAATTAAGGCTGCTTATATAAAACCGTAAAAAGTTTATAGTGTGGTATTTGTGGGGTTGTGTGCTGTAGTCTGCTTCTGAATATCCATTCCATCGACCTTGTAGGTTTATCATTCTCCGGTTGAAGTATAGGGTCTGAGTTTCTTGTCATAGTTTTCGGCATTGCCCTATGCAATACTTTACCGGCTGAAATCTGCTCTAAAGTTATATAACTTACCTAAGGTAAGTACGGAGTACATAACATGCATTGCCGGGATTCTCGACGGGAACTACAGACTAACCTAGCAGTATAGAGCACGAACATTAACTCAATCGCTTGTAGAGCTGGAATTCACAATGATAATTTCTCAATGATTGGCGTTTCAACTTAGCGCTGTTACCCAGTATGAAAAAGACGCTCCATAAGCCACAACATTCGGTGGCCTAAGCCAGTAAGTCTCCATCAAAGACTGTCCTTTCCCAAGCCACGCTATCTTAGAGTTGAGCATCACCAGAGTACAACTGAGAGCAGAGAGTAAGTCCAAAACAACGCCCATAGACCTGCTGTATTGTGAACACGGTATGCAGAGAAAGGCAACATGGATAGCCAACGCATTCGTAAAAGCAAAACAAGACCAACAGCTCCAACGCGGCCGCTAACAGGAAAGGAAAATGCAAAGGGACACCGTGCAGCGTCATGAATCAGCAAGAAGAAACCCAGAGCGCCCGAGCGGAGAAAGATGAACCGTACCAGCGGACAGGGGATTACACTCGCCAGGAACAGAAGAAAAAAGAGGAAACGAGAAGTCAAGGAATCCTCCTTACCCGTTCACCACTCCCTCCCGGTCCCCCTCCCCCTTCCCCTCCCAACACCACCACTGGCCGCGCTCTCCCCAACCAGGAGCTCCTCCTCGGGCACACCCACGCCAACTGCGCTCCCCGTCACACTCACAGAACTCACAGCCCGCGACCTCTCCCCTTCCCTCCTTCCCCCCTGACCCTCACCCTGGCTTTGAATTTGGGTCTGGTTCGGACCCCATCCCGCACCACCCTCCTTCAACAACGCCGCCTCCCTGACCAACTTCTCCAACTCCCTCACCCTCCGTCGCAGCGCCTCATTCTCCTGTTTGATCTCCTCGAACTCGGCCCTGCGAAGCGCCGTTTCCTCGTACCGGGTTGTGGCGGGCAAGATACCAGGCGACAGTTCGCTTGTTGTCGTGGTCGTCGTGGCCGTCATGGTTGACGCAGGCGTGGCAAGCGCAGGGGTGTTGGTAGTGTTCGTACCCGACTGCGACTGCGACGAGTGGATGCGCATCATCCGCGGCGGGGCGGCGGTGAAGTAGCTCGGCTCGCTCACATAGTGGTGGTGGGTGGTGTAGCTGCCGGAGAGGGACCTCGGGGCGGGGGAGGGGGAGCCAGTTCTGCTGCGGTGCGACGCGCCGCTGTTTTGTCTGCTGAGGGACACGCCGCCTCCGGTGATCGCGATCGGGGGTTGGGCGGTGGGGCGCACGGGCGCCGGGGAGGAGATGCCTGCGAGCGAGGTGGTGGAAACCGAGCCGGCGTTGGCGGTCAAGCTGCGGGCACTGGCGCTCGACGAGGTGCGGTGGTGGCGGATGGGCTGGTAATGGCTTGTGCCGAGGGCGGGTTGGGCATTGTCACTACATGGTTGGCCGGGCTCGGTACCCGAGGCGCTGGCAGAGGTGGAGGAGGCGTTGGAGACGACCGATGCGTTTTGAGCCGCGCGTAGGAGTGAGAGCTCGCGCGTGAGGCGGTTGACCTTGGCACGAGAGGGTTAGACGGTGGGGGGAAGGGGCGGTTCGAGGAGTTCATACCACCGCCTCTTGCTCCTTCTCGAGCTGCAGATGGAGATCCGCCGCCGTCAAAGGACGTGGATGTCGCAAAGGCCCGGGCCCGGGGCCCACGCCTGTATTGTCGACCATGGAAGGACCCGGAAAGGAGCTGCCGGGCGGAATATGCGGGGACGGTAGAGACGATGAAGTATTGAGGGCGCTCCGGTTCCAGGGGAGAATGTTCAACGACGGCGAACCGGGGGCGGGAGGATGCGGCATCTGGTGGGAAGAAGCTCGACGCGATGAGGACGCGAGAGGATGGGGCGACGGCGGAACAGAGTTGGGGTCGGGCGTGGTGGCTGGCGGTGGACAATGTCGGTGCCTAGCAGCCGGGAACACAGTTAAGGCTGGGCTCGCAATAGGTGCGACAATTGCGGGACGCAAGCTGCAACGAGTTCAGCTTGCAGTTGAGTTGCTGACGCCGAGTTCAGAAGTTAAAAGAGTGTTTCATCACCAGGCAGCCAAAACAAAAGCGATCAATGAATGGCATGGTAGTATGGCCGGTTATGCGGCCGTCAACCTTCTCTGGTTCAGGATCGTTTGGGACATTAGACGGGAAGGGAGAAGGTGGGGAAGAAGGTCGAGTGGGGTCGGCCCCACTCGCACGGCTTCAGGTGCCGAGACCCACAAAATTGGTGGGACGTTGGCAACGGACAGGGAAGCAGCAAGTGACAGCAAGCAGGGTGTTGGCGAGGGATCATGATGTAATGCATGGATGACGGGGAAGAGGGGCTTGTTGATGCCAATCTACATCCGCGATGCATATAAATCTCCCTCGCCCACTTTCGAGACCCAGTTCGAAACATCACAATTGTCAGCGAATCTCTCAACGTTCATCCCATCGATTGTGAAGGTAGAAACAGCCTAGGTGTGTTTTTGCCACAAGTTCCTGCCATGATCAAGGAAGATTTCTGAGGGAAGCTGACTCGTACGTTAGAACCTCCCAGTTCATCAACCATTATGTCCGGCAAGCCCGATACACTTGAACGCGGCCAATCACCGCCGCCGGAGCGGTCGTCGGGCAAGCAGATGACCGATGTTCCTGCGTCCGGCCAAGGGACCAACAACGTACCGCACAAGGGAGACGCCAACAAGGAGGCCATCGAGGTTCGCACCCCGTTTAGAGCAGACATGGGCGTCCCGGAAAATCGCTGACCATGCACAGCATCTGACATCCAACCCCAGGGGCCCAATGGAGGATCATGCTGAGAAGCAGACTGCCAAGGGACCAGTTGAATCACAGCTATCTGCTTGACGGAGGGTTCCTGCTTTCGGTTCCGTTTGTTAGCGTTAGGTTTAATGCATAGATTGTGGCTTCAATGGCATCCATAGCTCACACCCAAAATGTCCAGTGCCTGACTCTCAATGCTCGTTGTTCCTCCTCGTGCAGAATGCTGTAATTAACCCGGAAACGTCAAATCTTCATATCCGTCGTCGTCATCCAAATGCCAAGCAAAGCCATTAGCCTGTCTCTCCAACCACAACTCGGGAACACCTGCGTAATTCACACAATCACATGCATTGTACTGCAATGCAATGCTCTGACCGTACCGCCCGCTTCGTGGCCCCGCAATCAGGCGATGACGACATGTTCGCCCCTCCCCTTGCTGCAACAGCCTTTGCAACGAACCACGCGTCCCAACTCCCAGCCGGCTTCAAAAAGGCCCTCCCTCGTCCAAACCGTATTTCTACTCATCGACTACAAAACTCAATACTTTCCTGACTCGAGCAAATCACTTCAAAACGTCTGCATAAAATTGCAACAAGCAACCCAATATCCCACGCCTTCCTTGCATATCAACGATTCAACATGGCGGCCACCGTCCACGTCAAGAACATTGGCGGCGAGACCGAGGACAAGGAAGTTAAGGACTTCTTCAGCTTTTGGTAAGCTTTTTTTGTTTCATTTCCAACCGCTCAAGGCCTCGCACTGCCACCTCGAAGCTCCATGACAGCTCCCTTTCCTACCCTTCACACTCCTAATGACTCGCCCGCTAACCCCCTCCCAGCGGCAAAATCGCCTCCATTGAGATCAAGCCCGAAGGCACCACCAAGTCTGCCACGGTAACTTTCGAAAAAGAGACCGCCGCCCGCACCGCCCTCCTCCTTAACCACACAAAGCTCGGCGGCAACGAGATCACCGTGACTGGTGAATCCGCCGACGCCCCACCTCGCGACACCTCCTCCTCCTCCTCCGAAACCACCACCACGCGTGACACGGCCGAGCTGAGCCAAGAGGAGAAGCCCCGGTCGCGTATCCTAGCTGAGATCCTCGCGCACGGCTACCTGGTGGCCGACCAGGGCCTGCAGACGGCCATCAAGCTTGATGAGCAGCACAACATCTCGTCGCGGTTCGTCAGCACGCTGCGGCAGCTCGACGAGCGCACGCACGCGATCGACCGCGCCCGCGCCGCCGACAGCAGCTACGGCATCTCGCAGCGCGCGACCAACCTCTGGAACGGGCTGTGGTCGTACTTTGAGAGCTCCAAGGACACGCCCACGGGCCGGAAGATTGTCAACTTCTACACGTCGGGCGGGAAGCAGGTGCAGGATATCCACAATGAGGCGCGGCGGTTGGCCGAGCTGAAGAAGCAGGAGGGCGGCGGTAGTCTGCTCCAGAGCTTGGGCCTGGACAAGGTTATGGGCCGGTTCCAGTCGGCCAAGGAGGGTGAGTCGAGCAAAGGTGGTGCTGCTGGCTCGGAGAAGAAGGACATTCCTGGTGCTGCGCCGGCAGATGCGGCAAGAACTGAGTCGGCGGAGAAGCCTACTGCTCAGTCCGGGGTGGGCAATCCTGAGACGATTCACTAAGTGTGCTGTCTTGATGGAGGTTGAGATCATGAATTCAGTGTGGTTTTAGCTTTCCCATGTATCTGCTCGGTGGCTTGGGTTTGAGGCTTTCATCTCATCCTATTGTTGTTCATGAATTTGAAGCCTCGAGTAGCGGTCCAGGAACTCTGAATGAGCATGCTTTTTTTACGTCGTGGTTTCGGAGTGCTCAATTTGCTAGATCCTTTCGCATCAGCCCCATCGTATCCTTCAATGTATCTCCCAAGCAGGCACCCCAAATTGCCCAATCATTTCTCCTTCCTTTTGGAGCAAATACCACGTCGGATCAACTGCGATGCGAAGCTTCAGACATCCGGCATGGATCTCAGTTGAGACCACAACAGCCGATTTCAAGAAAGGGTTCACGGCCTTTTCCTACCGAGAACATATGATTAGGAATAACTATCACTCTATTACAATGTCTAATGCAATGCTATGTAGAGCTTTTTGACGCCTTGTATGAAAAGAGAAAGACCCGGAATACGTATGAAGCAAGTCTAAACGTCGTTCGGCCATACCCAACCAGCGTCGATGGTACTTTAAGTGTACGACTGAAACCTATGGTATCCGATGCCGAAAAAGGCAGTTCATTTGGGCGTCTAGATACGGATTCGGCGTGATTGCACTACCGCTTGTTGTAGTTGAGGAATCGGCTCTGCATGCAACGTGATTAACGGTCGTCCGGCTGCCAGTCCAAGACACAAACTTACCGCCGTAAACAGGATAATCAGATTGCTCCCGATAAACGCGATGTAGATGCCGAGGTCCCTCCACCTGTGATCAAAGCTCAGCCCGAGCGGGCCGTAAAACTCGTCGCCGAGCTTGTACGCGCAGTACTGGCAGTCCTGCGTGCTGTTGTCGACGAGATAGCCGGGGCCACCGCGCGCAAAGAACGGCCGCATGTACTCGCCGCAGTTGGTGCCGCTCGGCGCCGTAAACGCGTTGAGCTCCTCGGGCCGGCATTGGACAGGCAGCTCGTGCAGCGCCGTGACCACCATGCCGCTGATGAGGCGCGTGAAGGGGTTGAGCTCGTAAAGCCAGGTGCGGTAGCCGGCGGGCATCTGCGGGGCCGGGATGGTGACGCCGCAGAAGAGGGCGAAGGTGACGATGATGAAGGGATCGAACTGGGACGAGATGAAGAGCGACGGCGTCAGGGCAGACAGGGCCTGGCCCATGGTGACGGAGAAGATCTCGGTGATCAAGACAATGAAGAACTGGTATCCGGCACGAGAAGACTCCGTTTGCAGCCCCGGCATGTAATAGAGGGGCAGGAAAAATGACACGGCGCAGAGAATGCTGTACGGCATCTCGGCGACGAGCAGAGAGATGGCGAAGACGAAGGTGCTATACATCTTGGACGACTGCTCGCGGAAGAACAAGGCCCGCTTGATGTGGTACATGACCTCGATCTGCGAGATGATGAGGGCAGGGAGGACAGTGACCTGGAACATTACAAAGACTCTGTACTGAAGTGACTGTCTCGACTCATCGAGGTTGAGGTACGTCAGGCCGGTGAGTAGCGCAATAACGACGTGGTTGAACAGGCGGGTGAAGAGGTAATTGGGCGTGCGCCAGTGGGCAAGGTTGGCGCGGTGCACCACGACCTTGACCTGATGCCAGAAGGGCGAAGCGTATTCCTTCTCGAGTTCGGGGTTCCGCTGAGCGCCTGCTGCTTTGCGTGCTTCCTTCATCTGCGTAATGGTCTCCTTGACGGCGGCCAGCTCCGGGCTGTCGGCCCATATGTCGGCCCAATCACGGTTGCCAATGCGGGGAGAGCTGCCGGCACCGATGGCTTCAAGCATAAACTCGGCGACATTGTCCGTGTCTTTTGGTACAGCGCCGTGCCTCTTGAGGTAATCGCGGAGCACACACGCATCCTTGCCGATATCGCCAAAGTACACGCATCGCCCGCCCGATTTGAGCAGCAACAGCCGGTCGAAGTTCTCGAAGAGGGCCGCGTTAGGCTGGTGGATGGTGCAGAGAATGGCCTGGCCAGCAGCCGCGAGCTTCTTCAAGAAGCGAACAATGTTGAAGGCGCTCTGACTGTCGAGACCGGACGTCGGCTCATCGAGGAAAAGGAGAAGCTCCGGCTTTGCCGCCAGTTCCACACCAATCGTAACCCTCTTGCGCTGCTCGACAGTCAAGCCGGCCTCCGGGGAGCCAATGATGGCATCCGCGAACGTCTCCATTTCCAGCAGAGCGATGATTTCCTCGACATAGCGGTACTTCTCCTCGCGAGGTGTCTCAAACGGCTGGCGCAGGTCGGCCGAGAACCGAAGGGCTTCCCGAATGGTCTGCGTGGGATCGTGGACATCGAGCTGTTCGGCGTATGAGGTCCCGCGCTGGAATTCCTTGCCCGGTTTGATACCGTCCACCAAAATGTCGCCGGAAATCACGCCGATGTTCTTGCGGGCCGCAAGAACGTCGAGTAGCGTAGTTTTACCCGCCCCGGAAGCACCCATAAGAGCCGTCAACTGTCCCGGCTTGACGTAACCGAAGACGTGATCGAGTAAACGACGAGTGCCGCCAGGAACCGGAACGTCGTAGCAGAGGTTCTCCCAAGTGAGGATGCTCTCGGACTTGATGTTGAGCTCCGACGAGTCTGACTCATTCCCGCGAGTGTTGCGCTTCTCCTCTCTCTTGCGGAGCAACTCCTCGTTCAGCTTCTTGCGTTCCGCATTCGGCTTCTGAAACACCTTCGCCTGGTTGCCACCCATGCCGTGGCGAATGTATTCACCCGCAACGATGTTCATGATGAGGAAGAAAACGATGATCGCTAAAACAATACCCCAATCCCGCCACAGGAGCCCAGGGTTGTACGAGAATCCCTTTTCGATATAGTCGCTGCCCGAGATCTGCAGGGTACCTGGGTTCGAACCCGCAAGGGTGCAAACCTCTGCACATAATGTCAATATGTCGTGCAATGTAGGGTGAGGAGGCAAGGATTTCATGAATGGGTGGGGAACGAAAGGGAGAAAGAGAAGAAAATATTGAGGAGGGAAAAAGAGACGAGGAAAGTGGGAATGAGGGAGGAGAAAAGGAAAAAAGAAGGAAGATGAGCACGAGAAAGGAGAAGATGAAAAAAAAAATGGAAAAAGGGAAATAAAGGGGAAGTGAACAAAAAAACCTAGTAAATAAAGAAAAAAGGGGGGAAGGGGCGGGGCGGGAGGGAGTGTGTACCCAAGAGCCAGAGTGCGGAACAAGGGCGAATTTGACATACGGTGATTGATATCAATGTACTCCGGGCCGGCAGGGATGAGAGACTCGGCCGTGCAAGTCATGGTGGACCTCCCAAACTCATTCTCCATGAGTGCTGCGAACTTTGGTCAGTCAAAGCCCCTATTTCGACCACCCCAAGAATAACATCACCCCGGAATTGGACGTACCAGAGAATGTCAAGCCCACAGGATTAATGTAATAGATCCACCTCAGCCACACCTGAAGCCCAAGATTGAGTCAGCGGTTTCTCTTGTATTTTCATCTCGTATTGAGCGAGATTCTCATTGCCATGAGATTCATCAGTAGGGTAAGACTGACCTGCTCAGACTGGTACTCTAATATACTGTCAGCTCATTTCCCCCTATTCGAGGAATTGGGTAACTTACGGATGAGATAACCAGCAGTAGTGATCATCAACGTGATGCCGACCGTAGCAAACTTGACAGCATAATCGAAATCAGGGCTGATACACCCCAGGATGCGGAAGAACAAGGTCATGCACGTGTTGGCCGTGAGAAGCAATAAGTAGAACGTAAAGAAGGCGCCAGCATCACGAGCCAGGTTGGTCATGAAGTAGACAATGATCGAGAAGACCATGATCTGGGTGGCGGCGAAAATCTGGTCGACAAAGATTTGGGCGATCCAAAGCGCCGACGGCCTGTGAAAGGCGTACGCTCGGTGCTTGTTGACGACGGGGCGACCCGTCATGGCTCCGGGCAGCTCGGAAAAGGAACTGAAGACATTATGAAGCAGGCTTATGAACAGAAGGCCACCCTTGCTGAAGGCGCTGGCGGACGTTTGGCCGAGATTCAGATAGAGCGTACCGAGGACGATGGCGATGATGATGTTTCGCAGCCAAGAAAGGACGAGGGCAAGGACGTCCTGTTTCTTAAGCAGAAACTGGCGTTTCATGAGCGCCCAAACCTGGGTCTGGAACCCGACTGAGTAGGCCGACTTCTCTGAGGCACCACGACGCTTCTGCTCGCTCACAGCGACGCGGAAATCTTCGTACTTATCAGCCTCCTCACTAAGGCTCTTCTTGTACTGCGCCATCTCTTCATCCAGATCCCTGCAAAACTTGGATTCCTTGAAAGCAGCTTCCAGGGTGGCTGGGCTGTGCGGGGCGTTCTCGGCGGATCGGCCCTCCTGGTACTTGCGTTCGTAGGCGTCGGTGCAGCCAGTAACGTAGTCAGGGGTGGTTTGCCTCGGCCGGGGAAGGAAGCCGAGCCCTTCGAAGTAGGCCCTGGCCTGTGAGGCGGGGCCGAAGTAGACTTGTCTGCCTTCATCAATGACCATGACCTTGTCAAACAGGTTGTAAATATTCTCGGAAGCCTGGTACAGCGAGACGAAGGTGCTCGTCTTGTACAGATCGGTCTGGACACGGAGAGATTTGATGAAGTCAAGGGCGGTCGAAGCATCGAGGCCACGGGTGCTGTTGTCCCAGGAGAGAATGCAGGCGTTGCTCACTAACATCTCGGCGATCGAGACTCGCTTCCTCTCGCCGCCAGAAACGCCGCGAACAAAGGGGTTCCCAACGATGGTCTGTCCGAAAATATCAGTCTACAATGTTTATCAAGGGCAACTCGGCGGTATTTCAGCAACAAAATCTCGCTTTGGGAACAAAACGACTTCCGTATACCAGATATCTCGAAAGGGGTAAAAAGAGCGCGGATTTGACATACATTGCGGGTATGCTCGATATTGAACATCTTTAGGAGCGTCGAGATGACCTTCTCCTTAAACTCTTGCTTGGTGATGCCGGCCGGTAGCTTCCCTGGCGTCTTCACGTCGAGGGCGAATCCAAGGGTTTGCTCGACGGTCAGGGTCGGCTGGTGGACATCGTCTTCATCATTGTAGAGAGCCTCTCCGCGGTACTGGATGAACTCCTCGTGGGTGAAAGGGCCATAGAGCACCTCACCAGTCACGGCTGTGTAGCCGTACCGTTGGTTCGCGATGGTTTTGAGGAACGTGGTGCACCCCGATCCAGGCTTGCCCAACACGAGGACCATCTCACCAGGTTTGCAGACACCCCTGAAGTTGTCCAGAAGCGTGGCCTCAACACCCCTTTTGCCAAAGCCGAGCATTCGTCTGATCGGAGTGATGATATCGAAGAAGTCAACAAACGCGTCGGGAAAGGTTTTGACATAGTTCATTTGCCCCGAGATGCCCTTCACGGTTAGATTTTGCCAAAGCACCCCGATGTGCTTTGGCCGGATGCCCGACTCTCTTTGGGCAACTAGATCCCCGCGCAATGCGGCTTCGAGATCGAACTGCTCGAATGTCTCCTCGGACGGAGGGAAACCACTCTCCAGCTGCCCCTTCTCCTGGTCTCCTTGACCGTGCCTTTTGCTGGCACGCGACATGTGGGACAGCTCACGCCGCAGTTCGGCGAAGTCGGCCTCGGCCTGCTGAATCGAGATGCCAGTTGCCCGGGTCGATCCGTTGGGGTTGCTGCGCCTGGCCTCTTCCCGGAGGTCCTCGGCATTCCGAGCCGTCGACATAGTGGATGGTCGAGACTCCGTCGCAAAGTCGACGGCCCCTTTCTCCAAGGTCGTATCCATCGCTGGGTTCCCGGGGCTGTCCGCTGCAGTATGCCGTCTCGTCCCGAGGATGTCTGGGGGAGTATACCAATGCTCCAGTTATGCAGATATGCAACTTGAGAAAACCGAGAGACAAGAATAGAGAGAGATGACAGACAAGGGGAGCTTTGTCTGTGAAAAATGGAGGAGGGTGGACGGGCGCCGTGTGGAAGTGGACGAAGAGACAGCGTCGCTCCCAGCTCCTCGCGTCCTGTGGCTTGCGGGACCTCTTGAACGAAAGGAGCAAATTTCAAGACATGGAGCAGAAGTTCTACATTTGTACCAACCTGGAGGAAAATGGACCCAAGGAAGAAAGAGAGAAGCAAAGTCTTGGCAGATCTCAAACATTACCAATCTGATAATAATCGAGACGTTCTCCCGGCTCGTGATCTGACTGCGCTAACAAGGTGCCTGTGATGGTGCGCCCCACCGACATGGGGCAAATCATTTCGATATGGCACTTCTAGAATTTTGGGCGGGCAGTGGTCGGGGATAGCAAGCTAACCTCCGAGCTTGGTCTTGGAGCAGTTTCCTTGGCGGTGGCAGGAACATGCCGTTTCATAAAGGGCGCGCGCCCTACAGTAGAGCCAGTGTGTGTGACCTGTGGTCTTCTGTCGCTTCCTGCTTCCATGCTTGCCTCCGAACCGTTGACGGAAAGCTCAGTCGAAGAGAGCCGATGAGAGACGGATGAGACGCGGTCGAGGTGGGGACAGTGTCGACTCACTCGGCATGTGGGATTATGTGGGGCACGTCGGCTCTGCATGTCTTATTGGGCAGACTGTGTGGTGAGACAGCTTTGTCTCTGGTCAAACCTTGTTGAGATGACGGAAGCGGGGCGGAACGAACCTGCATGTGGATGTAAATTGGCGAGTCAGCAAAAGTTATTCGTTGCCCTCATCCATAGATGGATGGCTGTTTAGGATATCGCACTCAACTGGTACACGGCAACAAGCACTGTAACCAGCTTGTTATAGCGTTATGGCTCAGGGTGGTTCAGGTATGACGTGAATAGAGGGGAAGCTGAGACATCTCGAGCAGAGCCGCATCTGGTGCGAATCAATGGAAATAGAGGCCGCCCTCATCAGCAGGAGTGGATGCTGAACGATTTCCAACTTCGGTTGATGAGGAATTGAGGATAGACTTCGGATCGAGCCTAATAGGCCGGTGGAGATCGAAGCCACGAGGAATTAGGAAATCGGAGTTCCTTAGCGAAGTAAAGAATTTACAACCAATCAAAAGTCCTTATTTTACCACAGCCACCAGTCAAGCCACACTGGAAGATGGCTGATAGGCTAGGCAGCTAGCTGACTCAGCCCGTCAGAACTTCTGAAGTCAGGATTGCTTTTCTCAACTATCCGCCTTGACTCGTGAAAGATGGAAAACCTTCTGGAAGTGGAAGGAGCAATTTAGCCGGCACATCTTCGGAAAATCAACCGGAACTCTCTCGTCTGCAGCCCAGCATGACCCCTTGGAATTTCCCAAAGTCTGCCAATACGACAGACCCAGACCATGTGTTGCTCAGCTTGTCAACCACACGTGGAGGTCAGAAATACCCTGATTTTGTGTTCACTTGTCAGCGACGAGTTATGCACAGCATGTTGCTAGCCCGATGAAAGATTCAGAATAAGCAACTCAAAATGAGGAGTATGAGCAGTAGGAAATGGGGGAAGATGAGCGAGAAGCGTTACGTGGGTGGTTCTGTACTGTTGCACAGCAGTCCGGTCTAATCTTTGGATCAAGAAAGAAGAATCAGGGAAGACATGAGTTGGATCTCACGGGCTGTCTTGTATTCGGTGGTTGGAGATGGTCTCTGTCCGCGGCGTTTCGACTCTGGCAGCAGTGGAAAAAGGTCGCTCTGAGACGCGATGCATCTTGTTCCAACCCACTCTATTATCCTGCAGCAGCCCACCTACAGACTTTACCTCGACATCTCTGGCGGACAAAACGGTGCAGTTTGGCAGCTATAAGGGCACCTCCTGCACCTACATCAGACCACATTTCCCGTCCGGGGACGTCTCAGCCTGACCCATCGTCCCACCATCGTCTCATCGGACAACCGCCCATAGTCATAGGCTCTCTCATCGAAGGACGTATGCTGCAGCACCACGCATGCGCAGGCACGCCAGGTGCACCAGGCACGAATTGCAATTACATTCCGCAGTCTATGGACCCGTCCGAGTCTTATCCCGCCGCTGCTCGCCACACCACCAACCATCCAAGTGTTGATTCAACAAGCCATTCTCCGCTTGCAGAGGAAGGAGCAGCAAGACGGATTGCAGCAGCCTCACGATCCATCCATCTCATCCCCCCACCCGAGACCATCCCCTAATGCACATCCAGACCTGACCGCTCGCAACGCCGTACCCGTTTCTCGTCTCACGAGACACACCAGTGGGTAAAAGATTCAAGAACGCCGACAATGCTAAGCTGGGATGGAAGATGGCGGTGATCGGTGTCCCATGTTTCCATTCGCTGGCCCGCCCCGCCGAAGGACACAGAAGGATGGAGGGAGGGCTCAGGAAGAAAAACAACAGCTCCAAATGTTAGTTGAGTATGATGCCGCAGGACAACGATTCCCTCTAGAGCTCCGATTCCGCACCATTCGCATCCACATTCATGGGGCTGCGGTTCTGCTGCCGCCTTTGCCTCAGCGCGGCGTGGCCCGCCAACCGTCGCCTCGCCGCGTGCCTGCTACCGCGGTTATTGCTGTTCACGTTCATGTTCTCGTCCTCGTCATCGTCTTCTGAGTCAGCCCCGTGCTCGCCGTGTTCGTAGGCAAACCAGCGGGCCTCGTCCAGGATAGTCATGTCGTCGGGCTTGTCGCGCAGCCACTGCATGCGCGGGCCGGAGCGCGCCAGCTCCGACACGCGGAAGCCGTAGATCTTGGGCTCGTAGATCTTATCGCGGCCGAGCCCGGGGGCGATGTTGCGCGCATACATGCCATTGATCATAACCAGGTCGTCGGTCGTCGTCCGCGTCAGTTGGGCCGCCGTTTCGGCGCCCGACCGCGATAGGTCGTATTCGGGGAAGGTGAGGAGAAAGAGCGCGCCAAAGGTGCGGCCGAAGAAGGCTCCGTCGACCGTCTGGAAGCGGCTGTTGGGGGGTACGTAGACGTCGAGGCACGACGGGCAAAACAGCTTAACCGTGTCCTCACCGGGTATGTCGGAGAGACCGACGGGCAGCGTCCTGGTCTGGTTGCAATTGTACCGGGGGCAGACGCCAAAGTGGCCCAACTCGTACTTCTCCGACATTTGTTGTATGCCGGCCCTCGAGCAGATGAAGCGCTGGTGGATCAGGCCGTACAGCATCTCGGCAGAGGATTCAATGACGGATAAGTCGCTGGCAACTCTGCTGTGATGTCTCCTCTCGCCATGCGCCCGCCCTGCCATGCCGTCCTGGACGTCCCCAGACGCGTCTTCTTCGTCCTCCTCGTCCTCGTCTTCTTCATCATCGTCCTCTTCTGGCTCAACGTCAAGGATCATCTGGCGGAAGAGAAGGTCAGCGATGGGTGCATATAAGGAGATGATAAATAATCCGCAGCAGGAATTACCTCTAGCGCTTCTTTGTACATGGCCACTTGGGTCTGCAAGCCCGTGAGGTTGAAGTCATCCTCAATGAACTCCTCGGACACTTCGGCGAAATATTCATGGCCAAGCAAGGAGCAGAAGGACGAAATCCACGACTCTGGTGTCCCCGATGATGTTGACATTTTGGTGCGACAGCGGACACGGCGAGGGCGGACTGTTCTGGCACGATCGCACGAGGGCCGGGGAGCGGATGAGATCCGGAAACGAGATATGAGAATGGAAATTGGCTTGAGTTTGGTGCGCAATCCCTGTTGCTCGACCGTCGCGTTGGCAGCTCGATCGTTCTATGACGCCTGCATGATCAAGCGCGACAATGATGCTGGCTGATATGGCGGCGGACCCTGGTGCAAGTTCAAGATGGTGATATTAAATGAAGTGGTTGGTGTTTTCACTTGCCCACACTTGGCTTGGCCCAGGACAATGGTGCCTCAGTTCCGGTGGTGGGCTGGCGTATGGTCTGTGCGTGGCGCCTTAGCCCCGCAATTAGCGCCATGACTTGTTTATAATTTTGTCTATCAAAGCTTTTCGTAAGATACAACCTTACATCCGTACAGAAACCACATTGTATCCACATCACGTGGGAACGCGTTTAACTCGCATTTCTGGCGCGGGTCACCTCAGACTCCCGTCACTCGCTTGACTTTGCAGAAACAAAATTCGCCAATGATCCACGCGTCGTCCCGCTCATGTGTGCTGTCTATCCGGCTGCATGCAAAATGTCGGTTTTCTGCTAGCTCAGAATTTCCGGGCCAGCTGAGCAGCATCCATCAGAGCAGTGCCTTCCCCGACGTAACGGCATGGAGACGCCTTGCCCTGCAGGCCGACCGCCAAGGCAAGCCCATTGTCTTTCGACAGCAGCTACACCAGGATGAAACTAACGGCAACATCACATCACCGGTTTTCCTCCCCGCGTTGCGCAAGTGGTTCGGCCCTACCGTACCCGGGAAGCCGACAGAATTATCCCCCTCGTTGGCACGGCACCTATCCCACATTGTCCCCTATGAGCTGGCCCCGAGCTCAGCCGACCCGCTCAGGAAGCACGCCCTGCAGCATTTCCTAGAGTGGCTGCGATGTAGTCGGGATGCCGCGTACAAGAAACTCTCCACTCCGCTCATGGATTGCATACTCGCTGCTAAACTCGAGCAGCAGGCACATGTCCCAGCCGGGCAGGGTAGCCGAGGAGCACTTGACACTCCCTTCATCCGCTTCGACGCCCCACTGGCTCTCCTGGCCGCAGCTCTGCACTACAACAGGGAAACCCCTGACCCATCCGAGCGCGTAGATCAGCTCTACATCGCCCAGATGCCCCTCTCAGAGCTGCCGGGCGCCCTGCAGCTGGACGTGCCCATCCCTAACGCCCTCACGGCGGATCCCACCCCCGAGATTCCCTACACGGCCGACATTTACATCAGCAGCCTCTGGCTCGGCCTGGAGCCGACCTTCACGCCCTGGCACCGCGACCCCAACCCAAACCTCTTCTGCCAGCTGGTGGGCTCCAAGACGGTGAGGCTCATGCCGCCCGCTCCGGGAAAGCAGCTGTTTGCGCAAGTAAGCGCGGGCCTGGGACAGCTAAATGCCAGCCACGCCATCAGAGGCCAGGAGATGATGCAGCCCACCGAGCGGAAGGCCTGGTGGGATGCTGTATGGGGACCCAGCGTGCCCAAGGGGATGTTTGAGGTGGTCCTGCGCCCTCGCGACGTGTTGTTCCTTCCCATGGGATGGTGGCACAGTGTCCGGAGCGTGGGTGGTGGGGATGGGAGCTTGAATGCGTCCGTCAATTGGTGGTTCCGCTGGAGGAAGGTTGCTCGTCCTAGACCGAATTCACCCTGAAGCCTACCAGTGCCCCAAGTAACCATGTCTACAAATTGTTAAACATGACGAGACTTACTCATGCAGATCCTTCTCCGCATGGATTCTCTGTAATCAGATGCAGTGCATGTGTACATTAGCATTGAGCCATCAATGATACAGACGCGAGGCTGGTCCCCTGAGCCCCGGTTCACACCCTTCTTCAGTATGTTCTCGGCTTTTTTGTCAAGGCAGTCGACCATGTTTCAGAGGCCTTGCCTGCACAATGACTTCCGAAACGTGGTGTAGCAGAATCTTTCGGCCTACATCACGGCCTAACTATGAGTGAAGTAAAACGGTGGTATGCATGTGTTATGTCCGCTACCCGTCGTATTCTACGCTTTGCTGAAACACCCCAGTGCCATCTGTAATTTCCAGACTCCTCCTATTTGTAGCCTCCAACCTTCGATGCTCCCAGGGAGGTTGCTCAATATTCGAGCCAAATCCTGAGCGAGCTTGACCTCCTCCAGGTTCGGTAGTCCCGCCGAGACATGTACATCCGGTCGTACTTTTCCTCAATGAGCGGCAGTGAGATGTGCTTCAAGGTCTGGTGGTGAAAGAACGCCGAAAGGCAGCACAGCGCTCCCATAGTGAACGATCCCAGTCCTGTCTCGTTCCGAGCGGAGTTTGTCAAGAGGAAGGCCGAGCAGCAGATTGCAATGCCGAGCCAGATCAGGCACTCGCCGTAATAGTTGGGATGCCGGCTAAGACCGATTATCAGGCATGAATACCAAAGGAGTGCAAAGGGAGAGACATCTTACCACTCGCGCCACAACCCCTTCGAGCAAAATACCTCGTCGTGCCTCTTTCGCTCCCTGTCCCACATCCATTTCGACAGTTGCCAGTCCGCAATCAGCTCGATGACGGACCCGCGCAGGATGGACCACATGCCGAGGGCAAACCAAGCCATCCTGATATAGCACGACGGTATGGGGAGCAGTTCATCGCCAAACTTCAGGCACCGCATGCCCCGGAACGCTCCAGGAGACAGCGTGTTGACCGCGACGATGGGCAGGGTACAAAACCAGACCCACAGCGCCTGCAAAATGAAGGCCTTGAGAAACCGGTTGGGGTTGTTGCGGATACCGTTAAATCGCGAGTCGCCACCACGGAGAAGGTTGCGGACAGATGTATACGTGCCGACTGTCAATGCAAGCCCGGTCAGCAGAGCAAGAGCACAAAGGAAAGTAAAATGCAAATGACTCACCCCTCAATGCCCAGAGAACCACAACTCCATTGATGACAACCTGACTCCAGTGGACCGGCATGCTCCGCACCCTCTCTCTCATCACCGCCAGTCCCAGCCCAGCAACCTCCCTCAGGACTTGCCAATTCACAACCCCAATGTCCGGGATCACAGGCCCAAACAGGTAACCTCTCATCCAATGAACCCCACCTGTATTCCAAACCGTGTCCCAGAAAGTCGACAGCCCTCCACCAGGCAGAAGATACTCGCCGTGAGTACCCACCAGACTCAGCAAGGCAACAAGGATAAAGTTACCAAAGCCCGCGACATCAAACAGCAACTCGCTCTTGAGCAGAAAAACTGAAGGCATTGCAATAGCCGCCTGGAGAACCAGTGTCGCGATCGTGCAGCGGGCGAGATTGACCATGAACGCCGCGGGCCAAGGCAAGAACAAGAATTGAAAGAACGCTGTTGTCAAGAGCAGGATGGGGATCTTGACGAGGAAGTGGGACCGTGCCAGGCGGATGAGGAGGATGATGGGCAGCATGTTGGCGGCTTTGTATTCGTGCTCCGACTGGGTGTTGGTGGTGGTGGTTTGTTGTGGTTATCGGTCGTGGTTGGTCGTGACTTGAAGGCTGGAAAGTGACAGGTGTGAGTTGTGTTTTTTATCGATTTGCTTCCCACGTCTGGATTCAGAGATGCAAGATTTGGTTGAACCTTTCCACGCGCCGCGGAATGTGATGTTGCACGCCGAGAGGTAGTGGAATCGGCGATGGTAACTGTGTTGGTGATACTCTGTAAGGAGTATTGGAGCCGCTTGGAGAATCGAAAAGAAGTTTAATGGAAAAGGGAGGCAGCTCGGTTCAATTTTGGGCGGAAGGCTTCGACTTGTTCGGACCAGTTCACCTGCTCCAGGATCAGGTCATTCATTGTTAACATGGAAGGAGCGGAAATGAAACCAGTACAATGAAGAAGGCACGCAAAGCTGCATGAAATGAGCAGGCACCTTGTCAGGTTGTTTCTGAATTGCCCTGTGCTCAACTCAGCTTCAAGTGCCATAACAGGGCTTTACTTTCTCGAGGCTGGTTCCGGGCAAATTCTCCGGCGAGTGTCACAAAAGGGAGACCACATATGCAGTGACAGCAGCATGCAGCATGGCCCCCCTGCAACTGATTCAGGTATATGCCGTGAGCATAAACTCAATAGCACTTCCAATCGAGTGGTCATTGTCGGGTGAAGTGTGAACCATCTGGAAGTCAGTGGGTGGTCGTCCAATACGAACAATACCTGCATCCATGGATAGTTATATATACCTTCACCCTAGACTTCCAACTCCAGCCGATTCAAGATACCGTGACACAATGGTCTTAATAAATATCAAGAGCTCCCAATCTCTCACTGCATCAGAATCATTCAATCCTTCAGCAAGCACTCATTCACCGCATTAGCAAGCACTTATACACCTCATTATTGGCAAGCACCCATAATTACACTGCACCAGCAGGCACTCATATAGAAAGGCAGGCAGAGGTCTGACAAACTCGCAATCGTTTCATTTCTCAGTCATCTCGCACTGCTTGTAGCAGGGCCATACTTTTCCACTCAGCACCAGTCAATACCAGGGACCCATCATCCACGACTCAGTCATAGCCCTCACCGAACATTTCCCTTTGAAGCCGCAAAGTTACAGCAGCGACAACCAGTTCCAACCCATGCTCAACCTATGCCGCAGGAGCATCCAGCTTCAAGCGGACAGGCAAGTAACCAAAACCCAAAACAATGGCAAGAAAGCGCCGGTATCCAATGCTAATAAGGAAAAAGGTGAAGCAAGAAATCCATGCCAGAGCAACAAGAAAGGGACAAAAAAGAGAAAACCGGAACCAGCTGCTCGCTCAAACAACCGGGCCAGCCTTGACAACATCCTCGGTCGCCTCGCTCTCATACTTCCTGAAGTTCTCCAAGAACAGCTTGCCAAGCTTGGTGACCTCGGCATGGAAGCTGTCATCGCCGGCCGTCCAGGCTTTCCTGGGGTTGAGCAGCTCAGCGGGGACGCCGGGGCAGCTCTTGGGCACCTGGAGGTTGAACACCTCATAGTTCTCGTACTCGACCTCTGCGAGCTCGCCGCTGTGGATCGCATCCAGAATGGCGCGCGTGTACTTGAGCGGGCAGCGCTTGCCGCCTTGAGCGAAACCGGCGCCGACCCAGCCCGTGTTGAGCAACCACGCGTTGGCGCTGTGCTCCTGGATCTTGTCGGCCAGCATCTTGGCGTAGCGCATCGGGTGGAGGGCGAGGAAGGGCTGGGCAAAGCACGCCGAGAACGTCGCCTGCGGCTCGAGCACGCCGTCCTCGGTGCCGGCCATCTTGGACGTGTAGCCGCTGATGAAGTGAAACATGGTCTGGGCGCTGTTGAGCTTGGAGATCGGCGGGAGCACGCCCCTAGCGTCGCAGGTGAGGAGGATGATGTTGGACGGGTGGTTGTTGGACATGCAGGGGATCTTGGCGTTGCTGATGTACTCGATCGGGTACGCGCAGCGCGTATTCTCGGTCAACGTCGAGTCGTCGTAGTCGACCTCGCGGGTGTCCTGGTCAAACACGACGTTCTCAAGCACCGAGCCGAACCGGATGGCGTTGAAGATATCCGGTTCCTTCTCTGCTGAGAGACCGATCGTCTTGGCGTAGCAGCCACCCTCAATGTTGAACACACCGCGGTCGCTCCAGCAGTGCTCGTCGTCACCGATCAGCGCCCGGTTGGGGTCCGCAGAGAGCGTGGTCTTGCCAGTGCCGGACAGGCCGAAGAAGAGCGTGACATCGCCGTTCTTGCCCTCGTTGGCCGAGGAATGAAGGGTAAGGATGTTGTGCTTGATGGGGCCCTCGTAGAACATGACGGTGAAGATACCCTTCTTCATCTCGCCGGCGTACTCAGTGCCCAGGATGACCATCTCCTTCTCGGCGAAGTTGATAGCGACTGAGGTGCTCGAGGTCATGCCCTCGGTGTAACGGTTTGCCGGGAACGACCCCGCATTGTAGATTGTGTAGTCGGGGTGGAAGTGCTCGAGCTCCTCGCGCGGCGGCCGGATAAGCATGTTGCGCATGAAAAGGGCGTGGTAAGCGCGGGCGCAAACGACGCGCACCTTGATGCGGTACTTCTCATCCCAGCCAGCATACCCGTCAACAACGTAGATGCGATTGCGGGTGTTGAGATAGTCGACGGCGCGCTCGCGGTTGATTTTCCAGACCTGAATGAAGACGAGGGGTTAGCTTTCAGGTGGTCAAGCCCAGGGGCGCCACGTGATGTGGGGTTTTCTGGGGAAGATGTTGGAGACAATCGGCAATTGGTGGAACCCGAGTTGGAGATGCAGTGGGAAATGACGACAGCGACAGTGGATCAGCGGCCTCGGCAGAAACATGCATCGACACAACGATGATGTCGCCGCACTTCCCAGCGGCAATTGCACCTCCTGAGGCCCTCCGCCCATGCGATGCGCGCAATGGCAAGGACAATGGCTTTCTTCAGCCAATTGGCCCAAAATATTGTCTCAAGTCTCAAAACATGGTTGGCGAGACGGCTCACGCTCGCTGGCCCCGTGACCGAATGAAAGCTGAAGAGTAATAACCCGGCTAGAAGCGGGCTTGGGAATGACGCTGAATCTGAAAACCAGGATAGGAACGCGGCCAAATGCCTTACCTCAGGGTCCATCGGCCTGTTCACAGGTCCCCACCTATGGAACAATACTGTTAGCATTCAATCTATGGCGTAAGCAGTGGCTGTTTTGCAGCCTAGCGGAGTCAAGAGTGGATCATACCAGATGTCCCTCTCTGATGTTGGCTCCTTGACAATTCGCTTGTCGAGTGGTGACCGGCCGGTCTTCTTGCCGGAGTATGCGGTCAAGGCACCGCTGGAGGTGATGGCAGTGCCCGTCTCGTACACCAGAGCATCTTCGTAGAGGGCGGGAACTGAAGGGTTGGGGATCTGGTGATGGGTCAGTTCCGAGTCGAGACCCACGAAGCAATTGAAGGACTCACAATCGCGACTCTGTCATAGTCGATGTGTGCCTTCTCGTGGAGCTCCTCCTCTGGATCATCAGTCAGAAACCGGGCCATGGAAAACTCAAAGGCGTTGAAGCTGCTACGGCAGCGCATACCTAGTTCAGTGTGTTCAGGGTGGGGACTGTTTGCACTGCGTTAGACCTGCATAGCGTTCGTGGCAACGGAGAAGAGAGAGGTACTAACGTGATACCACCGGGATGGAGGCCGGTCTTGTTGACGGTGTTGGAGAGCACTGCCGGGGAAGCGGAGGTTAGCGAAGGGTAAGAAGGTGACGGGCAGACAGATGGCTTGTCTCCCTGTGGACTTACTGTTGGCGGCTAAGGGACGTCCACGAGAGAGAAGCTGGCTGCGAGGACCTTTGACTGAGGGATCGGTGTAAGGAGAAGCGGTTCTGGCAACGGGGTCCTTCATGGTTCTTAAGTGCTTTCTGCTATCCTCGAGATCGGGTGGCTTTGGAGCGAGCGTCGACAGGGGCTGTGGGAGCTGAGTCGAGTTCGGCAATGTGGGTTTACGGAGAACCCACTTTCTACTGGGGAAAACGGGGGACAAGAGACTTAGGGACCGGGGCACACTGATAACACTTAGTCGACAGTCCTTCCGCACCCGAGGTAGAGGAGTGAGAGTATATAAACGCGTGGAGCGTCGAGCAGTGGCGTGGCCAATGGGGAGTGACGACAGCATTCCAAGTAACGACTGGTGCTCCCGCTCGGGAGTGACACCGGGTACATGTGGATGACGATTCGGGATGGTGGTGATTGGGTGGCCGGGCCACGAATTGTTTCCGGAGCTCGTCGATCGCACCCCTGTCGCCGTTCGGGAAAGGACACGGCGATGGCCTGTTTCATAGGTCGGGCCAGACGACACGGCGTTGCTGTCTCGGGTTCAACTCGATCAAATTGAGCTGCAACTAGCACGGCAACCGCATCAAGTTGCAATGTGTTGGATTGGATAAGTTTGGCCTTGGAAAAGTACCAATCTTTGTTATCTTTTGTCAAAGCTTGCCACTTCCGGCTTGCTGCACCTGCCGACTCAACCCCCCTCGGGGTTTTTTTGATGCTTAGATCGGGTGCCGTTTCCGTACCAAACAACCACTTATCGGCAACCACAGCTGGACACACAAATCCTGCGCTGCAATCTTTGACCCTGGCCCGCGATGAGATGCAATTTCTCTGCTTCCTTCCGGCCTTTCGACTTGAGTTCCCCGGTGCCAGATTTTGTGGGCGACCGGGAAAAGCAGGGACATTATGAGATGTTGTTTTCAGTGACACAATTTGGTAGATCTTACGGAGCCTCAGGAACGCTCAGCGAAGGGCTGAGATTGTCACATGACTTGTCGGACGAAACAAACCCTGCAAGTTTCGATGCTGTCTCACATTTGGCTCAACCTTCATGGCCTTGCTATTGTGAGCGTCCAAGAAATGGTTTCAAGTTCCTCCCAGAGGCATGTGCGATTTCCTTCCAGTCAGCAGATAAGGCCAGGCGGTTCCCTTGAGGGCTCAGGTCCATGGGGCTCAATCCAAGGCCTTGCCATTGGTGTCCCTGCGTGTTGAACGAGCTGTACTGTACATTACACTACGGGCGCTGTTACCTTACGGTGCTCCCCTCATCACTTCAGCGCCAAGCTGTATATCAAGGTGGCTCATCAAACCAGGGCGCTGGGTTGCCCAGACCTTGGCAACCTGATTCTCCCGGTGGACCTGTTCTGGAAGGGCAAAGGTTACCCCGCGATGCTTGAAAACTCTCCCAGGCGGGTGACAAGGCTCGGATCGCCGCTAAGGCTTCCCCGCGAATTGCCGCAACAGCGGATCATGAACACGGGCATCAAAGCAAAGCGCGCAAATGCCTCCGTGTTTCATTTACCGTCATGGCCCAGGGATGGGATATTGCACGGCAACGAAAGTAAAGTATCAATGGATACCTCCGTACGCACAGTGAAATCTGGAGCCCCACTAGGTACGATTACCTCCTTTCGTTGCCGAAACCATTCTGGCAAACAAAGAGGTCAGGGCGGCAAATCACACCCAGCAGGTGGTTCTCCGACATTGCCCGACTTCTTGGGATGCATTTTAAGTCTACATACCACAGTAATGTGTATTCATGCACATACCGGTATATCTAGCCCTCTCTCCTCAACAACAAACAGGATTCGACAGTGCCTGGATGCTCGCCGTGACATCAGCCTGGGCCGTTGGACCGGAACCGTTACGTAACCCGGCAGCGTGACCTTTCCCGAACCCCAGTTGCCCGAAACGGGCGCCCTCTTCCGCATGTGATTGCCCTCAAACCGTGTACAACGATTGGCTGGCAGCTTCACGCACGTGAAAGTCACCGCCCAAAACTCAACAACGTCACGAGGACATAAACAGCGGTAAACGGGCTGGAAATCTAATTTAGATCCAGATCACTGGAATGTCTGTCCGAAAAGAACAGGGGCCGACCGGTCCAGCAGCTGCGTCCAGGTATCGATATCGCCAACTTGAAGGGTGAAGGAGACCTACATCCCTAAAAGAGTCCCGTCGTACTAAACTCCACAGCCTCCTGTTCGGTGACACACCCGGGGTGAGAATCGTCGTGCGATTCCGATTTCTCCCTTCCGCTGGTGTTCTTGACATCACAGTGCCGGTGTATGGATACGCGAAACTGTTACACGTACAGCCCTTGGTCACGTCGGCAACCCCTCCCGGCCCTCAATGACAGCTGCCGATCCCCCGATATCCGCCGATTCGGGTCTTCTTGGCAACCGACTCGGGACCATGATCCGACGATGGCCGAGTACAGCCCCCTCAGCGACGCATGTTTGGTCACGGCGAACGCGATTCAGAGGCCTCCAACTTGTGCAATCTTCGACCTTCGCCTTCATGTGAGACGTTTTCCGAAACCAAATGTCCTGTCTGACTCCAGGCCGAGAAGATCCGCGAGGTGCGCTGTCGGTCGAAAGTAAATTCCCGAGACGGACACACAAAGATGGAGGAAATGAGCCAGTATGGAAGTTGATGAATTCTCACCTCTCAGGGTGCTTGAAGCCTCTGATCGTGCCATATCTCAAGGGCATCTGCAACCCCAGTCTAACACAGATTGTCCGCAGAACTGCCCGCTTTGGCAACCCGCGCCCAGACGGGAGAGCCCGCACTCATCCGCCTCACCCGGATCCAAGACAACAACCCCCGTCTCAAACTCAGCGGCTGTGTGGCTGACGATCTACCAAACAGCAACAGGAACAATACCCTAGACGTTTCACGTATTGCATTGTACATCATTGACTACCGTAAGGGGCAGCCTTCGGCTGGACACAGTCGCTAAGAGTCACTTCACTTCAGAATGTTCAGCATGGTCTCTGCTCCCGGCCATGAATACGCCTGGCCAGATCAGAACGGCAGAGTTGTCTTGTGGTGACCACCTTATCCGTAGTCCAAGCTCTTTCTGGTTTACAGCGCCTCGCCCACGTAAGGTAGTAGTACAGGTTAGTCCCGGTCCATCTGGCTCCGTGTGCTCTAATTCCCTTCCCTTGTCCGTTGTTATCCATCGTCTGGCCCAAGAACATCCGCCTTTCCCCTTTTACGAATCCCGATCTACCCACTGCAACGAGACAACAAGACGCCCTCCCTGTGTCACAACGAACCACAATCCGGAATACCCCATCGGCCATGCTGGCAGAATCAATAGGAATGGAAGTGACTTGTACAGAACGCGCAAGATCTTCGAAAGATCCTACCTGGCCTACGGTACGTTAACATGGGTACCTTATGGTATATCATACTAGTACCGTGGCTCCTTCAGTTCTACGCTCTAAGAGACTCGAACACTCCACCTGACTCGCTTGAATCTTTTCATGCACTGGCAATGACGAGGATCGACCGTCGACGGCACTCAGGGTGGGTTCTGCCGAGGACAATGCCGGCGTGGTATGACATTGGAGTGAGACAACTCACAATGCCCGCCAAAAAGCTTGTTTGCTTGTCACGTTACACTGAGAAGTAGATGGATCAGCGGTCTTGTGCTAGGTCCACGGCGGTTGTGTCGCAGAGGATGGCTCAGTTTGTGGCGCTCTGCACGCATTTTTTTTGATGCGGTTTGTGGATGTTGATTTATGCGTCGGTAGTACTAGGCCATTGCCAGCATAGCCGTTTCGGTTCAATGAGTTCAGGGCACAGGGCCAGCTCACCATGTCGGCTATCCTTTATATCTCTTTGTTCCTGTTAGAGTCCATATATGGACGGACGTAAGAAATGACAGAATTGTGTAGTGGAATAGATAATCTTGAGAGCTCAGCCGTGGTTATAGCCCCAGGTCCAAATGCAAGTCTATGATATAGCAGTGCTTACGGAGTTCCACAGCTCTTCACAGCTACGGCAGTCAGAGAAGCCGGGAAGTCAGATCAACTTAACCACTACATTCTCGTATTCACCGTCATAACGATACTCCATCTTCTCTTGAGCTTTGTTGCGGTGAGTTCAGCTATCTTAAGTACACTGTCTGCCCATCTCATGGAAACTTGAGACTCGGCCTGCCGCTTCCCACGGAACCCAATCAAGACTATTTGCTAATGCTACTATTACCGCCTTACTAACGGAGTTCGTCAGGCACTGTACGCACTTGATTTCTTCAGTTGGGATAAACCCCAGCAAGAAGTCTCCATCATCACACTTGTCCTGGTAGTGGGAATGACATACTGCTTTGTCGGATACCTGGTCTGGTTCGTTTCCGCCTACATATGTAGGCGGCGGAAACAGATGAAGAAAGGGCGAAACAAATCACGTCAAGGAGCCGGTTGTCAGTCGAGCAAAGCCAGGATCCCAAGACTCAGACATAGGGACAGACTCGGATGATTGATACGTTGAGCCTTGACAACATTGGACAAGCCTTGTCCAAACCCTTCCACCACCTGGAAATCTCGAGGCCTGTGGACATGCTGAGCTTGCGCATCCATCACAGTCGCAACACTGGCACCAATTGCACACAGGACCGGTTTCCTACACAGAATTCGAGAGCGGTCTAGGGATGGAATTGGCTCCACAGGTATATGGGGCAGAGAATGATGCGGCAGGCTGAAAGGGCACTCACAGTTCAACAGATTTCTTCCCCCATTGTAAGTAACACGCATAAAAATTAGTTCTGCTGTCAAGTCTATCGCCCCTCTAAACGCATCCCACCGCATTTAACGCAAGTCTGAATGTCACCATAACTGAACCACCACGCTTCTCTACTCAGCTCACTACCTCCCTCTTCCTCACCCTAACCGGCAACCCCCCTTCCATAGGCAACGTCAGACTCGTCTGACTCCTCCTGCCCTCCATCGGCCCTTCCCACGCCTTCTCCAATTCAAACCCCCATACCACAGCCGGAATCACTTGCGCGGCAATCGCCTCCGCCATCTTACGACCCAAGCACGCCCGTGCTCCGCCGTAGAAAACAGGGAACTCGGCCGAGCTCTTGCCCAGCGCAAACTTCACTTTCCCCTTCCCCTGCCCTTCCTCACCATCCTTCTTCACCTCCCCGTTACCAAGACTGGTACTGCTGTCCGTATCATCCGGAACAACAAACCGTTCGGGCCTGAAGTCGTCGGCGTCCTCGCCCCAGGTGAGTTTTGATCGCTGCATCGCCCACAGACACCATACCAGGACTGCGCCCTTGGGCAAGAAGGTGCCGTCAGGAAGGGTGGTCGGCGCCTGGCACTGGCGGATCTCGAAGGGGATGGGCGGGTACAGGCGGAGGGACTCGTAGAAGACAGCGGTTGTGTAGGGGAGGGAGGCCGGGGTGAAGAGTGTTAAGTCGAGGTCGGCGTCGGTGGGGTTGGCTGCTGATGGGGAGGGCGGGGATGATGGTGGTGGCGGTGGATGGGAGGGGTCTTGTCGTTGTTCTTGGGAAAGCAGGAGGCTGGCGACTTCGGCGCGGATTTTGGATACAGCTTCTGGGTGTTGGAGGAGAAGGTAAAAGGTCCAGGTTAGCGCTTGGCCGGTTGTGTCTCGGCCGGCGGAAAGGTAGGTGAGGGCGGCGTCGGCCACGTGTTGTTCGTTGCCCAGTGCTTTAAGGAGGGATTGGATGAGGCTGCCCGAGATCTGGTCCAGTTTGCTGTCTTTGGCGAGAGGGCCGTCGGTCCCGTCCTTTGATCGTTGTTCCCCGCGGTCCTGGACGGCTCTAGCCACAATGCGTCTGCCAAACTCCTTGACGATGGAGACGGATCTGCGGAATTCGCAGCCGACGAACAGCTCGGTGATGGGCCATAGTGGGTTCTGGAAGCGTTCAGCGGTGGCACCGGAGGCGAAGTCGAAGGACTTGGAGAAATCGTCGTTGGCGTGCATTTCCATCTGGATGTGGTCAGGAAGGGAACACAAACAGCTTTAATCGTTAGGCTTTCTCACATTGTAGGCCATCTTGCCCATGAGTTTGGTGGTGATTTCGTGAAGGACATGCTGCAAGTCAACCGCCCCTCCGCCAAGGCTGGTTTTCAACTCCTCAACGCTCTCAGATAGATACTGGGGGAGGGCCACCTCAGTCAGGACTCGAAGGTTGGCTGTGTTGAGGAAAGCCGAGCCAGCCTTCCGCTGCAGCTTCCAGAAGTCTCCATCCGCATTGATGATACCATTTCCTGCTCAGGTCAGACGGGTGACATGAACCAAGGCTAAGATCCCTGCCTACCAAATAAATCCCACGACCGCTTCTTCACAAACTCGCCTTTAGTGAACAGACCCTCATTCTTGAAGACGAAGTCGAGGTTTTGCGGACTGTGGATGAGCACTCCTGGCGGCAGCGTTGGCACACTCAGGGCCACCGTCTCATAGCCGAACTGGCGCTGGCATTTATCGAACCAGCTGAGGAGGTCCCATCGGGACTGTAGGAACTTGATGCCGTTGCCGACCAAGGGGAGGGTGTCGGGGGGTTTTCTGGTTAATGTTAGCGGGGAAGCGAGAGAGGGAGGAGTTCCGATTCACACCTCAGTGGTTCCCCATTCCGTCGGATGGCTCTCCTGGGTCCTGAAACAGCGCGGATGAGAATGGTGAGAACAGCCGCAATGGCAATGTAGTTTCCGTACTCCACGACAAGTCCCATGTCGTCAGCTGTGGAAGGTGTGCCAAGGAGACGGTAAGAGAAGCATTCAGGTCTTTATAAATGCGGCCAGTGTGAATTCAGAGACTCGGAACAGGGAAGGGTGATGCAAGGATGGTTAGGCGAGCCAATGGCTATCCCTGGTGAAGATTTACCTGGGCCAGGGGATATGGACTTGGACGTGCCGGACGGGCTTGAACTGGATCCAGCAGCGCCTGAATTTTCAAGTTTCAGAAACAAACTTCCAATGTTCACCCAAAGTTAGTGAAGTGAGGACTGCAGGCCGCACTTCAACTGAATGACAGCTACCACGATTCTGAACCTGCTTGGGCGACCGCAGCTTTTGTGGGACTTGCAGCGTCCCTTCCAGGGGCTGATAAGTATTGGTTCCGCAACTTAGCGCCAAGCTGCACTAAAAACGGGATGTTGTCATGTCCCAACCTCTTTAAATCCTGATCTCATGACAAAAAATCACATGCAACCTGCACCCGCTACACAAACACACAACAAGCAGCTGCCGTAAACCTTGGTGTTGTACGGAGTATCAGCTTTCTGGCGCCATCTCGCTTGGTATTACATATACCGAGACACCAGCAATCCAATTGACATTCACGTCGTTGACACTCAGCTCCGTGTGAACCGGGTTCCGATCACAGATTGACTCGGTCAAAGGTGCAAGACCAACAATGGCGCCTCGAATACCACGGATGGGCGTCTTTGAGATAGCAGATTTTCCTTGGTACAGTACCCTGATTGAGACCAGTCAAAGTATAACGGTATCTTCTGACTCTGTGGTGACGCAACCCATCCAGGTTCCCCAATTTCCTCCGAGCCTACGTTCAAGCAGGTCTCACCGCAGCCTGGACAACTCCCGTATTGATTCCCTCCTCATCACTAGTACCCGGTATAAACCAGACTCACTCACACAGCCCCTAGATCCCCCTCCTCCAAACCTCCACCCCAGCCGAGCTCGTCGCCCGCCTCCTGCGCACCCACCTCTCCAGTGACCTCGACTCGTACACCTTCATCGACTTTTGCGCCGGCGGCGGCGGCCCAACCCCGTCCATCGAGCGCCACCTCAACCGCACCATCTGCCATGGAAAAGACATTCCTGAAACAGAACCCGTCCAGTTCGTCCTCACAGACCTGCATCCCCACACCGACCTCTGGGCCAAAGCGGCGTCTCAGTCCCCTTACCTGTCTTACGTCCCGGGGCCAGTCGACGCGGCGAATGCTCCGCGGGATTTGCTGACCAAGTACCGTACTGGTACTGGTACAAGCACAGGTTCAGCCCACGGGCAGGGCCAGGGTGGCAAGGGGAAGAAGGTGTTTCGATTGTTTAACCTTGCCTTTCACCACTTTGATGACGGGCTGGCGAGACGGATACTGAGGGATACCGTTGAGGGCGGGGGTGATGGGCTCGGGTAAGTCTTTCTTTCGACACTCTCCCGTTCCACACCCATCCGATGATTTTATGTGAGGGTGGAAGTGCTGACAGGTCGCAGGATCTTTGAGCTGCAGGATCGCGGGGTGGCCGGGTTCCTGGCGTGCTGTCTGTTTGGCCTGGGAACGATAGTCATGGCCCCTTACTACGCTTTTTTGTGGGGGGCTCCGATGGCGCTGTTTTGGACCTATGTCCTGCCCGTCCTTCCGTTTGTGCTGGTCTTTGATGGGTGGATGTCGTGCCTGAGGACTCGGACGCCGGACGAGGTCGAGGTGTTGCTGCGCACATGTGGCGCCGACGAGGCGGAAATCGCCAAGTGGGAGGTCAGGAGTGGGAGTGACATATTCTTGTGGCCGGTAGGAAGCGTGAATTGGGTGATTTGCCTCAAACGGTAGGAGGGGTGGCTGAGAGCAGGCCGGGTGGGAGAGAGGGTTTAGGGGGTTTATTGTAGATGCCAAAATGCCCATGCTTTCAATGGTGCTATATATCGTAACCCAGAATTCGAGTCCCATGATCAAGCGGTTGTTTGCGCTCCGACAGCTTTTCCTCATCCAAACAGTCCCGCGCAACAAAACCGTCTGGGGTATCAAGCTTGTTCCGCCACCCACACCGGAAAGAACCACGCTTCACTTCTTGGACATCATCAACCTGAGAAACTCGTCTTCGTCTACCCCACCCTTGCCCGACGCATCAAACTCCTCAATCATGGCCGCGATGTCGGCGTCGGGTATGTTGTTGCCGACCTGCTTGCTGACCTTGCGCAGGTCGTCCTGCGTGATCATGCCCTTGCCGTCGGTGTCGAACAGGCGGAAGGCGCGGCGCAGCTCCTCGCGCGGGTCCCGCGCCCGGACTAGCGTGCCGGCGATGGCCTGCGTCGTCGGCAGGTTAAACAGGCGGTACACGGGCGCGCACTCCTGGTCGTGCGGCCAGTTGGCGGGCTTCTGGCCGTGCCGGATCAGCAGGTCGTACGTCTGCGACTTGGGCAGCTCGAAGCCGAGCGCGCGGAGGACGAAGCGGAATTCTTCGTAGGAGAGGAGACCGTCTTTGTTGGAGTCGAAGAGGTCAAACTGTGGAGGGTAAGGTCAGGGAGCTGCGCGGAGGAGGCGGAGGTATGCAGCAGGACTAGGCGGACATACGGCTTCGTTAATACGTGTTTTTTGTTCGTCGGATAGTTTATTAAAGTCTTCCCTTGCCGGGATGGTATATTGTATTGCGCGGCTCGTGGATGCCATTGTATGTAGGGGTATTGCAATTGGCGCCCGAGGCGCAGACGCTCCGACGAGCTGGAGGCGGTCGGCAATGCGGTGCGATTAAGGATTAAGGGGCGGGTTACCAAAATAAACAGACCAAAACAACACTTGGCAGTGAAGCGGTATCGCTGTTCGAGGTGCTATTCGTAGAGAGGATCGCAGCAAGATCGATAGGTATGGAGCTGTACGTCGCCGTTGTGCATGGTCGAGGGTCGACAGTGGCTGGTCGCGGTATACTGAGCCCCTCCGCCTGCCGAGCTCCAAAATCCGACATTGAAAGACCAAACCGCGTTGCATCTTTTACACAGTACAGCACTTTACGCGTCTGCTTCCGGCGGGCCAAGCGGGACCACCAGCTAGTGGGGCCCGTTCCCGACGGGACCCACTGAATTTTGAAGGGCGAGCAGATCCAATTGAGGTGATCTTTTCCCATCAACGAAGCTCCAAGTCACCACCATCCAGCGACAACCCCCTGACTCACCCTAAGTGTTGCGACACACCCAGGCAATACCAGCACACCGGTCAAAACCCCGCAGTCCATCATGCCGAAACGCAAACGGGACGAGTCTGTCGATGCCCTCTTTTTCCGCTATCGCACCGACCTCTTCCACGCCCTGAAAACCGCCAAGGGCTTCGAACGCCAGCGCCAGTCCAAGCGCCTGCATGACCCCGCGACGGACGCCGACAAGCGGGCGCGCATCGAGAACGAGGTGGTCGTCCTCAAGTCACTCGACCTGCACCAGACCGCCCACGCCCACCTCTGTTCGTCGCTGCTCAAGATTAAGGCCGTGGCTGAGTCGGACAGGCTGCCCAACGAGATCAAGGCTAGTGTTCCTAAGCCGGATCTGACGGACGAGGAGAAGGCGCTGTTGCATAATGTCACCAGCTCGTTGTTTAACCGGGCTGAGGTGAGAGGGGTGGTGGAGAAGGCGGTGGAGGCCGTGTGTAGAGCGCTAGGGGTGCCGGTGCCGGAGAAGAGGGGGAAGGTGAAGAAGGACAAGGAGGCGAAAGAGGGCGGGAAGAAGGCGGGGAAGGGTGATAAGGTGAAGGATGGGGCGGAGGGTGGAACTGACGTAGGGAAGCGTGGCGGGGTCGAAGCTGGAAGGGACGGTGGAAAAGAGAAGGAAAAGAAAAAGATTTGGGAAAAGGTCGATCATATCGACCAAGCTGTGGGCGGAGAAGTTGCTGACGAAGAAGAGAAGGCTATTTCCCAACTTGACCAGCTGTTGGGACTAGACTCCGGCGAGGAGAAGGACGAGGACGAAGAAGTAGTCTTGATCAAGGGCAGGACTAGGAAACCAACACGCGCTGAGTTGGACCCAATGGAAATCACAACCGATGAGGAGGGGGATGATGAAGACGACGACGAGGACTTAGATCCGATGGAGATTACCGATGAGGAGGAAGGGGCCGGCAGCAGCGAAGCCGAATTCAACGGTTTCAGTGACCCAGACGAAGAGGCCCAGCAGAGCTCGGCCAGCGACGACGAGGATGCCTCCGATGCGGAGGGTTCTGCTTCTTCCGTCTCCCGTTCGCCACCAGCAAAAAGAGTCGCAACCTCCAAAAAGACGACGGGGGGCCTCAAACCCACAGATTCTACCTTCTTGCCGTCACTTATGGGCGGCTATATCTCTGGATCGGAGTCGGCATCGGACGTCGATGTCGCTCCCCAATCACGCAAGAATCGCCGAGGACAGAGGGCGCGGCAGGCGATCTGGGAAAAGAAGTATGGGAATAAGGCAAAGCACCTGCAGAAGCCTGCCAATGGCCGCGATGCAGGATGGGACCTTAAGCGTGGTGCAGTCGACGGGGACTCAAAGCCATGGAAACGCGGTATCCGTAACCCCTTACTGGACAAATCGAGGGGTTCAGGGGCGAACGAAACGGAGCTCGGTCCACCCAAGAAAGAACCGCCGCCGAGGAAGCGGGATGACGCTGGCCCGCTTCATCCCAGTTGGGAGGCGAAGAGGCTGGCCAAGGCGAAGCAACAGACAGCTGCATTTCAAGGGAAAAAGATCACGTTTGACTGAGGTAGCGAGTAAAATCAGCGATATTTCGACGGGCCTATGCCGCTAGCCTATGGTTTGGCCCAAAGTTACCTAACGACGCCCGTACTCCTTGCCATGAGATCATCGGTATCTCCGAGTGAACGCCTGTCCCTAAACGCCCATAAGATTTGATCGATGCAGTAATAAGGATGTCCGCAAAACTCGGCCGATAGGTGTAAGCACTGCTGAATAAAGCTGCAACCATAACCGGCAAAACGCAAGACCAGTCCTCGATCAAATCCCGCAAACGACCCGAAAAAGGGCCCCCTTTCACATCCCCAGACACGACCGCTTCGGCGAACTGCCATTCGATCTGCCGCCCCAACTGTGCTTGGACCCTCCACCAACACCACCCGGCCCTTTCTCGTCCTCGTCGTCTGAATCTGAATCCGATTCAAGGTCATCATCTTCGTCAGAATTCTCGGATTCCAGGTCTTGAAACACCTGCAAGCGAAATACCTCCCCAGCGACGGGCACTAGCATGGCTACCACGTGCGCTGCCATTCCTACGCCCCGCATTATCCTCACCTCAACTCCTCTCCGTCCGTGTCAGAACTCAGATCCATGTCGATGTCACCGCCAGAGACATCGTCGCCGAGAAGGCTATCCGCGGCTTGGAAAGTTCTGTTTTCACCGTTCCCAGCGCCGTCTCCGGGTCCATGTACGGATCCGCCCCTGTCGACGGCGCCGTCGTCGTCGTCGTCACCCGTAGGGTCCACGGTGTTTTCAACGTCACCCGTGAGGTCGACTACCTCCCTGGGCTGTGCGTTTGCATTTGCGGTTGGAGTTGCGTCTGCATTATCTCCTCCCTGAAACTCAGGGTTTAGGTTGGTGTCCACCGCGTCCCGGTACCCGTATCCGCGCCTGGTGTGCCCTGGTTTGGCGTGGGTCGGGGTGAATTGCGCGGGAGAATGGACGGGCCGGGCGTGACGAAGAGGCTGTTTGCAGTTGACTCTCATCTGTCTCTCGGTGTTGCGTCCTGCTGGTCATTGATTTCTGCGCGAGGCTTGGTCCGGTTCTGCCCTTCAGGTTTAGGTTCGGGATTGGGTTGCGCGGCCCGGGGCTGACGAACATGCCGCTTGTTGTGAACTCCCTTCTTGCGCTTGGTTTGGGTGTCTGCCTTGGTCTGGGGGTCTGAGGCACACGTCCCGGGCCGGGGCTCACGAAGAGGCCGCTAGCGGTTGATTCCCTTCGCGCGCGGGTGCCTGGGCCTGGGGTGCGGTTTGCGGGTCTTTCGGGTATGGCGAACCGCGGGGTTGAATCACGTTTTGCAGGTGCGTTGCGGTTCTGAAAGTGTTGTTGGGGGTTCCGGTGAGCGTGCTTCCCGGTGGACTTGCGGAATGAGGCCGAGGGAGGGAGCGGGAGCGGTTGGAGACGGCGGGCCCGGAGGACTCATTGGAGCGGTGTCCGAGTTCGAGTCTGACTCCAAGTCCGAGGAGAAACCGTCTGAGTGTGCCGATATCTCGATGAGCTCGTCATCTGATGAGGAGGAGGAGGAGGAAGTATCACTGTTGGAGTTCCGCTCTGAATCTGAGGCAAAGACAGACAATTGGGACGAGAAGCCAGGGCTCTGGCGACGGCGCTGCAGAGACGAGGCAGATCCGGCAGACTCTCACGCCCGAATCCGACTCCGTGCCATCTGACTCATCTGAGCTCGACCATGCGTCTGAAGTCTCAAGAGTCAGACGACATATCGAGCACCGGCGACCTTGTGGTCACGCTCAGATACGAAGCCATATCCGCGTCGCGATTGAGCCTCTGAGCCGCAGGTCATCATACGAGCAGCGTCCATCGCTGTCGATGAAAATGCTCTTGACCAGCTTCCAGTCATCATCGCTGGGCTTCCATTTACGGTCATCACCAGCAGGCAACAGCGGCTCCAGGTTCTCGAGCTCCGAGTGTTCCTGTCGCTTGGGCGGTTTCGGCAAGGTGCCTTTGTTGGTCACATCCTCAAGAAAGTTTCAATCGGCGACAGAGACCCGAACGCTTCGCCTGGCCTCCAAGGCCTTGTTAAAATCGTAGAAGCGAACCCACTGCATCCCACGAAGCTGGCAGATGTAGTCCACGCCCTGGACACTTCGCAGGGACCGAGTCATGCGCTGATTTGGCTGCCCGGCCGTTTTGGCTGCCAGCAAGCGCTTGGCCGCCTTGTTCTCATACCCGCTTCGAACATACATCTTCCCAGACTCGTTGATGTGGATGACGAGCGTCTTCAGTCGGTACACGTCGGCCAGCCACGATAGTGGATAACTGCGCCGTGAAAAGGGGTACTTTCCCCGTTCGTCAGCCGGCGCGGTCAGGTATAGATGACCTTGAAGCAGCAGCTCCATGTGCTGGATGCGAGAAAGCCTCGCCAGCCCAATGCCTTTAAAGAACCGTCCGAACTCGCAAGCTGGAGAAGGCGAACGTGTTGAGGCCGTAGAAGATGTGGACGCCGATGAAATAGAATCCCTTGCACACGGTGAGGATTCCGAGTACTTCATTGGGATCCTTGCCGTCGTTGGAGATGCTGCACTCTCTCTTGCCCCAAAAGAAGAGATTCTCGAGGCCGCTGCCATGCTCCCCAAGCTCCTCGGCGCTGGGGGAACGCCTCGGGATGCACGAACGGGTCAAGCCGTGAGATGCAGTGGATCAGGCCGTCCTCCTTCAGAATGAAGGTCAAAACCTTCGGTTGGGCCTCCCACGGCAGCTGCTGAAACTTGAATGGGCTTTCGTCTGGTTGTGAGGAGACACCGTTCTGGGCGACACGACTTTCTGAGGGGCGAGGGCAGCGCCGTCTTCATCAGAATCAGATTCGGAGTTCGAACTTGAATCGTCTTGTGCCCTTCGAGAAAGGGCATCCAATTTGAGGTCCGGATGAACGACCTCTTTGCGGACGCTCATGTTTTTCTTATTTGCAACACTGACGGTAGATCTTGGCGTATTTCTGCATGACAGCATGGTTGTTGCGCAGGTGAGCTCGGAGCACATCCGGCCAAGCCTACGAGCGTGTCAGTCTGGGATTTTGTTGAGAAATAAACAGATCAAGTATCGCGTACCCGCTCGTGGTGCTTGCCGACTCCAGCCCGCCTCTCTAGGAGCCGTTGGATCTCATCTCTGAGCGCTCTCTTTCCATTCTCAAGCCTGTTGATCTCGGGTGTTCTGGCCTGAATTTGTCCTCGGAGACTCCGTCTCTCTTCTTCACGCCGATCGACCTCGGCCCCCAGCAACCTTTCGCGCCGTTGGCATTGCGGGTTGACGCAGGAAAGAGCCCCCCAACGGGAGCAATTCTAGCAGCTCCCGGTACTGCACAATCATTGCCGTCATCGTCCATTGTATGCCACTTAGCGTACGAGGTTGGGAGAGCGGAATGGCATGGACTGGAGAGATCGGATCCCGATTGGAATGAGGAGGAGCAACGAGTGCTGTTGGTTTGGGTAGCTGAGTTCCGGGAAGAGAAGAGAATGCAGATATTGACCGAGGATTCAAAAAAGAGATTGAAGACCAACTGGAACCCTGGTAGCAACGATTGTTGTCGACTCAAGTGGAAAGGGTTCAAGGCAGAGAAGAGAATGCAGAGCTTGTTGGAAGGGTGAAGAAAAAAGAATGAAGGCTGGAGAGCGTCATTAACGTTAATTGAGGCGTGCTTGGCCAATTTCCGGCGAGCTCAAGGACGGAAGTTTGGTTATGTCGTGAAAGCCAAGCAGTCGAGAGGATGGTTCATTGGAAGTTGCTTGGTTACCCGCAGGCTTGGAGAGGCAGAAAAGCAAAACATCTGGCTGTCTTGGAGCCTCCGGAAAGCAATGGTTTGTTGAAAGAATCCCTCAATTGCGATGGAACGGCGTTGGAAAGTGTGGAAGTATGCAAGTGGGCGAAGTGATCCGGTTGAGAAGGATGGTGGCGTGTTGGAAGAAGGGCCCAAGGTGCCTGCACCTTTCGCCGTGGTCTTGAAATCAAAATCTTCAGCGCGAGGAAGACGGAATTGTAAAAGGAGTACATGGAACGCCGGTGAAGATAGTCGTGGATAGATGGGAGAAGAAGCAATTCCAGGTTCCTGGGGATGAAATTGGATGCCCAGAGCAGCCCAGTCGATGGATTCTTCGATCTAATGTGGGCAGAGACGGGCGGACAAGATTGGCACTGCAAGGCGACGAGTCTCCGGAAGAAAGGTGGTTGATGGCCGAACGGGTCGAAGTCTGGGAGAGAGAACCTAGGGTACCTACGTTAGGTGTTCTCTGAGTCGTGGACTTATGGAGGTTTTAGGGGGTTTGACAAACTCAAACCACTCTCGTAAAATTAGCATTGCGACTGGACTGTGGAACTGGCATTCTTCAGCTTCCGGTGAACCGTGGCGTTAAGAACAGACGACAGAGACAAGAGAGCTTGTTCAAGTCGAATTCGTCGAATTAGTCGGGATGAAGCGCTCGGTGAAGCAGCGGCGATGATCAAGGTATAAACTTCACTGCTTCGGCAAAACTCTAGCGCTTCTTTGTGCTTTTCCTCCTTTGCAGAATTCCAGCACATTATATGGATACCTATGAGAGGAAATGGAGGATAAGGGTACAAGAGATGGAAACCAGTTAAGAGGAAAAGGGTCTCAGTGAAAAGACCACTCCTCTGCTATCTGCTATAGCCCACGCAGGCTGTAATGGTTGCGAGTGCCGACTTCTGGGCTTTCCGAAGAGATGGCAAGGGGGCACCATAGAGGAGGTGCTTGTCCCACAACTTATATCCCTCAAACATTCCGATCCAGGAAATAAGGTAGACAAAGCTTTGAATCACACGCGGTAGCATGGATACTTCAAGAGTAGGGCCCATCATGCATCAGAGACTCGGCCTGTGAGAAAGGGCAGATGCTTGAGCCAACGTCTCACCTTGGAGGGCCACAGGCCAGTGGCCATAGTGAGTGCGTCGGCCTCACGAGCACCCATATTCCCTTTGCTACGGATGAGCATCCCCGTTGTGTTGACCGTGGCGTTGCCTGACCTCGAACGGTCTTCTCGGTCGAGCTCGTCGACCTGACAATGCGCAAGGATAGTTTGAGCCTGAGATGGCCCGGGACCACAAGATCTTGAACTGGGTTGTTTTGGTCGCGACACCATTGCTGCTCCTGCTGCCGCAGTCATGCGTGGGCTGCTTTGTGCAGGCTACTTTGAGAAGTCGGCGACAGCGAGGCTATAGCTTGCTTAAACGCCTTCCAAGGACCGTATGTTCTCACCCCGGGTATGGGGTCCCCTTGAAGAGACCTGTTGTCAGGCTCTCACTCCCCTCAGCAGCATCAACATCGTCTACTCCAGTCCAGAACACCAAACAACATCCGAAACCAAAGGCCGTCTCCAACTTTTCCAAGGAAGACCCTTCAAACCACTCCGATCACCATGTGCGATTTCGAACACAAGATTTACGCCTGTGGCCACAGGTCGTTGTGCTACAACCGCGTAAAGGGAGCCAACTGCTGCGGCCGCTGCAAACGCCTCTTGTCGGACACCCAAGACATGTAGACCCAGAACCCGTTGAACATCTGCAGCGCTTGTGAAGGATACGCGGATCGGTATCTCGATTTCAGCTCCCACGGCTAGCCGCGCTCTTCAAAGGGTGGCGGCTTCAGCAGCTGGTCGAATCGCCATTAGGCGCTGCCGTCGGACCTAACTTGAAGGACGGCGAGCATAGCTCAGCTTTATCATCTATCCAGAATTCATTGGTGGGGTGCGTCTGCCGAGTCAGCAAAAGGTTGAGAAGGATAGGGGAACTCTTTTTTGGTTCGAGAGAGATCACTCCTTTTCACTCTTTTGTCGGCATGACGCTGGCCGTGGTGTCAAAGAGTGTCCGCTGGATAGCGTCTCTCCTGTCACTGGTTTTTTTTGTTAGTATGACGCTGGCCGTGCGGAAGTAGATAATTTCTATTGAAGCTGGGCAGTTGGCAGCCTGTTGGTCTCTGCAGTGTCGTGACTCGTGGCACTAAGCCATCACACTGAAAGCACCCTGCCACGTCCTAGGCAGCAGCAACATTAACAGCAACAGCAAGCCCTCTTGCCTCCCGCTCAACAACCTGGAAGTTCCATGATCCACGTCGCCTTTGGGATTCCAGGAGGCAGGGCTCGGCCGCGTCAAGTAGAGGGCGTCCAAGTAGAGGGCGCCCAAGTAGAGGGCGTCCGACTTGTTGAGCTTGACTTGAGGTTGGGCTATTGTAGTGACTGGTGACCTGGATAAGATATGCAGAAGTGTTTGGGAAGAAGCTGATCCTCGTTCATTTTATATTCGGCTCTCTCGAGGAGTCGGGACCCAGGGATTGATGGGACATCCCATGGAACTTAAATGGCTCGGATGAATGGTTACGGGCGGCCGGCTGCAGCCATTAGGGCAGCGAGCGATGCACGCTGTGCCAGCCAAGAAGGCCTTTGAGCTGCAAACAACTGCCCTCGTAGCACGCGTACTGGCCGGCACGTCCACAGGACCCGCTTCCACCAAGACTTCTGAGGTGGAAACAGCCGCAGTCAGCTCTCTGGTACGGAGTACCTAATCGATAGCTAGCCGGTAACCCCGCGCCCACCTCACCCCACAACCTCAGCTCCGAGCTCAGACAGCTCTACCAGCCGCAAGCATCTCCATATGCACCTCACGTCTTTGAGCCTCATCATCAGCGCCGGCAGCAGCACTATCTCACCATGTCGCGCACAATGCAGATGCCGCCGCCTCCGCCGCTTCTCTTAGCCAAGCGGGTGACGTCGTTCCTGCGCGCCAACCTCTCCCCGCAGATCCACTCGGCCATGCTCACAACACCGGCTGGCAGCCTGCTCGCCCACGCTAGCAGTTTACCGGCGAGCGCTCTCCGGCGCCAGGCTGCCGTCGCCGCCTCGCTCTGGGCCATTCAAGGGCCAGCGCGCACGGCACCGACCTCCTCGGGCGTCTCGCCCGGGGCAATACCCGCGGGGAGCACCGTCCGATCGAGAAAGAGCGGCACGCACTCCGCGCCGACCGTCACCGTCCAGCTCGACAGCGGCGCCGTCTTCGCCATCCGCCGCCTGCGTTGCGGCATGCTCTTCATCTGCATGGGCGGCAACGAGGCTGCCGGCCCGGCGCAAACAAAAACAACAACCATCCCAATAACCCCGCAACCACCACCAAACGACCCAACATCCACACCCGCACCCACCGCCGAACACCCCGCGACCGAACCACCCGCCCGTTCCCGCCCATCGACCCCACCACCCACCACCGCCCCACCAACCTCGCACCCAACAGCAGCAGCAACAGCAGCAGGAGCAACAGCAGGCGGCACACCAACGCCCAGCTCCCCAAGCGAAGCAGCCTCGATCCTGTCCACCCACACAACCCAGACAACGGGCGCCGCGTCCACCACGAGCACCGCCACACTCTCCGGGTCCAGCAGTAGTAGCGTGTCGCTGATGCGGCGGCACGTGGAAGAGCTTGCGCGGTGGCTTGACGAGCGGCTGGGCGGGTTGTACGTGCCCGAGGAAGGGATTGGTGTTGGTAATATCGGGGTGGGGAATGGGAATGCCGTTGGTGGTGGTGGTGGTGCGGGGAGTGGGGGTATGGGAGGAGGAGAAGGTAGGGGGTTAGAGGTGAGGTAGAGCATTGGGGTGGATGGATGAGTGGCCGGAGATGTTATCGCGTTAGACGGGAGAGAGATGAAAAAAGAGGGGGTAGAGCGAGCAAGACATTCGGTGGTGAGAGAAGATGGACTGAGTGAAGATGGAAATGTAAGGAGTTGGAAGATATCAGCGCAGGTTGAAGGAGGATGGGATAGATGATGACTGGAGTAGCAGTGACAGCAAACAGAGCGAGCAGATATTAATAGACCAGCAATCTTGGACTATCCGATGCTACGTCTTGCCATGCCGTTCGTGAAGCTGACAAGACAGGGCAAATAAGCTAAACTGTTGTTGGGAACAACCGTCCCAGAGAATCACCATATATCAATCCCAGCATGGCGAAACCCAAAACCATGAACCAAAAAAACGCCTGCCCTGAATGGATATCCATGATGATGATAATCCCGCCCAGTTCCAATCGCCGTTCCATGCAACCTGCCCCAACCCAAGAAAGCCTTTTTTCTATAGAAAATAGAAAAAAAAAAGACCACCGAGTACTAAACGCCCCGTCTGCAGAAATGGAACTCAATACCCCAGATCAAACCCTGCCCCATGCCGACCTCACTCAATGCTCAACCGCGTAATCCCATCATGCGTCTCCGCCATGCCCCGAAACCCAACCCTGACCTTCCCCCCGCCACCATGCGACGAGCCTCCATTCTCACTCCCCGCACCACCACTCCCGCTATTCCTTCCCCCCACGCTGTCCCCACCGACGCTCCCCGGCCGCGACGCCATGGACATGGACGACGCCGTGCTGCCCCACGGCGCCGAGTCGCGCTGCAGGGGCGACTGCATGACGGGCGAGTTGTTCACGCTCATGCCCGGGCTGACGGCACGGCGCTTGATGCTGACGGGGTTGAGGTCGTCGTCGCCGCGCCGGCGCTTGCTGTTGTTGATGCGCCGCGTGATCTCGGCGGCCGTCGGCGGGATCCCCATCCCCATTGGGCCTGCCGACGCGCCCTGCATGATGATGCCGGCCGGGTAATTGCTGTTGTGGGCCAGGTTTGGGTTCGTGAGGGCGGGAGGGGCCAAGGGTGTGCCGTCGCCTGAGCTGCTGGCTGTGGTCTGGGTGGCCCCACCGCCATCGCCGCCTCCGGGGATGGCGAAGGGGTTGCTTTGGCTTGCGCCGCCGTTGGAGCGGGCGGACGGCGAATCCATGCTGATGTCTTCCAGGCTCATGGCAGTGGATGACGCCCGGGCTAGATTGAGAGGTGGCGGGGGAGGGGTGACGCGCTGGGTGGCGCCGGTGCTGCTCGTCTCGGAAAAGGTGTCCCAAAAGACTTTGCCCTTGGAATTTTTCAGGGCTTGCTGCTTAAACGCGCCCGAGAGGCCCAGGGCGCTGGCGGTGGGGTCCATCATCATGACATCGTCGCTAATCTCTTCCATGCTGTCGTGGGTTGCGAGATTAGGGCTGGAGAGAGCCGTCGATGTTGCTGATTGCGGCGGCGGCTGCCTCGGTTCTAGATCCATGTCGCTTTCACGGACCTGCCGGACCACCTCGGCTTCGCGGCGGAACTCGGCTTCAATGGGAGCGCTCTCTTCGGCCAGGGCGGCGCGGATTCGTGCAAATCCTTTTGTTTTAGGCTGCGAGAGGATGAGTATGCGAGCACCAACACGTAGAAAGAGGATGACGTACAAGTAAGTTGCCTCGCCGCGTGACAGCTCGCCGGACAATGCTCGGCCGCAGCGGGCTGTCAAGGCCATCGGGCTGCCTGTGGTTGTCGTCGCTGTCGTTGCCTGATATGTGCAGCTGGTTGGCAGCCCAGCTGATGCTCTCGCGTCTATGGGATGACATGTCGTTTGACCCAACCAAATTGTTTGGCGGGGATCTTGACAAGACGCCCGGAGCTGAGCTCGCGAAAAATCCAATGCCTAAGGCCCCCCGCGGCTTTTTCTTAGGCTGTTTGCGCTGGCGTTGTAGTTGCTGGAAACTCGACAGGTTGTTGACCATGGGAGAACCGGGAATCCACGGCGCACCTCTAGCTGCTGCGCTGCCCGGCGTCGCGTTCTTCTGCACCAGCGGCGTGGTGACATAGGCTTCCTCCATATCCTCATCCATGTAGTCGTCATTGTCGGAGCTGGACGACAGGTCCGATATAGCATGATTGGTGCTTCCCACCGAGCTCGATATCTGCATTCGCTCCTGGCTGCCCATCATGGACCACAGCGACGTGGATGCCTGGTCGCCGGCACGGTATTCGGAAGCGTGGCGGCCAGGTATGTTCACCGCCCGGGAGCCAATGGTCGGCGAGCAGTCGGGCGAACCCTGATCGACAACGGTGGAATGATGGAGGCTGGTCGCAGCCCGAGAAAAGTCCATGCCCCGCGACCGGCGTGGCAGGATGTTTGTTGGCGTAGCATAGATGTGGTCGAGCTGCGGCGAGAGCGGGGCAGCCCTGGCATGGATGGCATGGCCGGACTGAAAGGCGGGCGACGCAGAGGCCGAGTCGCGGAGCGGCATGTGCAGCGCCAGGCCGCGATTACCAAAGCCTGCGCGGATGGGCGTCGATGGGAGTGAGTATGTGTGCTCGCGGTCCTTGTCCCGAATGGCAATGTCGTCCTTTGACTGGCGTCGACGCGCCTCGACAATGTGCGGCGACGGCGATAGCTTTGGCGTGCTCCCTCCGTCCGACAATGACCTTGATTTTGGCGCCGGCGATCCCGTATCTCCGGTTGGTAGACCGACGCCGCTAATCTCGTCCACTACGGCCTCCTCCCTCTCTACATCTGACAGTCGCGACAAGTCGTCCATAACGGCGTGAGAGGCGAACACGGCGCGTGTGGGCAATGATCAAGTACCGCGCCTCGACGCCAATTGGTGTTCAAGAGTTAATAGGCATTCGAATCGTAGGGATGATGGGTGACTAGGATGAAAAAGAATCCATAAGTCCGTCTGGCTTGAGAGGCGCATGTCCGGGGAAAGAAGATCTGCACATGCGCACCGGTTCGTTATGTATAATGATGCTGCCGAGTTGAAGTCGCACTTGCAGCATCAAAGAGCTAATTAGTTGAACCTAACGAGGAGACTGGGATCCTTGTCATGACGTTTCGGTTGCTGGGTTATAGATCTTTACTTGCTTTGGTAAAGTGGTACGGTACCTGCAAGCAGTGTACAATTCGGGTAACGTTACTTACACCGAGGTAACATGGTCCAAGAAAGCGCAAGCAGTCGCCCGGTATTGTATGTACTTTATATATACATATATATATACAGAAGTTTAACAGACTCAGCATGAGTTGATTTTCTTTGCGTTTGCGCCGACCTCTTTGCCGGATTGCGGACGATTGCAGCCCAGAAGTGGTCATTGGATGCATAGAAGTGGTAGTTGACATGGCTTGCGGTCAAGTGCGAGAGCAAGAAAGTTATCGCACGTACTGCGGATTCGATAAATGATGGGCGCCGCTTGTCTGAAAGTAAGAAATATGCCTTCTCTACATCATTTTCCTGGTCGTCAACGGCCAGCGTCTGAGACCGGTTGGCATCGACGCAGGTCGGGGCAACCCGCGCTTGGACTGGTAATGCCTCGCGTGGAAGGCAGTTTCTTGTTCAGTTATTGAACCTTAGGATACCAGACACACACAGCCGCCCTTGCAAAAGTGTAACGACTTTTGAGGCCTTTCTTTAAGCGGTGCTGCGGAAAGTATGTCGTGTGAGCCTCGTGTGGCTGCGCAAGCTCCTACGCAATGGGGGGCGATGGCGTTGATGCCAAGAATTAGTACGTTGGGCTCCTTTGAGAGAGCAAGGATGATGACAGGGGTCACAGCTAGCATGGTGCGGGGCGAGTCGGCATGTCCATTCCATGGAAGCTGGAAGCTGCCTGGTCGGCCAACCACGCAACACTGCCCGGCAACTCTCGATGTCCCACCTCCATCTTCCATATACGACCAAGTCATTACGTTCGTAATACATCGGCTCCTTACCTTGACGCTGACGCAGCCTCCGACCTGCAACTTCGAAGACCAAGATTCAATAATTCCTTCTCCTTCACCAACGCGCGCCTTGCTCTTTTGAACCCGAACCTTCAATTCCCACACGTCTTGCGTGAGCGGGGAACAAGCGAACCGGCTGCGTGAGACACCACACACGTCAGCGCTGCGGAAGAAGCCAACACCTAACACGCCGTCTTCCCAGACTGCGGGCTCGCGACGTGATTCCTTCAACTGCGACTCGAGAGGCACAACCACCCATCCATCACCATGTTTCGAGCGGCCGCGGCCGGGCCCTACGATGAGGCCATCAGTATGTGCCCCCCATACACATGTCCCGCATTTGGAGGTGGTGTGCTGACCAACGGCCTCCATTTCTAGACAAGGCGACCGACGAAAACCTCACGTCGGAAGACTGGGGCGCCATTATGGAGATTTGCGATCGGGTCTCCGGTGACCAGAACGGGCCCAAGGAGTCGGTCCAGAGCCTGATCAAGCGCCTGGCCCATCGCAACGCCAATGTCCAACTGTACACGCTTGAGGTGGGCTTTGACGCATTCGTTCTTCATCAGCGCCCCATACTGACATCCCACAGGTCGCCAATGCACTCTCACAAAATTGCGGCAAGAACATGCACCGCGAACTGTCGAGCCGCGCATTCACCGATGCCCTCCTCAAGCTCGCGAATGATCGCAACACCCACAACCAGGTCAAGGTCAAGATCCTCGAGCGCATGAAGGACTGGTCAGACATGTTCAAGTCGGACCCGGACCTCGGCATCATGTACGACGCCTACTACCGCCTTAAGCAGAGCAACCCGACCCTCCAGCCTCCGAGCGCCCCGCAAAAGAACAGCCTCACCGACCTGGACCGCCAGAAGGAGGAAGAAGAGCTGCAGATGGCGCTCAAATTGAGTTTGCAAGAGGAGGAGCGGAAGAGAAAGCCCGTCGAGGCGGCGGCCGGGTCATCCGGGGCAGGCACGTCGATTGGCGCTGGAGCCGCGGGCCAGCAACAAGCTGCGCCAATCCAGCCAGTGCCGTCCGGTACAACTGCCGCAACTGTGTCGCGCGTCAGAGCCTTGTACGACTTCGTCCCGACGGAGCCGGGTGAGTTGGAGTTCAAGAAGGGCGACGTCATTGCAGTCCTGGAGAGTGTCTACAAGGATTGGTGGCGTGGCTCGCTCAAGGGGAAAACGGGCATCTTCCCGCTCAATTACGTGGAGAAATTGACAGACCCGACCCCTGAAGAGCTGCAGCGCGAAGCCCAGATGGAGGCTGAGGTGTTTGCCGAGATAAAGAACGTCGAGAAGCTGTTGACCTTGTTGAGTGCAAGCAACACGGCGCCGAGGGAGGAAGATAACGAGGAGATCTCGGTACGCCTTCCCACCGGCTTTTCTCTCTTGGTGTTTTCAGTGCTGACTTCGGACAGAAACTCTACCACCAGACCTTAGCGATCCGACCGAAGCTTATCAAGTTGATTGAGAAGTACTCTCAAAAGAAAGGTATTTGCCCTCCTATCTATTCGTAGTGCCATGCTAACCCCATACAGACGACTTCACTCAGCTGAATGAGAAGTTCATCAAAGCCAGAAGAGACTACGAAGCTCTACTAGAGTCGTCCATGTCACACCCGCCAGGACCAACTTATCACCAATACGCCATGCGCCCACCGATTCCCCAGAGCTACCCGCCCGCAAGCCAGGGTTACGGAGCCACGCCTCAACCGCAGGATCCCCAGCGGTTCTACACCCCGGCGCCTGCTCTAGGTACGCCTTCGGCTCAGCTGAATTAGATGTAGCTAGAGCATAGCTGATTGTATTTGTTGGTAGAACCGCCCCAGCAATATCCACCATCCTCCCCCACCCCTAATACCTTCCAGCGGCTTCCAGCCGGTGCCGTCCCTGCTCCGTTCTACGTAGCAGGTGCCGAGGTTCCGTCCCAACCGAACCAACCATTAGCGCCAACGCCGCAGCCGCAGCCCCCGCAGTCGCAGTACGCCCAGCGTCCGCCGGAACAGCGGCTGCCCTCGAGCGGCAAGCAGCCGGCGCCACTGCAGACGTCCGCGTCGCCACCGCCTGCGAATCAGTACGCCTCCTACCCGGCCCCACAGACCTCTGCGCGTCCCCAGAGCACCTATGGCGGTCCCCAAGAACTCTCCACCTCAGTCTATGACTCGCCCATCGCCCCGCAAAACGCAAACCCGGCCGCGCCGTTCTCCTCCTCCGTCTACTCCACACCAGACGAAGACCCTTACGCCGCCGCCGCAGCCTCCAACGCGAACGCCCCAAGCGCCCCCACAGCCCCTCCTCCGTCAGTCTCAGCCCCGTCGGTGCCAAGTCCAGACCACGGGCGGTCCGCGTACGGCCATGGCCCAACGCCCGGACCGGGTCAGTACGCCCCCTACCACGCCGCTCCCCATCACCCCCCGCCTCAACAACAGCCCTCCACTCAATCGGGCGGCGGCCCGTACAGTGGCGCGGGGTATGAACCCGACAGTCCCCACGCGCCGCAGCAGGCATCTTCTCGTCCTGCGGAGGGGATGTCATCGCCGCCTCCGTCATTGCAGCCCGGCGGCGGTGGCGGTGGCGCGGCGTTTGATGCTCGTCAGACGCTACCGAGTAGGGTCACTCAAGGGGGCGCGGGCGGACCGCAGTACAAGGCTTATGTACCGCCGGGCCCGACCGGGTCTGCGCCGCCGGTTGGTGGTGGTGAGGGGGGTGTGGCCGGTGGTGGGGTGTCGAGTGCGCCGCCGGCTGCCGCCGCGGAGGGGTACTATCGGACTGCTGCTTATTAGGTTTTGACTTATCTGGTTGGTAGTAAGGGATTGTATAAAGGGATTGGTCGGGTGGAAGGGGTTTGTCTGTTTCGTCCATGACAGCGGACGTTACTCCTGCCGATGTCTGTCTGGGCGTGTTTCAGTTGATTTCTTTGAGAAAGGGGCAAGGGGGAGGGCTAGGTCGTCTATTGGCTATGAACAGGCCAGGACGCTACTTTGTTTGACAGATTACCATTACACTACCGCGGCGGTGATGTGCGGGCCTGAGCTGTTGTTTTGGAGTGGATCCTGAGTTGGGCCAACGCTAACTTACTCTTTGATTTCTTTTTCCGGAGGCAGGGCCATGCGTCAACCTTACTTGCTCAGGGTAACCGCAGAGATGACATGACATGATCGTTACTGACGTTCACATATTTTTTACAATGGCCCGCCTGGGGGAAGGGAGGCAGCTAGTGTGGCAAGATGTGGGAGTGTTACCATTGCTAACATCGTCGGCGTGATGGCGTGGATTGAACATCGATATCTGTTATGCTTATGTTCCACATGGTTTTCAATAATATGTTTGTCCACATCGGTCTCTTGCATCGCTACCTATTCAGCTCGGTAAGGCGGCCCTGGTATGATCCCTTTTAGATGCTGAAGGTTTTTTAAACAAGCGTCTTAGTCCTCTAAGTAAACTCCTCAATTGTCACCCCCTGTCAGTCATTCATGGCAGCGACTCCATCACCGAGAACCCAGCGGCCCAGATCAATCCCTCGGTGTTCCCGCAAGTGAACAGTCGTATGCAGATAATTGCCATGCCATATCGGTCCTATGTCGACCCTCAAAAGACCCCGGGTTATAGGACCTTCTAACACAGCGCTAATCTCATCAAACCGTTCAACATGATTTGCCAACTACGCAGCTCAATGCTAGAAAGCAAAGATGTGGACCAAGGGAAACTGTTTTGTGCAACCACGAGCGGCCCATCCCCAGTGAGACGATGTTGGGCTCATCTACGCCAGCATCGTCTATGTCATGCTCTCTGAACTGAGAGTGACATTTGAAAAGCGTCCTCCGTCGTGTCCTCTGGGTCGTGTTGCGAGGGGTACTCCGTACTTCGGGTGAGGACCTCCATTCGCACTGCGCTGTGCGTACAAGAATGTTGCGCGACTCATAGCACATTATTGCTTTGCTGCACACCTCTTGGGTTGGACCGGCATGGCACGGTGTTCCATCCGCATGGCGGGGCGTCCCCTCGACGGCTCGGACCTCCTTCCTCTTTTTGGAGGGCTCAAAAGATCAGCCAAGGACGATAGGTCTACCGACCTTCTCTCAGCCAAGGACGATAGGTCTACCGACCTTCTCTCAGCCAAGGACGATACGTCTACCGACCTTCTCTCAACCAAGGCCCTGATTCGCAACCATCCTCCCCAGTGGCGTCCTATCTCTCGGCTTTTCCATCATATCCGCGTAGCCCTCCAGGCCAGCCGCAATGATGCGTACACTCTCAAAGATGTGCGCGCCTTTGAACGTCTCGGCCCATAACCGAATGACTGCGCAGGCCAGCCGCCTGAGCTTGATGGGATCAGTCGCAGACAGATCCACAGACCGAGACGGGTGGTGGCCGTGGCCGTGGGCGCCAGACGAGCCCGCCAGCGATGGGTCGATCGGCACGGCAAACTCAGTCTCGTCCAGCATGCGGCGGACCATTTCGAGGAGATTCCTTTCTTCGGTTGATGGAGGCGGTTCGGCCGGGCCGATTGCTGAAAGGGTGAGAAGCCACTTGGAAAGGAGGACGGCACACTCAAGATTGCACACTGGGATAATGTCAGGCCACGAGTCGAGGACTTCCGAGGGTGTGGACTCGTCGGAGAGACTTACAAGAATGCTGCATGCTCCACTCCAGTGACTTGGTTTTGGCCACATAATTCACCCCCATCTTGACAAGCATGGACAGCGCGTGGATGGCTTGGACCACGGCACGGCAGAGGCGGGCACTCCGTACAAGAAGAGGCGCGTCGCTGAACGCCTGTGCGATCATGACGTGGTCCCGTGTCTCGAGACTTCGGCTTGGACTCAAATCGGTATGCAGCCTGATGTAGGCAAGCCTGTGGAGGGCGGTCGAGTTGAAAGCTACCGCGCCTTCCGAGTAGCCTTCTCCGGCGCCCTGGGCCGCCATCTCGCTAGCCTGGAGCTGGCGATGCTGCTCGAAGCCAAGACTCCATGCGCGCAGAGCCTGGTTGATGTCTTCCACGTCCTCCATCTTCAACCCCCTCTGTACGCCGAAAGGCGACATCATGGAGAATGAAGTTTGCTTCAGCAAGAAGATGTGCTGGATCAAGGCGTGTATGAGAATGTAGTTGCCAAGCGATGTAAGGGGTGTCGGCAGGGGTTGTGATGGGCGACTCAACAGGCGCGCGAAGGCCTCATGAAGCGAAATATCCATGTTGGCACAAGCCTGCCGGGCTTCTTGCCACTGCCAGGCATTCTCAGCCCTCCACAGCCGCGATGGGTTGGGCAAGTACAGGTGTACCTCTGATGTCAGGAGCAGGGGCGGGGTGTTGTATGCGATACTGCAGAGGTTAAAGAAGCAGTATGCAACAAGCTTAGTCCGTGTACTCGCTTCCAGTCGAACCCATGTCTCCCAATCCGTCGTTTGCTGATTGGCCTCGGCGACAAGGCCCTCTTCACGGAGCAAGAGCGCGAGCAGGCTCTGCAAGGACAATGCCTCGTGAAGAATCGCCTTCGCACCCCACAGCCCAACGGCGAAGAGTAGGAGGAGGGCCTGGATGGTCTCTAGCCGTGACTGAGGTGTGTTTGGGGAACTGTGAGCGTCAGTACCGCACTCGTGACAGTAAAGGTAGCGAGCCTTGGCCGGGAGTCTTACTATGGTTCCCGATGAGTGTCCTGGGTCATGGGCCGATCCTGGTGAACGGAAGGAAACGAATGTCGGAAGCCAGAGCTTGGAGACGGACGAGTGGAATGCGGGCTGTAGGCAGCCGGCGTGGGCAGCAACCCATGGACTTCATGACTATGTCTGCGACGTATCTGTTCGAGGGCCACGGCTTTCGCAGCATACCATAACGCATGGCCGCGGTTCGTCTCGAAGCGGTACTGCGCTCCGACGGCTAGTATTGCCAGCAACAGCTCCGGCGACAAATCAGTGGGAGACAATGTGGGCAGGTGGAGGAAAGGAAGGTTTTCATGAAAGCCGCTGATATAGCCCTCAAAAAACCTATTCGAGGTGTGCCGCGAAGGGAAGACGAAGTCATTGGGAAGGGCCGACGAGAACTCATCCAGCCGGCTCCGAATTACTGTATGGTCTGCTGCTGATATTCTCCAGATTGGCCCTCGGAATCCATCTTCATGCATCCTCGAAGCCTCTCCGGATGGGTCTCGGAGATCAGGTTGCAGTGATGGGAGCCTGGAGGGGAAGGCCGAAGGTGGCTTGGACAGCCCCCGTCCGAGTTCCGCGCCGGCAGGGCGAGACCACAGGCCAAACCCCTGATCGGTCTCAAGCGAAGGCGGCAAAAAATGCGAAGAAGTAGTGGCAAAGTCGTCGAGAAAAAGGTTGTAGTCGTCAAAGGCAGGAGGTGGAGGTTGCGCAGCATAGCCTGGGGCCAAGACCCCAGGATCTTGATCTCGTGGCCGCTCCGCATACGACATTGTCCCGTGGTAGCCCTTGACGGGTGCCAGGTCCACCGGTTGTTGAGCAAGCCCTTGCATCATGGCTGCTTGAATGTTGTTGACCTCGCCGCCCGAGGCGAGGTGTGTCGCAGCGTCGGAGAGAAGATCGAGGTTACAGGCGGGCGCTCGTGTTGCAAGGCGCGTATCTGGAGGAAGCGACGACACTACTGGCGGCTGCACAGGTGCCGCCTGGTACTGGGAATGCACCGGGCGCGGCTTTTGCTGCAGATGGTGTTGCTGTTGCTGCTGTCCATGTTGGTGGTGTTGCATACCCAGCATCTCGGTGTCAACGCGAGTCTCGGTCGGGGCAGGCGCCATTCCTCCAGAGGAAGGCTTTCTCGGCCTGCTGCCATCCTTGTTGCTGCTGCCTTCATTGAGATGGACAAGCTTCTCGTGGCGGACAAGTAGGTCCCTGATGTCCATATAAGCATATGTTCATTACGGGAGGAGCTGTGATGTCGAATGAGTGAGGGGAAGGGCCAGAAGGTACCATGCCAGACCCGTGGCCCTTGATGGACGAGGGTGGATAGGGTAGTTGGTTGAGGACCGAAAGGTTCCAAGGAGGTGGAGTTGCGGGAGGTAAGGTGGGAGCATGGGGGCCACGGGACGCCAAGTTGGAGAGCTTGTGCGAGGCCGGGCCAGGCCAAGGCTCCGATCCCATGCGGAGGCAGAGAAAAAGCACAAGCAGGGCAGCAAACAGAACTCACTCACCGTCTCCCAAATGTCTTTCCGCAACGGGGCCAGTTACACGCAAAGGGCTTCTCCTTGGTATGGGTTCTCTCATGTCTCTGGACATGCTCCACACGCCTAATTTGAGAGAGCAATGTAAGCCAATATACTGTATAGAGGAGACGGATGGACACTGACCTGAAGCGCTTGCTGCAATATTTGCACGGGAGTGCCTTAGGTTTTTGCAGCCGCGTCTCCCCATTCTCATCGGCAGCATTGGACGGGGGAGACGCCTCGATAGACTGAAGTGGTAGCATCGTACAGTAAAGTGAATGCTGTCTAGGGCAGTTGGGGTATCGGAAACTGAGATTGTGCAGAATAGCGGAGGAACGGCCACGTCGGGGGCCCTTCAAGAGTGGGGGAAAGGAGAAGGAGGAGGTGTAAAGTCGGAGGAAAGGCAGCCAAATACTGCGGAGCAGGATATTGCGGGGGTTCTTGTCGGCGGGCAACAAATGGCCGAATGAACGCTAGGAGGTCATGCCCTCCCTGAACTCAACACTCGGCTCTGGGATGGTTGACCTTGTCTGCTCTTGTCGTCCGCCAGCAGGCTGAGTGTCTGTCGGCATGCACGCACGCATGTATGCACCCCTGCTTGCCGCCGGCGCATACACAAACAGCTACCACGCATTCGCCAGCGCTCACTTGCCGGTGCAATGCGCCGTCCACGAAGCTCAAAGAAAGATCGTCTGCACGTCCAGGTGCCAATGTCCCAGGGCAGGATGAGCGTCAACGTCAGTCAAGGACACTGCAGCCAACTGGCTCTTGAACACTCAACACAGGATGAATGCGTGCCCACACACATAGCACCGACAGCCAAGCGATGCTGGACGCGAAGCGGGGGAAGGGCTAGACAGGTGATGAGACACAAGCCGCTGGTGGCTGTGGGATGACAGTAAGACGCGGGAAGTACTTTCGTGGTTGTGGGCCAACACTCTGGTGAAAGCGGGTGCTCTGCGACTGAAGGAGTTTGGCGCTTGCAGCTGAACTGCAGTGGTTATGTCGATACCTTACGTCAAGAATGGGTGAATGCGGACATACACGCGCCGTGTGAGGAGAAAGTGGGAAGCCGAGACTGATGAAGTAATATCCAGCGCGGCGCGGTGAGTGAGGGTGAAAAGCGGAGAAAGGGCGACGAATTACAATCTGGGATCAGGAACAGGAAGAGAGCAGGCTCGGAGTCAAGGTTGAGGATGCGGAGTGCGTGCCATGTGCTGGCACGGTTGCAGAATGCAGGACGCAGAGGCGGGGAAGATGGAGGGAGCAGGGAACGGAAACGGGGAACCTGGAAAATCTCGGTAGTCGGAATGGGTGTGGAACAATGGGGGCAGGTACGATCATTGCTTCCATGCCTGGCCCGGCATTGGGTAACAGCCTGTGCCAGCGCATTGCAGAAGCTTTGATAAGAGATACCTTACGCGCCAATTTCCATACCGATCTCATCCATCTATACGGTTATTAGAGGTATTTCTTTCTTCTCCTGACATCTCAGGGACCTCTGTTGTCCATAAGGGTCGTGTGCTCCCTGCACCGGGGTGTATGTGGTGGTCTTTGCTTCGTTTGTCGAGGTTGTCTACTGTACCTAGCTTCCCGATTGGGTCATCAGCTCGTTTCTATCTCCGCACCGAATGTGGGGGCGGGGAACCTAGCGTTTCTTGGGCCCTGCCATTCCATCTTTCTTGGGGTGCTCTGCCTCGCCAACGAATGACCAAATGTTCAGACAACAAATTAGGAAGTGTTGTCAACAGACGGACCTCATCCTTTTTGCTTTGATGGCCGCCGGGCAACACTCCGCCCGATGCCTCCATGAACACCGCTGTTCCCCTTGAGGCCTTGGATCGGGAAGAACTATAAGCTGGGCACTGCATGTTACACCAGAGGCGGGGTGTGTTTCGAGCAATCCACAAAGATAGCATTCAAGGAACTGAACCGAGGGGACTGTGCAACGCTGCCTCGGAAGCACCATACCTAAGGAAGACACGAAGGACGGAACGGGATTGTGCTTCGCTGGAAAGACCCTCCCTCACCGCATTTATTTCTAACGGATGACGACCAGTGCGTGTGTCGGGATTGTCGATGCTCGGCAGCCATCAGACGTCTGCGCGAGTCAAGTGTGCTGTAACGTACGGGTACTGTATCACAGGCGTAGACTGTGGGGTGTGGAGGAGCCTCTTTTGGAGATCTGGGGAAGCTCAAGTGGCCCTTTGCTGTTTTGGAGCAGGCTCCGCAAGCTCTCGAACGCTGAGGGGCGGAATCCCACATTTTTCCAAGGTTGCTTATTCAACCGAATGTCCATTGGCGCCTCCCGTCTGAATCGCTGTCCTTCGATGCGCGATTTCTCCGGCCTGTATCCGTATTGTGCATCCATGATGTATTGGAACTGTTGACCCCGACTGCTCGGCCATGGATCCGAATCCGAGTCGATTGTCGACAGGTCACCGACTCTTCCGTCCAGGCAAGCAACAACTTCAACGACGCGCTGCTTGGTCTCCACGGAAGCATGTGCCTAGGACTGCTCCGTGTGGTGGAAGGAACAGTAGGCCAGGGACTACAAAGTGCCTATGTAAAGTATCTCGACACCTTCGGCTAAGCACCACTGAGCCCTGCCTGCTCCATCATCCTCACAACCAACTCCGGCCCGCCAACAAGCCAGACAATACACCCCATTAACTCACTGGCCACTTCGAGCCTCGACTGCCAGTTCTCTAACACCTTCGTTCATTTCAAACCAGGCAAAAATGATCAGCTCAGGATTAACCAGTTCCTAAGGTTGAGCTCACTGCGACTCTTCCACCCTGCTTCGCGAGAGCATCAGACTATGGACGCGCTACGTGCACTAAGACACGGGAAGATGGACTTCGAACCAATGGTCGCCGTCGGGAAGCAGTTTGATCCGGCCAGCCCCAATGACCCGCCGCATAAACCGGAGCTGGTGCTGCTTCTGTCATCCCGACAAGCACAAACATTGGCTTAAACGCGGTCCGCTCTTTGAAGACCCCCTCCCGATCTTGCCAGGATCAGATCAAAGTCGGCCCTTTGGAGAGTCATCAACAACCTGGCAAGGTTCGGTCATGTACTGAATTATCTCACAGCAACCAGATATGCAGTCTGTGATGATGGCCTGAAGATTCCGTTAAAATTCTGGTTTTCCCTGGGTTTCCTTCTCTTCCCTTTCCCTCCCCTTTGGACGACGACCAGGGGCAGGTCATGCAACACTTGAGCTGATTTCAAGAACACAGATTGCCGCTGGAGCTTTTAACCTTTCTGAGCTGAGGGACCTTGTTCCTTAATGGGACCGTCTAAAAGAGACATTTGCACATAAGGAACATTTTCTGCTCAACGATAGTGGCCGCAGTTTTCTGGTGAAACCGACCTGTTGGCCCTGAATCAAGTTCAAGAAAGATTGGAGGTGGTACGCCTGAGTTTGGAGTTTTGAGGGAGGTCGTGCAATGAGTGTTGCTGGGGCAAGATGTCACTGCAGCGCATCACGTCAGGCCAAGGGATGTTGCGACAGGAACGACTTGGAGCTACGGGACAGAAGCGATCCACCCTCCTTTCATGTGAATAAGATGTTAGCACTCTGTCAGCCATTCAGGATTTCTCCGACCCGCCCAGGTGTACGGATGGAGCGCTGTTGTGAGGGATGTCTGCACAAAGTCCCTTTGCACGCCGCCCAGCTTTAGAGGCCTGTTTGCAGTCACATCTATATGTGGCTGCCTGCCCAGACCTTTCAGCCCTGCAGCCATCTTCCACTCTTCATCATCTCACCACCATGCATCACCATCTCTGCCTGCATCCCACCACAAGCGCTCCAGATCAAGCCTGGCCGAGTGGCCGTCTGTATGCCCTAGGGCTTGCCCTGGTCTCTGGAACCGTTGAGAGATCTTGGAGCATCATTTAGCTGCCCGGCAGGTGCACTCACTAGCGAACCCGGAAATGTCCCGCACTTTCCTTGAATTCGGGCCTTGCGATGTGGCATCTCTTGTTCGAGCGTCCTTCGCTATCTTGTGGCGTAGGGAACGCAGTCAATCAGATGTCCCACTCAGATGAGCCAAGCAAGCCATTGGATGTCACAGCTGCGCGATCTGATCGGCGATTTGCGGCTTATGGGTCACCCGCCGGGGCGGGCGGGTAGCAGTAGCATCCGGCCATATTTCTCCTCCATTTACCTCCGGCACTCTCAGACAGCCCGGCGGCTTGGACGAATCAGATCTCACGACAAAATTCCAGGGGCGCAACTGACCCCTTCATATGGGACAACCTCTCATCATGCCCTGTCGTCGACCCCAGACTCCGCTTCTTGCCTCCATCCCCCTCTTGTCTTGTCATGGAGCCTGGCTAGAGCAGAAGCTCAAGCGAGAGAGTCGGCCCAGCAGATGCCACAGGTCTCTTCAGCTGCTCGTTGAGACACTCACCACAGCCAAGCAGGGGTGAGACATGCTCAAGTATGCATGTGGCAGACCGCCCTGATATCGCTGGGATCAAACATGGACAAGCCATGTTCATGCTGCGGACTGCTCCTGCTTGCACAGACGGACTTGTGACGTCAGGATTCAGCAATTAGGATGGTCGGGAGGGCAATGAGACGTGGGCATGATGGGTGGAATTCTGCCCTCTTTCCCTTCTGATATCCCTCCCTGACCAACAAGCCCCGTCATTCCAGAACTTTCATCACTCCCTCAGCCGAACGGCCAGAGATAACCGTCTTCCGGGTCCACCTACATCATTCAGACGCTACCCAACTCGGCGCAGGTTCTTCCTTCCGGGAGCATACGCCGAGAAAGCTGCCTAACACAATCGGCCCTTTGGCGGGCGCCGAGCGGCCGGGTGACATCCTCTGGTCGGTCAATTGCGGTTGACGTTGCTATTGATGGTTGCATCCAACGGCGAAAAACGGCAAACTACCACGGCGGGTACAGAGCATTACCTATACCTGTCCTGGTACTCACCTGTCACGTTTATGCGGCTCACGGAGTTGGGCTGGTAGCGCATTGGGTTCAAGAATAATTCGGCCGACGTTCCATTCCTTGAATCCCCTATCTCTCCCTTCCCTGGAATGCGCCCGTGGCGGTGTCTCTCGGGTAACGGCTTGCGTCTTGTGAAGAATGGAACATCGGGCTGCGACTATATAACCGGGCACCCTCCTCCATTCGGGCTGACCTCAGGTTCTGTCCTCCTCCAACGCACTGGACGGGCTTGTTTTAGGTAACTTGCCAGGCTTCGTTTCATCCCCTCCAGGTTGGCTACATAGCCGCCAGTTCGCCGCGTCATGCGCTTCGTCTCAGCTTTACTGGCTGCTGCCAGTCTGGTGGCGGCCGTGAAGGGACATTGGCTTGGGGACATTCCCCGTAAGAAAACCTGAAGGCTGTCTGGTTTTGGATGTCGTATTGCTAACTTTCTTGATAGATCAAGGTTTTGCGCCCTTTGCTGGCGCCAACTATCCGGTATTCCGCAATGTGAAAGACTATGGGGCAAGGGGTGAGTTATCCACTCAGCCCTAAGCGGACCCTGGGGAAGGTTGGTTGTTGAGGAGAGCACGTGGGTTTGACATGGTACTAGGTGACGGCGTCACGGACGACACGACGGCCATAAACGCTGCCATCAATGCTGGAAACCCTTGTAACAAGGGCTGCGTAAGTTGAGATGTACGACACCATACGCTGCGGTACGCTGCTGACGTTCTAAGGCATCGACAACCATGACCCCGGCCGTCGTCTACTTTCCTGCGGGCACCTACCTCATCTCGTCCTCCATCTTCCCAGCCTACTTCACTCAGCTCATCGGCGATGCTGCGGCTCCGCCCACCCTCAAAGCGACGCCAAACTTTGCCGGGTTTGGTCTCATCGACGGCAATCCGTACTACACCCCTGTGCTTAACTGGAAGGCTGTGAATGTCTTCTTCCGGCAGGTGCGCAACTTTGTCATTGACACAACGGCCATTCCGCCTGGGACAGCCGCCACGGGTATGCACTGGCCGACATCTCAGGCGACCAGTCTGCAGAACCTCGTATTCAACATGCCCGCAACCCCTGATGTCGTCCACGTCGGCCTGTTCATGGAAGAGGGAAGCGGAGGCTTCATGACTGATCTGACCTTCAATGGAGGCGCAACTGGTGCCAGCATGGGCAATCAGCAGTATACCATGCGGAACTTCAAGTTCAACAACTGCAAAACCGGTGAGTGTTCACCTTGCCCAAGATACGTCGCATACTAACAGGCATAGCCATCATCCAAATCTGGAATTGGGGTTGGACTTACAGCGGACTTTCCATCAACAACTGTCAGGTTGGCATCGACATGTCTGCAGGGGGTTCCAGCGCTGTCAATGTCGGCTCCGTTACGCTTTTGGACAGCGCCTTCACCAATGTGCCCGTTGCTATCCTTACCGCTTGGACCAGGGATTCCAATCCGGACACGGCTGGCAGCCTTGTTATGGAAAACATTGCGTTGAACAACGTCCCGATTGCAGTCAAAGGCCCTGGCGGAACTATGCTCGTTGGAACAGCCGGGTCCATGAACATCGAAGCGTGGGGCAGCGGCCACAGCTACACGCCCTCGGGCCCGGTCGAGTTCGCTGGGGCGGTCACTCCCAACCCACGCCCTGCGGTGCTACTCTCCAACGGGCGGTACTACACACGCTCCAAGCCGCAGTACGAGAACCTGCCGGCATCCTCCTTCCTCTCGGTGCGCTCGGCTGGCGCCAAAGGTGACGCATCCACCGACGACACTGCGGCGCTCCAGAACGCCATCAACACAGCGGTCGCGCAGAATAAGATCCTCTTCCTTGACTACGGCCTGTACCGCGTGACGAGCACGATCCTCATCCCGCCCGGGGCCAAGATCGTGGGTGAGTCGTTTCCCGTCATCCTGTCGTCGGGCGCCTTCTTCAACGACGTCAACAACCCGAAGCCCGTGGTCCAGGTGGGCAGCACCTCGGGCCAAGCCGGGTACGTCGAGCTGAGCGACTTTGTCGTCTCGACGCAGGGCGTGCAGGCGGGCGCGGTGTGCATTGAGTGGAATCTGGCCACCAGCGGGACGCCCAGCGGCATGTGGGATGTTCACGTGCGCATCGGCGGCTTCACGGGCACGCAGCAGCAGGTGGCGCAGTGTCTCAAGACGCCGGGCAACCCAACGGTCAACCCCAACTGCCTGGTTGCCTTCATGGCGATGCACGTCACCACGGCGGCCAGCAATTTATACATGGAGAATGTGTGGTTGTGGTAAGTTTCAGTGGGAAAAGAAGGTGGCACAGGAATGGGGTCGCTGACCTGACGCAGGACTGCCGATCATGATATTGATGACCAGCCGAACACGCAGATTACCGTCTATAGCGGGCGTGGTCTCTGTAAGTTTCACACGCCTGATATCCGAAGGTTTGAGGCTGACCGCCACGACAGATATCGAAGCCGAGAATGGTCCGTTCTGGCTCTGGGGCACCGGCTCTGAACACCACGTCCTGTATCAGTATCAGCTGGCGAACACACGCAACATCTTTATGGGCCAGATCCAGACCGAGACGCCGTACTACCAGCCCACGCCGAACGCCCTCGTGCCGTTCAAGCCCGTCGCCGCGATCAATGATCCCGACTTCACCGCTTCGTGTGCCGGCGTGGAGGGCAACTGCGCGGCAGCATGGGGCCTGCGCGTCATCGACTCGCGCGACGTGTTGGTGTACGGCGCCGGGCTGTACTCGTTCTTCACCGACTACAGCACGGCATGCTCGACCTTCTCGGCGGGCCAGACGTGCCAGCAGCGCATCACGTCGATCGAGGGCTCGGCGAGCAACGTGAACATCTACAACCTCAACACGGTTGGGACGAGGGAAATGCTCACACGGAACGGGGCGCGGATTGCGTGGTTTGCGGATAACGTGAACACGTTCGCGTCGAATCTGGCCGTTTACAAGAGTGGTTGAGGGAGGCAGTGTGTTTCAACAAACGGCGAGCGTAGTTGGGTAGCTGATTTCCGCGTCATAGAGGATCATGACTGTTTACCCCTCCAAGGAATAGCCAACATCTTTCCCCTGGTTCTCCCTCCCCAGCTCAACCAACCTCTTACGCAACCCCTCGGCTGTCCTCCTTTCCTTCCCATCCCCCAGCACAGAGAAGTCACACCGATCCACCCACTCCCCAACGCCATGCTGCAGCACATTCCGCGCCCGCTCCTTGCTCCCTTTGGCGTGGCCCACCGACCCATGCAGCGTCATTCTCTCCCTCTCTCCGTAATAAACCCCGCGGTGCAGGATATTATTATCATAGAAAACGCAGTCCCCCGCCTTCAGCCTCACCACCACCTGGCCCGGCATATTGTCCTCGTACGGATCCGCGTTTCTCTCCGCCTCGGTCCGTGCTCGCGCGTGGCTCCCCGGCACGACGATGAGGCTGTCGTCGTCAAACAGCGGCAGATTCCACTGTGTGTGTACGTACGCCTGCCGCCCGGATTCCGTCTTGAGCCGCGCCAGCTCTTCTTCCGGCGTCGCGGTCGGCGGGATGTCATCCCGGTGCCAGCGCAGCGCAAACGGTTTCTCCGCTCCCGGGCCGGACGGTCGAACCAGCATGTTGAGCAGTTCCATCATCATGCCGCCACTCCTGTCGTCGCCGTCGTCATCCCCATCCCCATGCCCATCTCCATTTACATTCCCATCAGAAACCTGAAGCAACTCCCCCGCCACAGCCAGCAGGCGCGGGTGGAAATACAGCCGCACAAACTCGTCCCGGTCCTCCCTGGCGCACGGCAGGTCTGGGTGCAGCAGGTGCTGCACGCCCCAGATGCCGGCCTCGCCGCGTGCCACGAGCGAGGCGTCCCAGGGCGGGAACTGCTTGCCGACGGTGCGGACGTGCGGCCAGGCGCCCGTGCGGGCTGTCGTTGTTAGGCGGGCGGCGGCGCCGCGGAGGGAGGCGAGTTCCTCCGGTGAGAGGAGGGAGGAGAGGATCACGAAGCCGTCGCGGCGGAGGCGGGTGAGGAGGGGGTGTGGGTCGGTGGTGATGGTGGTGGTGGTGGTTGTCATTATGAAGGGGCGTTGGGATAAGAGGTAGGGTGGGTTAGTGAGTGGTAGTGAAGGGAGGTTGTGGTGTTAATGGTGGTTGTAAATAGGAAGGGTAAGTGTGGGATTGGGTGTTTAAGTACTGCCGAAGCTCAAGTCAACGTGCGAGCGTACAAATATGCAACATAAGGTACAGTATTAAGACCCAACTTTACTTGCAGTTGGAGTCGGAGAGGGCTCGGAATGGCACTGTGGGGTAGTGGTTGTCGAGCCGTGCGGGGACGGACCCGAAGGTGTGGAATAAGGGGCAGCGCCGGGTGGTCTGAATACCGGCCGCTTACTCTCGGGTACAACGTTGCTTCCGTATGATCCTCAGGCTTGTGCGGACTCTGCATTGAATCGCCTTCATTGTTTTCTCGTTCATTTACACCGCGGCTTATAAGGACGTATCCAAGATAGCATAGTAGTGTCGTCGAGTCAAGGAATTTGCAGCTAAAGGCTTGGAATGTATGCAGTCCGAGGCTCTCATACAGTACCAATACGGGGGAAAAGAGTGCACCTATCCTCGAGAGAAGTGGACAGTTTGAGCACTGTGGTAAACTCTCGATACCTACCGGGCTCCCACTAATACCTGCCGCAGTCGATGACATAATCGTGCACCTTGGATAACCAAGCAGGAGTCTCCATTGACGAGAATGGATCACGTGGGTTCGCGACGCTGAAAGCACCAATTGTTCCATCCTACGCGTCTCCTCTTGACGTTAGGGCATCAATCCACATCGAAGGCATCAATCTCGTCTCTCATTATTCAGCTGAATTATAAGTGTGATATAACTCCGGGATTTCCAAGATGCCGGGACGCAAGCGCAAATCCGCACCAGCCGCACCCGAGGCGCCCCCGTCTCGCAGGCGATCACGGCGCATCAGCGAGTCGGGCGAGAAGAGCAGTTACTTTAAGGCCGATTCACCGTCTGAAACGGACGGAAACGTGACTGCGCCTAGGAAGGCTTCCGGCAGGGGTAGACCATCCAAAAAGTCCAAAGCCGAAACGGAGTCGGATGCCAACGAGGGCGACTACAACGACGAAAACGAAGCAGTTGAGAAGCCGAACCAAGGCAGTGATGACGAATTTGACGAGGACGCTCCTCCCAAAGTGACCGTCATTCCCCTTCCCAAGCTGCGCGATACGGGCGGCATTGAGTACGCAGACGACAGACTGCACCCAAACACGCTGGCCTTTCTCAAAGACCTCAAGGCGAACAACAAGCGGACATGGCTCAAGTGTAAGCCTCCCCCTCAACTGTGGCAATACACCGTCCTCAACTAAGGTGCGATGTCGCCACCCCCAGCCCACGACGCCGAGTACCGCCGCGCACTCAAGGACTGGGAATCCTACGTCACCACCTTAACCGACAAGATCATTGCCGCCGACCCGACCATCCCCGAGCTGCCCTTCAAAGACGTGAACTTCCGCATCTACCGCGACATTCGCTTCAGCAACGATCCCACACCGTACAAGGTATTCAACTCCCACTTTCCCTTCCCATCATTGACCCTTACTTGATCTCCACGTTTACCAAAACTTGATGACATGCCCGTGCTAACCGCAGAGGGGGGGGAAACACAGCCTCACTTCTCCGTCGCCTTCTCCCGCACAGGCCGCAAGGGCCCCTACGCATGCTACTACGTGCACGTCGAGCCCGGCGCCTGCTTCATCGGCGGCGGGCTTTGGCACCCCGACGGCGCGGCGCTCGCCAAGCTGCGCGCGAGCATCGACGAGCGGCCGGCGCGGTGGAGGCGGGTGTTGAATGAGCCCCGGTTTAAGGAGACTTTTCTGGGCATCTCGCCTGCCACTTCCTCTTCTTCTATTAAGCAGACGAAAGGGGGGAGAGGCAAGAGGGGGAATGTTGAAGCGGGGAAGGATGGTGAGGACGACGAGGAAGCGGCGTTGAGGGCGTTTGCGGATGGGAATAAAGAGGGGGCGTTGAAGACGCGGCCGAAGGGGTTTATACCGGAGCATAGAAATATGCAATTGTTGAAGCTGAGGAATTTCACCGTGGGGAGAAAGGTCGCGGATGCGCTGTTCACTGGGCAGAGAGGGCAAGAGGAGGTGGCGAGCGTGATTGGGGATATGGTCGGGTTTGTGAGTCTTGCTGTCCTTGGTCGAGAAATGTGCGTCTTTAGGATTGCTGACTTGCTTGAATCCCTAGATCACACATTTGAATCGGATCGTTATGCCGGATCCCGGGGATGATGAGTCGGGCGAGGACGAGGAGTAAAGGCTCTGGCGTAAGTATGGGCATGTATACGGGGGCTTGGAGTGCCGATCTTTGGTATACATTGGAAATATGTTAGGATACCCTCATTTTGACAACTGCTTTCATCCCGTCTTTCTTTAATGCCACATAGCGCCCGCACTCAGAGGTCAAGAAACGACTTCATCATTAACGGTGGGTATCGAGTATGGGATATCTTAAAGCCACGCCACGCTCCCGCAAAAACAAAGCACACCATGTGGTATCGTCGGTATCATTCCCGTTTCGGCACCATCGCCCTCCCAACACGACGCATCCCGCCTTCACTCGCCCTCTATATTGTCCTCTCGAAATCCCGTCGCACCGTTCATCTCGCCGGGTCACCGCGAGAAGCCATCCCGGCTGTCGTCGGTAGAGACTTTAGGCTGTCGGGGCCGAGGCAGCAGCGGCCGCAGCGGCCTCCTCCTTCTTCTCCTCGACAGCCGGAGCAGCCGCCTCAGGAGCAGGCGTGGCGTCCGGTACAACCGCCGCAGGAGCGGCCTCGGTGGCAGCCGTGGTAGAGGTGACAGCCGCCGCCGCAGCCGCAGTGGTGGCGGGAACGGTCTCGGGTGCCGGAGCGGCAGGAGTGGTCTCGGCGGGCGCAGCTGCTGCAGCTTTGAAACAGTTAGCATGTCTCCTAAATCGACAACAGAAACCCCTCCATTCTCAATGTTTCGGAACGTACCGGAAGCCGGAGTCTCCGCGGCCTTGGTCGGCTCGGCAGCTGAAGCCTCGGCGGTAGCAGGAGCAGTAGCGACCTCAGCTGCATCGCCGGTGTGTTAGCTCCGAAACTCTCTGATTCGGAAACGTGTTTATCGAAGGCGACTCACCGGCAGGGGCCTCGACGGGAGCCGCAGCAGGAGCCGTCTCGGTCTTGGTTGTCTCGGTCGCAGCAGCCGCGGTGGTAGCGGCAGCCGGAGCGGCAGCAGGAGCGGTCTCCTCGGCCTTCTTGGCCTTGCCCGTCTTCTCGCTGCGCTTCTTGAAGGCAGCCTTGAGCTTGCCCTTCAAGTTGTCGAAGGCGCCGAATGCTGGGCAGAAACAGAATCTTGTCAGCAGCCCATTTCTTGGCACTCATTGCGCGACCACATTTCGGCGACAGCCTCCCTCTTTCGCGACGCCGAGGCTGCCACCGTTCCTGTTACAGTATGCGCGGCACTCGCTGGCCTCGCCCGAACTTGTTCGACTCGACCGACCCGATGGCCTCGAGCGACCGCCGCACAAATCAAGACAAGCAGAAAGCAAAAACTTACGAATGCCAGGCATGTTTGTGGTGTTGCTGGGTAGTCCAAGCGTGCAACGTGGTCAAATAAAGGGAAACGGGGAGAATGGATGCGCCCAACGTCGCTGTCTTGTTCTTCCCACGCTTGCGGTTGGTGATTGAAACAAGTCGACGACGGTTCAAGCACGCAGGAGTGTGTGAATGGGAAGAAAAGAAGAAGAAAAGGAAGCTGGACCCGCGGCTGCGACAGATTATAACTTCCCAGCCAACGCCGAGCCGTGTGACAGATACCCGGGTCTCGAATTACAGGGCCCCCTCGTGCCGCATCCCAGCTGTGCTGCCCTCGCCCCCTGGCTTCTCCGCTTTCACCAACCCCGGGCACACACGAAACAAGTGTTGAGGCTTTGCTCAGGAACTGACCAAAGCTTCCTTCAAAGCTTCTGCTGGGGAGGTTGAGGCCAGCAAAAGTGCAAACACGAGCCTTTTCATCATGGCAAAACGGGGTTACTATCACGAGCTGTGCATTTCAAGGGGAAATGAGCAGGGATATCCGTTTGCAGTGGGTTCGGTTGAAGTTGGATCCGTTAATAATGTCACATCGCCAACGGCAGGGTCATCAAGGATGCGGCACACGTCAATCATCTCGCATGTCGCATCTCGCAACCAGTTCCAGTCCAGGGCGGCTAATTATTGTGGCTGTTTATATCCGGACGTCTTGGGTAGCATTGTAGAGCCTGTTGTCATCTCGACATTCACAGTGAGCGGTTCACTGGCCTTCACAAGTCACACTTATCTCTTCGGTCTTCGTTCACCGCTTCCACCTCGGAAACATCTGGATGCTGTTGGGGGTTTTTCAGTCCTCTCGGGTCTTGCTGAGACGCCATCTCCGCGCTATGCATGCAGGCATGCAGTAGTGCAGATCATAGCATAAAAATGACTCCACAGCAAAGAGTTGTGGAGCACCTACGGAATACCATAACTAACTTGAAGCGTGAGATCACTGACAAACGAAGAGGGTATACGAAGGAAGTCGCCTTGAAACAACTGAAGGACAACCTGGACGCTATGAAAGGACGTTTGTTATAAGGTTATGACAATAAGGTAGCAAAAGTCTCAGGGTATTCCACTGGTTCACTGTCAACACTGCCCATGTACTTACACTTCCCATAAACCCAATGTGACCAGACGTTGACTTCCAGGCCTTCGACTCAAACAGACTTCAGAATGAATATGAATTCCTTGAAGTCGGTCTAAACCTTTGGGCATTGGTAAGGTAGTTGACATCCATTAGGCAGTTGATCGATTCAGTGGATTACAACCTAACACTAACAGTAACACCACCGCCGAGGTATGGGCGTGACAAACGACGAATGATGCCAATCAAAAGAACAGAAGCCGGGAGAAATAAGTGAACAAACACATGCAGATTAAGCATATAGTTGGGGGTGTGTGAATCTCAGACTGTCAACAAAGATATCAGGGCCCAGCATAAGTGTCTTGGCCTGTCTATGGCTCCCGTCTCGATACCTGATGAGTACTAAACACCCTGTTTTCCCGCTGAGGCAGGGATGTCAGAGCCAGAGGAACATGTGTGGACCGTTCTCAAGGTATATAGTTCGTTTACCTTATCGTTACCTAGGCATGCTCCCTGGTAGTGTTATCCATCAATGGACAGCGACAGCTGGGGCAGTGGTTACCAACATGAACTGTCAAGCAGTGCGACATAAGCCCAGCGGTTGGGTCATCGTAATGGGTCTCGCAGACACAGCCTCAATATACGTACAAATTCACAAGCCAGTAGAGATTATGATCATTTGTTGTTTGGGTGCTTGCTCCCGAGAGTGCTGTTGAGATGAGACATCTGATTTAGAAGTCATTCAAGATCAGAGTCTTATTACATGACCAATAGTTACATCTTGTTGCTTGGCCTTTCGTTTCCACGACCCCTTCCGGCTAACCATGTGATTATGGGGTTCCGGTTTCTCATTCGTGTTTTATCCTCGGCCCTCGTTAGGCTGGGTAGAATGCTTGACCTGACCAAGTTCAATGTTCCTAAGCATAGTTACTAGCAGTACAGTTCCTCCCAACAAGTCGGTTCCGGCTGCTCCCTGCCGTTGGCGTACAGGGAGTCGTACCGGTCGTGCATGACTTCGCGCTCAACACACTCCTTGTATTTCGCCTTTTCGTCGTCCACTCAGTCCCATCCATCCCCTTCGTCGTACCGGTCCTGGCATTCCGGGGTCGGCCACCAGGGGTAGGCAAGGTTAGCGTAAAACCCGGCGAGCCCGTCGTTGGCCAGCTGTTCAGGGGCAGGCAGAGATCTGTGTACGCCTCACGGGTGCGGTCGCCTTCGCCGCTGATGATGGGATACCTGTTGACCTCGGGAGAGTATTTATTGCTCGGCTCGGCCGCAATGAGTCGTATGGTGAGAGCTCACGCGTTAATCTTGTCTCGTAGCCAGTCGACGGTCCGGAACCAGTCGACCATCGCTTGAGACGCTCCTCAAGGCCAGGTGTGAAGGCGATAAGGGGGAAGCACAGCTCGAGGAAGCGGATGTACTCGAGGCAGTGGGTTGGCACGATCTCTTGGAGAAACTCACAGGTGGTGAGGCGGTTGTTGGGGTAAGTGGAGATTGGGGGGCAGTGTTTGGCTGCGTATACTCGAGATCAGGTAAGCGCCCCGGCGAGGATGCGTAACAATCGTGAATAATAAACAGGTCGCCAGAGAAGAAGACGACTGGGCGTCCCCGAGCAAGATGCGCCAGACGAGAAATAGGTAAGTCGGCGGCTCCCAACACTTGCACATGGAGCTGAAAGCAGCGTGGCGACGGCGGCAGACACAACCCATGGACGGTCGGGGGCCGTTGTAGCGATCCAGCACTTGTAAAATTGACGGGGGTAACGGTAGCCCGGCCCGTCCATGGAAATCCAGTCATAAGTGGTGTGCCCATGGTCCTGGCCACTCCATGTAACCTCCCCGGTAGGGACGATGAATCGGTGTACTCGAGAATACGGATGCGGAGTTCGTGTGACAGAGTTCACAGCATGGTCCGCGCTGACGGCTTAGAGGTATGGGGGAATAACCTTGCCGCAGAGGCGGAAGGCCGTAGCCTACGCCGTTGTATTAAGCCAACCATTCGGGGTATCGCCCAGTCGGATATGGCAGTTTCTCAGCCGTGGTAGGGGGAGGAGCGGTCCACCGACGGACACGACAAAGTGCGCTGACCGTATAGTTCGTGGGTGATCAAGTCGTGGGTGGCCAGGGTCAATGTCGCACACCAGGGCAAGCTCCATGCGCTCGGGGGTAATAAACTACAGACGTGCGGCAGCAGCTTGCCAGTTGGTAGCAGAGCCTGGGCTGCCGCTTCATTTGAGACGTCGCCGTTGTTCTCGCTGGTTGGAGCCAGCAGCGGGAGGCGATGAAAATCAGAATGCCCGTGTTTGCAGCCGTAGGCGTCGGGAAGCTCCTCGTACGCATTACCCTGGCGGCAACAGGAACGAAGGTTGTCCCAATCGTCTTCATGGTGACTCGAGGCCTCGTTGAGGATGATCTTGAGGCTTTTCAAACATGCCAGCGACGACTGGGTCAAAACAAGCAGCGGGGCGAGCGATTTCGGACGGCCGTCGACACAATAGAGGACGAATTGGTTTGCCGAGTAGAGGAGAGCAGCGGTCTCGGTATAGATTGCGCGACAAGCAGCATGCCATGGAAGCTGCCAGGATCAGGCCCATGCAGCGAGGACTTGTGACCATGCAGGTTGAATCTGTAAAGAAATTTGCGATCCCACGACGTCAGACCTACGGTAATGGTAGATGCGGCCTCGGATGGCCTGCGGAAGCCGAAATCGAGCCAACGATGGCTGCTCGCCGGACTCTGCGGGTGCCGCCAGCCCGGCCATTTTCAATGTTGGTGCACTTCCTTCGCAAGTTGAGGTGTGTTCAAGTGTTGTGGAATCAAGAACAAAGGTATATCCGGATGGTAAGAGGCTTTGGGAGAAGTTGCTAGCACCAGTCAGGATTAAAGCGCTACCTAGCGGGTAACCCTGTAATTAGTTATAGCGTAAGGTACAGGTACCGAGTTCAATCACAGGTATTGCCACTATGTGGCATGCAAGGCAAGGTAAAACAGGTTAATCAGATGCAGAATACCTAAATTTAGGAATTGTACGATTACCTTTGTCATTACCTAGATGCCAAATCTGATTGAGGTAGCTGAATTCGTTCGGTCGTCACTGCCGCAGTGTATCCCGTTAAGTTAATTATTCCTGATTGTAACCCAGCCCTCGGCTGGCGTCCCACAGTAAATCGGCCATCAGTTCCGTTTCATGCAGTCCACTATCAATCCCACAAAGTTTGACCAAGCTCCGGCGCTAATAATCATAAAACACCAACGTCCGCACCTCGATGCTCTCACGAGGCTCCTTGTCCTCCTCGGCCGGATCGACAAAGGCCGAGTGCGGGATACGGCGAGCGACGGACGAGAGCGAGTCGTAACACTTGATGAGCGTCACTTCGTCGGGCCGTTGGGCGTACTTGAAATACCAGCGGTGGTTGGGATTCGGCTTGACCACGTATGTCTCGCCTCGTCTGTGCGGGTACACGAGCGCCGCGCCAACGAGGTCGGACTCAGCCACCGAATGCGCATCGGCCACGGCCAGCGGGTCCTTCAGGATCGTCTTGATGGGACGCCAGACCTGGCTATTCTGTCAGCGCGGGTCGTGGCAGGGGAAAACAAAATGGGAACCAGAAGGAGGGATGGACGACGGACGTTGATGATTTGGAACCGTTTCTGCAACAGCTGCTCGGCCTCATCGGGGAGATGGTACCGCACTCTCTCTACCGACGCAGAGTAGGATTGGTCAATGTGCACACTCCGAACCGGCCCGCGGAATGCAGCATCAGGCTTGGCGGGATCCTTTTGGCGACGGATCGTGTGATCGAATACAAAGACGCGCACTGCGCCAGTTCTTTAATAAAGAAGCAGGTAAGCGTTGGCCGTAAGATCGTTGACTAGGAGAGTCTTGGGGAAAGGGCCGGGGGACTCACACGTCCTTCAGCAGCTGCTCCACCTCTGCGTAATACTGCGCCTTGATCCTCTCCTCGTCGAGGAAGCTCTTCTCGTTGCTCTCATGTCTGACAAGCTGGAAGCCGTGGCTATCCAGCGTGTATTTGTCTTCGCTCCCCGTAATGTCCGTCACTTCCACCTCCACCTCAACCGTCGGCCTGGCATGTACCTGTTCCGTGTAGGGCCGGCTGTGATTGAAACACTTAGTAACAGATCCGTCGCTTCATTGCAGACTGGGCCTGATAAGACTGGACTTACTCTACGTAGAAAGGAGCTGGCGGAGATCCATCTTCCGGGTCCTTGTAGTAATTCAGAACTGTGCGTACATTGTGCTTTGAGCTAGGGGCCACGGCGGGCTCGACAACTCGGGGAGTGAAGACTGCGGGCCGAACAACGTCCGGGGTAGCCATATTCAACTATGTATCGAAGGTTGACTGGTGTCGCTCGTTCTGAGTATTCTCGGATTCAAGGACCTCACGATGACGCTTCGGTCAAGTACCGTATCTGCTTTGCGATGACTGGGAATGGGAATAGTTCAAACTCTCCGATCAAGCCGAGACCCTTATGTATTCCGACGTTTCCCTCCAAATGTGCCCTTCATTAGATGGCGTCACCATCAACCGGCGTGGTCGGAAGATGGCTGCGGCTTCTTATAGGCAAGCAAGCAATCACGCCATCGCTAAGGCAGGATTCCGGGCCAACCATGGGACCGAATCACCACCATCATAACCGTTGCTTAGGAATACGTTGCAAGATCGCCGTCGGAGAATGGACTTATTACAACACCTAATATGTGTGCTTAGTAATGTGATTTACTGCTTAACAGTCTGAAGCTTACAAACTGTAACAAAGCTTGTGGTGCGCCTGGGTCTCAGAAATGAGAATTATGTGGGTGGTAGGTAGGTAGGTAGTACAGTCTCTGGGAAGGCCACGAAGAAGCACCGTGAGTTGAGTTCACAAGATTCAGCTTTGAGTAATATCACGTATGCTGAAGAGACCATTAAGGTAGACCTGGGTTGCAATATGCAATGGAGTACTTGGACAATGTTTCTAGGCAAACACGCCCAGAGACAGGCATCCTCTCGTATTGCATTCCTTCTCTAGTCTTGCCAGTCTACTGGAGTATGAACTAGCTTCGTGATCGTTGTGCCATCAGGAATAACGTCGGTCACTTCCTCAAGCCGGTAACCCCTGAGCCACGGCAAAAAGACTGTCAAGACAGCCCAGTACAGAATGCCAAATACAATGCTGTAAAAGAAATGGAGTTAGCTAATCGCAACACAGAAGAGAGGAAAGTGAGGTGTGCAATAAAACGGCGAGCACTTACACAGATAAACCAACCAACACATAGCTCACCCGGGAAAGGTGGGCAGCCCAGTGCTCCCCGCGACGGGCTACAAACGGGGCGCAGAGGAGGGTACAAGACAAGAAGACCATGAACCACACCGCAGGTAGAAAAGCACGATACGGGCGCTTGAGTTCGGGTCGTGACCATCGCAGCTTGAGTAGCCCCAGCGAGATGGCGAGGGAGAAGAGCTGAGCTGGATAGCCTTCCACGTTGAGAATAAAGGAGTATATGTCTTTGTAGGGGATGCATATGACCAGGACAGAGGGAATATAATGCAAAATTAGGCCTCCGAGAGGCGCCCCGAATGGCCGTGAGGAAGATATCGCGGCTCCGAGGGGAAGCAGACCTTGGCGTGCAATCTCCTGGTTCAGACGCGCCTGGATTACAGCGGAAGAGTGAGTGAAATCCAGCCGGACATGCGTGACCAGAGGCCAAAAGATGAACATACCAACGAGAATGTAACTACCATAACATTCCCCGCTGCCGACAGCGCGACGGCCAAGGAGAGAAGACGTCTCCCCAGGGTCTGACCAAAGAGCTGCTCAAAGAATAGAGCACCCACCAGCTCTCCGCCCAGCTTGATGTCCTCGAGCGGAACGACCAAGAAGTATGCGACATTGATCAGCAAGTAGAGCACGCAAGCTGTCACGAGAGCCGCAGTAGCCGCAGATCTCAGTGTCCGGACGGGGTCTTTGACTTCGTTGAGGACGTTGTGGAGGTTTTGGAGGCCGGCATAAGAGTAGAAGACCTTGAAGAGCGCGGTGGTGATGACGCCCAAGTCCCAGACCGAACCCTCCCACATGCCGTCCCACGTAGCCGGGAAGCGGCTATTGCCAGTGCCATCAGTGCCGGACGTGGTGAGGGTGCTGTCAATTCCTTCGTGGCTGTAACGGGACAAGACGACGAACCCCGAGGCCAGTGCCAGCAGGACGATCAAGACAATCTTGACCCAGCCCAAGACGTTCTGCATCACGATACCGGCTCTCAGGAAGCAGCCGTGGAGGACCGTGATGACCGTCATCAGCCCAACCGCCAGCAGCCGGACATGTCCTGGGTGTTCGCCGGGGTTGTACCCCAACACGAAGAGTACGTACTCCCCGAAAACGATGCAATTGCTCGCGGTGAATCCCATGACGACTGCATGGACAGCCACCAGAGTCGACGCAAGAAAGCGCGGGCGCGGATACGTGAACTCGAGGTAGACCTTCTCCCCTTTTTCATCGTTACATGCAGACACACGTCAGTACTCCTTTGCCCGCGATACCCATTACGGGGGCAGGGCATCTCAGGTCGGGAATGGATATGATCGGGGCGACTAATCAAGTCAAGTGTAAGGTAAAATACTAACCGCCTGACCGAGGCAACATGCAGCCGTACTCCAGCGCCACAGCGAGCCCGCACCAGCTGATGAGCGCGCCGACTACCCACAACGCAAGCGTCAAACCGACGCTGCCAACGGAGCTGACTATGGATCCCGGCGTCGCGAAGATGCCAGAGCCGACGACGCGCGAGATGATCAAGATGAAGGCGCTGCTCCAACCCAGGTTGCGCCCGGACACGGCGATCTCGGGAAGGACGTCGTCCTCCAAGGATCGGTGCGAGTCGGGTTGTCGTCGTTGTCGTCGCGCAGGCTGGATGGTGGTGGTGGTCGTCGTCGTCTTGGCCACCACCTCTGGGTCGTGCGGTTTGAGAATGCTGTGGTAATCTGGACTCTGGGCCTGCTGCGGGCTACTCGCAAAGCCGAAGAGCAGTGGTGTCTCGGCATCTGACTCCATGTCGACAAAATCCATATTGATAGTTGGCGCCTGTGAAGCGGGATCATGTACAACAGCTGAGGTGTGGATAGAGTGCAACCTCAAACTGGATACTTTCTGTACCTTTACTTGGGTATGAAATGCGCAACGCTGCCGAGGCAATGAAGCAAGTCCGACACGGATATAGCCATGGGCTTCCTCCTGTTCAACCAGAGCATCGGCGATATAATCATTGATTTGTCAAGTTGAACGGCGGAGCGGAGCATGTTGCTGAAACCGAATCCTCTGGCGCGCGACAGGCGTATGATGGCGTGCTTTTGGCGTGACAGGCCGTGTAATGCTTAAGGCCGAGACGCTTCGTCACACAGCCCTATGCTATTACTAGTACAGAGTATTCACGTGCTTATGACCTGAGATATTGGTACATTCTATAGTCTACCACCGCTACACTTAAAAGCTGCGTACCAAAGCAGCTTCAAGTTTCCCAGTATACACATGATTAGAATAAGTTAGCGACCATCATTGCCATTACCTGAGGTCTATAAACCAGGCGAAAAGGTTATTAGTTCTCCTTTGATTTCCCCTTCCCAAACTTCTCCCGAATTTCCTTCTCAGTAAATCGCCTCGTATGGCGCCGCAGCATGGCGGCCCTTTCCTCGAGCGTCATGTCCATCTGGTCGCCGATGGGCACCAGGCACCTAGCCAGATGCAGATAATCCTTCTGGAGCAGTTTGACCGTGATCATGAGGTAGTCGATGTTGTGGAACACGAGCGCCTTTTCGTTTGCGTACACCTCTTTTTGCTTGAGAAATGCAACCGGGTGGTGGCGCCAGTGGCGCAGGGGGTTCAGATGGTGAGATGTGTGGTAGCCGTCGTTGTAGCAGTAGCGGTTACTCTGTATCAAGACATGAGTCAGGCCGATAACCATAAGGCAATCAAGACAGAAAATCAAAACATGGAACGCACCGGCACGTCAATCAAGGTGATGCTCGAGCGAAAGTCCGAGTCGGGCTCGTCGGCGTCAACAAAGGCATGCTGGCCCCAGTTGCCCACCATCAGACCCAGGCGCATGAGCAGCAGCGGACAGAGAAAGACAAACGTCGTTGCCCGGCTGTTGAGTCGGAACAGGGCGTACAGGGCCGCGTAGTTGGAGAGCTCCCAGAAGGCCGCCTTGGCGGCGTTGACAGTCCGGCCCTTGCGCACAAAGTACAGCGGCAGGTCGAGCCAGATCAGAAGGTAGAAGCGGCCGACGTAGTGCAGGAAGTGAAGGACGCTGTCCCTCTGATAGCGCACCGTCGACGACAGGTCCTCGGGCCCGTTGCCCTCAACGTGGTGGTGCTTGACGTGGTGGTAGAAGTACGAGTTCCAGGTGTGGCCCATCAGGGGGTCCGTGATGTATGGGAAGACAGCGTCGAGCAGGCGTAGCAGGGGCCGCTTGGCCAGGATGCCGCGCATGTGGATGTGCTGGTGCATCATGAGGGTGTAGGCGCCCATGTACCAGAACTGCATGGCGAAGTGCAGCACGCCGTGCAGGTAGCTGAAGCGGTAGAAGAGCCAGACGGCGCTGGGCAGCGAGGTGGTGAAGTACATGATGAGATGCGTCAGCATGATGACGTCCGTCTCGTGCCGCACCAGGCCCTGAGCCCAGGTGATGTAGGACTGCACGACATGGTCGTAGACAACCGCAGGCAGCCGGGCGCGCAGGTCGCGGAGGTCGAGCGATGAGATAACAGTCGGCTCAAAGTCTTCGCTGTTGGGGTCGTTTAACCCGTTCAGCTTGTCAATGTCGGCTGCGTCTCTCTCAGCAGAGATGCCGTACTCTGCCGTGTTGGTGTCTCTGGCATCAGTCATCTGGTTTTCAAGTTGCGACATGAGCCCGTCTCATGAGTTCAGAGCCGTTGATGGGAAGAACAGGGGCCCAACTCACTGGTACAGGATTCATGTTGGGAAGTGGAGCTGGCGCTCAAGTAGCCCTCGTCGCCCTCGAGTTTGATAGACTCTTTAGTCTGCCGGTGGCGTGCAATGTCGTCGGCCAAGTTCCGCAGAACCAGCGTGTCTGGGATGGTGAGTTCCGGGCTGAAAACAAGTTCCTCCATGGTGATTGCGCCAGTATCATGCGGGTGAAAAAGACACTGGATGAGGTAGAGACTACGACTTCGGAACTTGAAATGTAGCAGCAATGGAAAGAAGGAGTTTGGTCGCGTTTTCACCGCAAAAGGGGTTGCACTAGCGCCGCCCCAGGTACCCAATGAGGTGCTGTGTTTGTGCTGCCCAGGCCCCATTTTGGCAGGGGATTAATGCCCAGACACTCCAACACGTTGCAGTACGATAACAGTCGCAGAGTGTATCGGTTCGACGTTGAGATCAATTGTGTTCGGCCCGGACCGCTTTCAAGTGTCCAGACGTTGGTTTCAGATTGTGCTGTTTCTCCGTTCAATTGCAATAAACTTTCTAACCATCTGTAGTATCGAGCCAGCAGGCGCAACACATGCAGGTGGCAACGCAAGAGAGCTGCGCCAACCAGCGTCTTTGCAGTCTATTATCCTGCAAGCCGAACAAGCCGAGCAATGCTATATGTCGACTTCTGTGTGCGGGAATCCTGAGAGCGGTCGCGGATCATGACCCGCAACGCCCAATTCCGCTTTGTGATTACTGGGATCGAGCACGTGGGCGTGGGTGCTGGAACTGCAAAAGTTGACATCGGCAATCTCACCAAAAGTTGCATAACTATACGTACATGTACAAGGACCCAGTTCCGAAGACTTCAGCTATGACAGAGCGATGGCCTCGGTTTCAATGCCCACAGCTGACGTCTCGTGGCTGCTGTCCGCCGACGGCAATAAATCATGCGGCAGTCATGGTCAGCGACCGCGAGGCGGCGGGCTGATGAAATAGGTCAATCCATAAACATTTGACGTCGAAATTAGACATCAACAGGCGTTAAGAAAGTGTTTGAGTTGGGTGAATTTTGAACAGATAGGCTACGTAAGGTGAACATCAGATCCCTACACGTTCCATGTACATGTAGCCCCAGCTACTCCAAGACTGGGAAGATATTGATGATGATCAAGGCGGTAAGTTAAGCCACTGAGAGAGAAAGAGAGGTTCCACGGATCGGCTCCAGGTTGTAAGGTAGGTAGGAAGGAAGTCGGCTCGTCAATTACCTCTCTACAGTAACATCTGTACGGTTTGCAATCTGGTTATATTTCATGTAACAGGGCTTCTATGAATCAGGATGATTATGTTTCAACCACGTACACAAAGAAGATGCCCCTTTATTGTGTGCCACCCATTGCACCATTACATGATTGATACAGCACATCGCTCTACATCACGCCAAGCAGTTATCCCTTTTCCCTCCGCCGCCAATCACTCCCCAACAACTTCACAACCTCCCCCCCTTCCCCCTCCTCTCCCTCACCTCCATCATACTTCTCACCAGCGCATAAACAGTCTGCAACCTCGGCAACTCGACGCCCCTTGCCCTAGCAATCCGGATCGGATTCCCCAGAATCACCTCGACTTCCAACGGCCTGCCCGCCTCCCAATCCAGCAACATGCTCGGCTTACTGCCCACATTCTTCTCCGTACTCTTCAAGATCTTCTCCGGCGTAGCCATGTACGCAGGGAACCCTTTCCCCCCCAAAATCCGGGGCGCAGCCTCCCAGATCTCGCGCATCACGCCCGCCAGATGGGCGCGCAGCTCCGCGTCCTGCACCATGTCGGCGTTGCCGCGGCCCCCCGAGAGGACCGACGACGGGTTGAAGGCCGCGTTGATGCATAGCTTATGCCAACGGATGGTCTGCAGCGCGAGCTCGTCGGCCACGTCGACGTCGCGGATCTGGCCGTGGCGGGTCCACCAGTCGGCCAGGAGACTGGTGAGGTGGGTTGTGGTTGGAAGGAGGGCGGAGGGAGAGGCGTCGGTGGTGGTCGCGGGTACGGAAGCGGGATGAGGGACGACGCCGGTCGGGGAGAGAGCGCCGGTTGTGTCGTCCCCGCGGGGGTAGGTGGGGGTGACGGTATGGCCTGGCGAGGAGGAGAAGGAGGCCGAGTTGGTGTAGGGGCCGAGGTGGATGCGGGTCCAGCGGTTCTGGCGGATGGTGCCGGGAGATGTCTGCTCCGCGGAGATGACGGTGACGGCGCTGATGATGGGATTGGCGGGAAAGCGGGCACGGTAAGGCTGTTCGACGCCCACGCCGTTTTGGATGAGTACGACGCACGAACGCGGCCCGACGAGGGGCGCAATGAGGGCGCTGTCGTCGGAGCGATCGGGCAGGGCCTTGGTGGTCACGATGATGAAGTCCCACTCTCGGAACCCGGCACCGGACGGGTTGGGGTTGGCGGCCGCGACGGCTACCGAGGGGAAGACAGCGTGCGGGCGAAAGGTGTAGTCGCCGAAAGAGTGAGTCTGGAGGTGTACGCCGTGTTCTGTGAGGGCCTTGTAATTTGAGCGGGCGATGAGGGAGACGTGGATGTTGTGAGATGGCTGCGGATATCATCAATACATGCTTCTTTGGTGGATGGATGGATAAGGTAGGCTGACGACTTACATGGTGTAGCCGCGAGGCGTAAAAGCAACCGACGGCGCCGGCGCCGACAAAGACGATGTGAACAGGTCTGTCGCAGTCAGTTTCACTCTTCCACCTGCCCGTCAATGGTCCCCTCCTTCCGGGGGTTTGCCATACCTGTCCGAGTCGGTGCCGGGTTTCAAGGCCTCAAGCCCACCCATGATGCTCGGATCAATGATGCTATACCTTGGCTCCCTCTCCGCACTCCATGCATGTACCGGCACTTCCTGCCGTGTCTTCAATGCCCGGTGTTGCCGCTACGGCCCCAACAGCAGACAAGTCAACAACCAATTTGGATCGGCAGAAGATCTGATCGTACATGTAACAACGTCGGTCACCTCTCACTCACTTTACCTCGGCATACCCGAGAACTCACCTCCGCAAACCGCAAACGAGCCCAAAACTCTTCCGTCTTGTCTTTGGCAGAGCCAATTGACCAATCCAGAGCGCTCTCACTCAATCTCCAACGAAAAACAGAAGGCAAAAGTAGAGCGTTCTCAGCAGTGGTTCCCCCCTCCGCCCTCCCCCCCCCCAAAAAAAAACCGACCGAGAAATGCCGGCCAGGCCGACGTCACGCAATCCGAGGGCATCCGCTTGGCAGAACTCACCCTTGTTGCGCTGACTTGATCCCCATATTGGTTTTGTCGCTGCTCCAGTTAGAGGAACTTGTACCTCCCGTGGCCAATCGGTTAAAGGGTGTAGCCAACAGGACCGTTTTGCCATATATCTTTTGGGCTACACTAACAATCTGGGTGCAGTGGGGACCTGTCGCATACTGTGGTGCGTAGTGGGGCATTTTTGCGTGCGGGGAACCAAACAACGCGGTTTGTGCGGGGAACGTCAGCAACGGGGAGTGCATTAAGCAAACAAGAAAACAACGGACGAGAAGATCTAACCTTTGAAATCCGATGCCACGACTTCCGGAACTGTAGGACCCTCACCAAGCCTGAGATCAAGAGTTCGAGTTCGTGCTTGTCATAGTCTATCTATCTTTATCACGGAGGAGAGACTACCCGATATTGGGTGTGCAAAAAGTTTGTGTGTTTTGAGTGTTCGGCAATGACTGACTGACAGAAACAGGGCCAAGCCAGTTATCATACTTGATGACTTTCCTGATATCACCGTCCTGTTACACACACACCAGGTGAGTCGGCAGAGGCATCAAAAAGTCTAATCGCCTCTCTACTCCGTACTCCGCGCCAGTAGACACGACAACTCGGACCGAGTCTGGCAAGGAGTATGGATGTCGTTCCGCCTGCTGTTGCTTGGATGGGCAAGTCGACGCGAAACAAAACCCTCAAACCCCGACACAAGACAGGACGAGACACACCGAAGTAAACATGCTGTGACTGACGCAATGGCAAACAAGCCGGTGCCACTGGTAGCACCGCCTTAATATCGCCAGCCGTATCGAGGCCATAGAAGCGCGCCATCTGATGTTCACGGGTGTGGGACGGTTGTGCAACGACGAATGTACCGAATCTCTCTTTTTCTTGCATGGTGCCGTGCGACCAGCTCAAGGTTTCAAGGACAAGCAATGGCTACGGTCTTCCAACCGGCTGTGAAACAATGATCCAGGCTCCTGAACTGCGCGATGGCAGATGAGCTGGCCGCTGAGCTTATTCTGGGGTACGAGTGAAGGATTCTCAAGGTGAACGTGGGCATGGCTACTCCGTACAGCAACTCCGATCTTTGAAACCAGACGTAACGGCGGGCGCCGTACCAGCCGGCCAGCCCCGACAATGTGGGCATGGCCTGCCCGCTGATGATCACCCGCATTGTGGGCGGGTGAGATCACCACACATGGCAGGCCGCATGCAGGGTGGGCTGGTGCGACGCGGGCTACAACCATCAACCACCCTTGACAGTTTCTCCTCAGACACAGCAAGGGCACGATAACGGCGCTTTCACAACTTCGATATGTAACCTCTACTGATTCCCGGGTATCCTGGAGCATCAAGACGATTTCTCAACACGGGCGCCCAGCAATGGGTCAAAAGTATCCATCTTTGCCAATGACAAGCCACCCGCATCAACGGTGAGCAATGGCTGCGGGTGTGGGTACACTCCAATAAATAGTGAGTACCCGCCATGGCGACAACTAACAACTCGACTCGTCGTGATCTGTCATGGGAAACCCAAACCGTCAATATGACCGACTGTGTCTCCTTCATCGCCATGCAAACTCGGCACCTGAAGATGAGGGGCCTCATGCCTGGAGGAACGCTCCAGTACCGGCTTATGCAGCGAACGAATCTTCTGCGTTTGCCAAGTCGGCTGCTTGCAGAATCTTGCGGTGCAGTCCCAAGCCGGGCAGGACACGAGCAGAGAGTACCACTCCAGGCAGGATGTACGCATAAAAAAAAAGGGCCTCACTTGAGACCGGCAAAGGTGAGCAATTGGTGTGTTGTTGGTACCAATTGTGACACGGTCGCATACGAGGGACCCTGATGGGATGCCCACCCGCATGATGAAGGCGTGCTCAGTGGCGCTAGCAGGTGCACGAGCGGCGCTCCCGTGGCGTGGGGGTTACCAAGTGGAGGGGAACGCCACAAAAGTCCAGCTTCAAGCGCTCACTTGAGCTGCAGGGAAGGGTGGCACAAGCAACTAGTCGAACCGTCCTTGATTGCAGGTGATTGCCAGCCCAAAATAAAGAGATGGCTGCTGAAATGCTCTTGAATACTTGCTCCAAGGCATAACGCTTGTAACTCCTTGCAGCGAAGGCACCGGCGACACCAGAGTGATGGACAACTTCAAACACATGAAAGTCGCTGTTCAGACCGAGACCGAATATGATGGATGGTGACTGGGGTGACATGCACCACCTGCTCCGAGGAAGTGGTACCAGGGGAGCTTTAAGACAAGAATGGTCGCCATGAAGAACTTGGTGTGATTCAGGTAACTTTGAGGCGAACCGCCTTGCTCAGTGAGCGCGAGCGGAGCTAGCCAGCTTCCCAATCAGACATTCTGGGATTTCCGTGGAGGTGCACCGGACTCATGGCGGAGCTGAACGAGGGGATAACGTCTGTTGATCGTGTGCTGCCAATCGCGGCTTCTGTCCACGTCCACAATGAACCCAGATCATGGGACATCCTCAGCGTTGCGCCAGAAACCTGTCCGAATTGTCGCTCCGTCGCTTGTTGGACACACATACAAACTGATGGCGCTTGCCGGATGACGATGACCGGCTTCATTCATGGTGTTGGTGCAGGAAACCAAGCCCCCAAATGTACCAGAAAGAGGGGTCACTGACAGTATTTCCGGTTTTCCACCGCCGGTCGCGCCGATTATCGGGAACTGGTATTGCCGTTGAACAGAGCAGTGTGGCAGCCGGTTCGTGAGGGAGGCGATGGCCATGGCGCTTCCGTAATGTGTTCCATGAAACTAGAACTGAGTTCGGACCAGCCATGAAGTGCAATCGCCAAAGAGCGCGCCTTGACTCAGGAAAGTGGGAAACTCGCAGGTAGTAACTGCCTGTGCTGTCGAACGCTGCGGTTGGTTCAGGTCCTGAGATGAAAAGGATTGCGGGCGTGCGGCTGGGCATCAGAACACCGGAGGCTTCAACACCTGCCACTTACAGATGTGGCTTTGGAGTTGACAAGGCTGGGGCGAGGTGTGAGGTCTAACAGCAGCGTCTCCTGCAACCAGGACGTTGGGGTCATGTGCAGCAACTAGAACAATGATTGCTGGACCGCCTTTGATTGTTGACAGTATGATACTGCAGCTTGTCGAAAGGTCGATGAAGGAAGAAGCCGAGACATCGACAATGTCTCATCTGGCTCTTTGACCGAACATGGAGACAGCGCATGGCTTGCCAGGTAGCACACCTGGGGTGTTTTTGGAGGGTGCACCTGAAGACATCCAGATAGGCCTTCTGTGTGTCATGGAATGCCAGAGCGTCGAATGCTGATCTTGATCCGATGTTCCACGGTCCTAAGCAGGTTGTGATGGAGCAATGGTGGTGAGCCGAACGAACTTTTACTGGTGTATAGGCGATGCACCACGGCCAGAGCCGGATTCCTAATTGGCAGGCCACGCCGCGCCGACCGAAAGTGAACCGGGTGACGGTCGTTGGCCAAATCCAAGGTGAGGTCTTGTCAGTAGGTTCAACGAGTGAAGTCGACTTGTCTATTGGAACAAGCCCTCTCTGCCTTCGGTGCACAACCCTTAAAAACCTTTTGGTATGGAGCCCCACTTACAGGCAACAGGGCGAAGCCCAGTGTGGGGCCGAGCCGGCAAGCTCCAGCGCCGGGTTCTACACAGTAGGCTTGCGCACCGGAGGCTTGGAAGGCATACACTAGTGTACTGATGCCTGAAGGACATAGTGCATTATAATGGTCGCAATTTGTTCGATTAAATCTGTTCAATTAAAGTATCTAAGTTATGTAGGTTAGTGTTGGCTGTGAAAACTTGTTGCGGCTTGTAGGTGGGCTTCAAACCAGAAGCGGTTTAACGGCTGTGCACCGAAGGCAGGGGGGGCTGTCCCAATAGACAAGTCGGTGAATGTGGGCTAAGCCGATTGAGGCATGGGCATCAGCGCCTATTTCGCGGTGGTGAATGTACTGGATGGCATCGCAGAATTGAGAGAGTGCCCGAATGGTCGATCTGCAGTTGTGTGTTGAAAATTTTCACTCCGCAACAGGACCGGTCCCGGGTGTGGGCGGCAATGGCGAATGGGTTACTGTTAGGGCCGATTTAGGCCGGGCCTTGACCCCGCCGGACCCTGCCGCGTCGCCAGGTAACGGCAGCACAGACTCCGGGCATGGCAGCTTGTGGGCTGCAATCATGAGCCGTCACTTTGGTCGATCTGTGAGCGCCATGCCAAGTCGTTTGCTCGATCACCCACTGGCCACAGCCAATTGCAGATGCTGAGACTGCTGGTCAGCAAACCAGGACGAATGCTGCAACGTCCACGCACCACCTCTATCCGCACCTGTAACGAGAAGGTCCCTGAGACATGTTCGTAGGTGATCAATATCGATCCGTGGACCCAAGCCCTTGGCGGTCTCGGGACTCGAACTTATATTGATCTCAACTCGCTCAAAGAGCTTAACACGGCGAATTTCGTCAGATGTCGACTCTATCGTAGGATTGTCGTTCGAACAGGGAGACGGCGGTCGGCATGGCTCGGCGCTATGTGCATTCTGCCTCTGAATCGACTGCGAAGCCCCAACTGCAGGCGAAAGCGGTTCAATAGCATTTCCGGCCAGCCAAGAACGCCCGTAAAAGCCCGTCGGCTACGCCAGCCATCCCGGCATCTTAGCCAACGGGGTGAAAATGCTGTTTGGATTTCAGCACAGGATTAGGCGTGCTGCAGGTCTGTGCCGTGGGATGCCAATGCAGGACTCCGATGACCACCAGCCCGGAACATTCAGCGGCGGCGTGGAGGCGTCTGCAGTGGCCCAACATGGAATCGCCCCGGCGCCCTTGTTGTTCAGCTTGCGGGGGGAAGTAAGACAGGAGCAATGACACAATACCTTTGTGTCGATAAGTACCCCGTAGATGTCGTGGTCCGGCCCCAAAACAATGATTGATTGAGACAAATCATTGACAAGTACAAGGATGCTGCGATTTTCGTCTCACCAGCCACAATACTCGCAGTTTGCCAGACGTGACAAGAAACGCCTTGGCAGCGGCTGCAGGCGCTCGCAACGGTCAAAGGGAGACTGGGGTGAGCGTCTCGAGTCTTGAGCCTCGAGGCATAGGCGGCTTTTCTGTTCATGCCGGTGGCTCGGAAGAGGAGCATGAATCAGCCTTTGGCGCTCGTAAACTTTGTTTTCGAATCTGGAGCCCGAGCCGACCGGCTCTCTGGTAAGGCTCAAAATTGAGACCAGCTTCCTATTCTTTTGCCGTTTGGCTCTATCCGCCTTTCGAGAAGCGCCGTCGTGGGGACGCTGCCGTCCACAGCATGTCCCCCACTCACCCGTCAATTGGCTATCAAAACTGACCCGTGATAGCGCCAAGCCTTTTCCAATGTCCACGCAGTAACGGCCAGAAGTGCGGCCAGCTCATCAGGCTTATGCCGGGACATTGGCGAGGGAGCAGCGGAAGGAAATGTGGCAGTCTTTGCCCCGTACCAATTTCGATGCCCTCAAACACACATGCAGAGCGAGGCCGGGGTTTCCCGATCGCGCCAACATCAGGAAGTTGGATGAGTAAGATGGAGAATTTGAACGAACGAGGTTCTGTCGGTGGGAGCCACACCCGACCTCTGTTGAAACCGGATATCTGAGCTTAGTAGTCCAGGTACGAGCTCAGGTAACGTTGATCTTGCGCAGCTGCCCTGGTTCGCAAGTCCGGTGAAAGACTCGGAGCCCAAAGGGCAGACCGAGCGCGGGTGAGGAAAGGAGCGTATGTGGGCCGAAGAAAGGCGCCCGGGCCAGGAACACCGGCTTTGGCAGGTTCCATTTGCCAGAAAGGCCGAACAGATGCCCACCAATTCAAAGCGACATTTCCTCCAATGGAGCCTCCACACTCACGTCGCCCGCACCCTTGTTGCCCTCGGTATGCCCACGCCAACACAAGCCATGCTGCGCCTGCACCGGCTTCGCGAGACGGAGCCCTTGTCTCCAAGCCGGGCCCATCGTCCGCTGGATAATCCCATCAGGGAAACCCGGGGGGGGACCCGTTATTCGCCTACCTATCCTACCTACAATACAGCAGGCGAAAACCTGCCACCAACCACTTGGCAGTGTTCCATCATATGCGAAAGGGACAAGAGGGTCGATGTCTTCCAGACTCAACTGTGGTTTGTCAATCCCGACGGCCGCGAGGGCCGGAATTTGTATTGGGTACAGCAGCAGTCATGTAACTATTTAACTCCGCCAAGGATGCCATCCCGATCCGGCACCCGTTTCGTCACTAGAACGCCGAACCTTGGCTGCGTGGGCTGGGGTCTCAACAGTGGGCAGGCTTGACAAGCCCGCGCAGCAAGCCCGCTGTCCCATGCTGGGCGCCGCATTCTGTCGAAGCATCCACATGTGGAAAGAAGCCCACCACGAGCCCACGAGTCTGATGGCACGTCCCACGCCCGGGCCGACATTAAAGGAGGCTACTCCCTCGGTCGCCGGGGCTCCGAGTCTCGCACACACGACCATGCTGCGCGCCCTTTCTGAGTTTGCCCTTCCTGCTGCACATTGATACCTTGCGTTTGCTTCTGCCCTGCACGTCATGCTGCTGGGCTCTAGCTCCAGCTAGCCTCCAGCAAAAATCTCCGGAAGGTGCTCACCCGTCGCTTCTCTCTCGCGGTTCCTGCTCCTGCCCTGTTCGGCCCACTACGCCTGGATTGGCAGGCCGTGTCGTCAGTGCCGTCAGCCGCCTGTCACTTCGTCTTTCCACGCAGAGATTTTTCAAGTTTCGGTTATCGGTTGCCATTTGCACACACTCAACTCGAGGTGTTGCTGGCCCGAGGCTCCCTCATTCTCCCCGTCGTCAAAAGGCCCGGCTCCGCAACGCGATTCTTCCGACAGAACGCAGCCTTCCCGAATCAGGGTCACACCGTTCCCGCTTTGCCCTGAAATCCCCATTCTGCGCTGCCCGCGCCAAAGTTCAGTCACGCCTCCGGACCGTGGGAGTTGCCGTCGACTTATACACATACACAGCGGAGGCACCGGTGGTACCTGCTCCACCGGGCACCCGTCAACGACAAGGTAACTCTCGCGAAGCCGACAACCCCATCTCCACTCAACCCACATTATTTTTTTTTAATTTCCATTCCCTCAGCCTTTGGCCCTTCGGGATTCCCTCAACACCACGCAAACTTGGTTTCGGCTTCGATTTGGAGTCTACGAGCATCCTGCACCGATGTTTTTGGGCGGGCGGTACCCCCAGCAATGACCCTATAGGCGGTGCATTCTGCGACCCTCTTTGTCTCGAGCCCCCCCGTCGCCGCGTGAGAGCATTCCCGAAGCTTTTCCGAATCTTCCCCCTGCCGGCTCTGCAGCGCCGTCAACGGAGCGATCAAGTCGGAACTGGGCTGGACAACCTCCGGCAGTCACAAACCATCATTCTTGCCTTACAGCAGCAGCTAGCCGTGGTTTCGGAAGGCCGGTTGCAATCGCGAACCATCCGCCATGCTCATCGACGGAGAAAAGTGGGCGTGCGAAGCCTGTGTGCGAGGCCACCGCGTAAGCAACTGCCAGCATCACGGTGAGTGATTTTCTCGTCGGTTCCTGCACCGTTCCGCTGCGTTTTCTCTTTGCATACAACCAGAGGCAGTGTGCTGGCGCAACCCTGTTGTTGGCTTTGCCCGGCTGCAGCCGAGGGGTAACGCAAGTTCCTCGCATCAACGGAAGCACACCCAAGCAGCTTAATGGTGGGGGCAGCGCTTTCCAAACCCGCCGCAACTTCATGCTGTTGCTTGGCTTGTCTCCAAAATTTTATCGCGGGGCAGTCGCATTGTACAAGCAAAAGGAGAGAGACAGCTGACACTCGGCGCAGATCGGCCGCTCCAGCACATCAACAAGAAGGGAAGGCCGGTATCGCAATGCCAGCACTGCCGGTCCATGCGCAAGTCGCGCTCGGCGCACGTCAAGTGCGACTGCGGCGAAAAGACCCACAAATGCGTGCACTTGAGACCGACGATCGAGGGTCACAAGGGTGAGCATTGTCCTGTCTAATTGATCAAGGCTATGCTCCTCTGACTCCTGACCTCTGTCCGCAGATAGCTGCTGCTGCAACCATGGCGGCCGCTGCACCTGCTCACACAAGAGGGAACCCACGCTGGACACGGTGCCCGAGTCGGACTCGGAGGACGGGGCCGCCGCCTGCCACTCCAAGAGCTCCAAGTCGAACTCGCGCTCCAGGCGCCGCGCCAACACGACCAGCTCGGACGCCGTCCTGATGTTCGACGCCAACGGTCACCACAAACCGACGTACAAGCACGCCAAGGCCTCGCAGAAATGCGGCCCGTATCAGCTTAATCGCGTCCACTCGATGACCAGCGCGAGCAGCATGCGGAATCGGTCCATGGACGACCTTGTTGGTGCCGGAACAAGCGGCGATTCCGGTTCTACGACGGGAAGTCGCGGCAGTGGCGGTGCCGCCCGATCGCAAAGGAGGGTCAAGTCGGAGGCTGCTTCGCCGCTGCTGGAGGCTTCCTCTTCGTTTGCGGAGCTCAACGGGCAACTGCCGCCCCTGGATCTGTCGGGCATCAAGTACCCTCCGTACATCCCCAACAGTGCCGACTTCTTCGGCTCGTTCTCAGATTACGAACAGCCCATGTTTAGCGCCGGACTGAGCGCCGCCTCAGTTGACTGGAGCAATTACGAAGGGTTGGAGCTTGCGAGCAAGACATCCGATTTCGCACCTTCGAACTTCAGCCAGCCGCAGAGCTACGGCTTCGACTTCACAGGGTCGGAGATCCCGACCCTGACGACGACTACGTCGATGTCCGGTGATGTCTCGGAGGTTGAGGATTTCCTGTCAAACCCGCTCGATGACTATGACACGTTCCAAAGCAGCGTCCCCGTCAGTGGGTATGGATTTGGCATTATCGGCAACACGGATCTCACAAGCCTGGACATGGACGACTTCAATCTCGAGAAGAAGGACGCCAGCAAATTCCTGTCGACACCTGCCTCCATGGCTGGTGATGACCCGACACTGCTTACCACCGGCGCGCACGCCTTCAGCGGCCTCCCATCTCTGGATGACGACCCGGCATTCTGGATGAATGACTACGGCATTCCGAACCTGACCGAGTCGCCCACTGAAAGCAGCATGCCCTCATTCTGGGATGGCCCATGATACGGAGCGACATTGGCAACGATGACGCGGACGGTTTCTCTCAGATACCCCTGCCACCTGCGTTAGCCATGGAACGATGGTGTAAGCAGCGGATACCTCGAATCGGAATGCCACGCCCATGTTCCTTTTGTCCATATCTGGAGTTATATATCTTGTTGCATTTACTGGTTGGCACAAACTGGAGCACGCACGGGGTCGGCGGTTTGCGGAGACGGAGTCTTTTCCTTCTTCGAGGCGGCGCGGGAGGCAGTTGTTTTTTCTCTCTCTGCCACCGTCTTGTTCTTCCCTTTATCGCCACGACAGTCAAACGACATGATGATGATCCGGCTCTTCCTGTCTTACATGATATATCGTTCCTGCATCTACACATCATACAACACCCTTGTTTTGTTGGTGTCCCGCCTTCCTGTTGTATTTGGAGCCGGTCAAGCGCGTTATTGGGGGTCATAAAAAAGAGCAAAAATAAAAGTCTGGGGGTTGGTTGGGCGGCTGGTTGTTGAGACGGTTTCTTCCGTTTCTTCCCCTTCCACGGCGGACTTCCATTGCCGTCGAGGTGTTTGTGTTGGCATTCAGATATATCTATCTGCCTGCCTTGATTTAGGCTCTTTATGTGCTGCACCGGCACTTATTCTACGTTATTATCCCGTTTGGGGAATTGGGATGCTGTTCCAAGGTACACACCATTTTACCGTTTCTCAACCAAAGGTTTTGAAGCCGGTTTCTGGTTAACTTTATATAGACGATGGCTGGCACGCGGAGGGATTTATGAGTTCTGGATTGGACCGGATAAAACCAACATAGCATTGCATACTACTGCCAGCATTGTGAAGGGCGAAGACAAGAATATAGATGGGATTTTGGTTCTTTTGGTTGTGGTTGATGTTGTTGTTCGTGGGCGAGCCTGATCGGCTGCTTTAAGGTTGCTAGGTATTGTACATATCTGCTGGGGAATCCGTGTTTCTGCTCCCTTTTTTGTCATCCTCAGGTCCTTTTTGGCGCTCAGGGGCTTGCAATGAAGCTGATACTTCTGCCGATGTGCTCCTCGAACAGCTGCACCGTCAATGTGTGTGTGTCGTGTCGATTGCAACTTCTAGGTGTGGAGTTTTAAGGGTGTAACTCGGCGTTGTTCTCTCTGCTTTGGGAGTTGAGACGGGGCTGAGAGTGAGGCTCGGGCCGCGGGGGAAGTTGGAATCCTCGAAGATATCGGTGATTTTCAGTTTCGTACCCTTTTCTCTCCTCGCTCCGGGCTCGTCTGCCATGGTTTCTTCGCTCTGGTACTTGACGTGATGTTGGACAATTATCTGAGGTGTTCCTTTGGACTCTGTTGTGCTGCGAGGTCTATGGGTCCGGTGTGGACTGTGCCGGACAGTTGGCTGGCCGGGTTGTTTCACTTCACCGCTGCAGTGCCTGTTGATGAAGGGTGCGTGGGTTGCGGTTCGGTCGACTTTGGACTCGTGTTCCCTGGCGGGGCGCATCTGAAGTTTAGGGGCTGGATGACTGCATGTTAATCCATAAACTGAGCTCATACTGCCTGTTTCCAAATGCAATGACTCAAGACACCGCGGCGTCGGAATGTAAACACTGTAAGAGCCGCCAAGTACCAAAACCCAGATGTTTGAAGTGTTAAGGATAAAAGTTGGCTCGTACGCAGCGCCTACACTCCCTCTCAACGCCAGCCTGATTTTCGCGCGACCCAGAATTACTACACATATACAATACAGCAAAATACCGATACCCAACAATGGTATAACGGCCTGAAAACAGGCGATAACGAAGCCATCCCGCGCGGCGCCCTTGCTCCTCTACACAATCACTCCCTCATTGGCTCCGTCGAACCAGTTGAGGTACCCCTTCCTCAACACATCGAAAACATTCACCCGCGCCTGTGACGACTCACCACCGTGCTGTCCATCCCCCGGCTTAACACCACTCTCAGCCGGAGCCGTCGTGCCATTGATCGCAGGGGCTTGGGGCTGTTCCTTGAATCCCTCCTCAACAATCGCTGCGGGATCAGGGGCATCAGTCGAGCCGTCGACGGTGGTAGCAACATCCGCCAGTTGCTGCAAGTTTTGGCACTTCTGGCCGGCCGAGCCGTCCGCCGTGTTGGGACGGCCCTGGTACTCCGCGAGCTTCTCGCGCATGGCCGCGTTCCAGGGCGAGGGCGAAATGCTGTAAATAAGAACGTCCTTGACCAGCTTGGCAGCCTCGTCGCGTATGTCCTTATGACGGAGCAATTCCAGTAGGCCGAGCGAGGCGAGGGTGGTGAAGTGGTGGGTTAGTGGCGTGAGGAGGTCATGGTTACATGTGAGGATACCGACGATGTTCTTCGTCGCTTGGAGGATGTTGGCGGTGCGTTGGGCCCGATCCTCAGACAGGAGCTCGGACAGAAGCCTGGCGTGCCAGTAGGCTAGGTGAAGCACCGGATCGGCGCTTCCATCGGGAAAAAACCAGCTGAGCATCTGGGTTGCGCCGCTAGCGAATGTCCCAAGCACTGCGGTTCCGTGCGACAAGGGATTCAATGAGGGATTGATAGCGATGGGAACGACATATCCGAGCACGTAGGAAATTCCTGTGAAATGTGTGAGGCAGGCGTAATAGCCAAACGGTACGTCTCACGAGACTTACGGATGAAGGTAAACACCACCTCCCCGACAATATGTTTCAGGCCGGGTTGAACAACAATATTGTCATTGCCGATCAAGGTAGGTGTGGCCGTTCCGACGGCGTTCCACCGGTCCAGCATGACCAGAACCCACCACGCCCGCAGGGCCACGTTGTCGTCCGAATTGGGATCCAGTTCGGAATTGGGATCCGGGTCGATTACCCGAAGGTGAGTCCTCATCGAATAACCAAGACCGACGGCCCGACCCAGGATTTCGGCTTTCGACGGCCCGCCCAACTGACCCTTGGCAAAGGAAATACCTTGGCAGTCCACTGAAATCAGCGCCATGACTAGAGTCTGGAAGCGTACCAGATCGGTAACCGACGACAGCGGCTTCCGCTCCGCCTCCCAATCGCTGAGTAGGCGGCAAGCTGTCACGGGATCGCCGTCCACAGCACTGCTGCTGGAGGCGGGGAGGAACGGCTTGACCAACGACTGAAAGGCGTTGTAAAAGGCGTTTTGGAGGGCCGAAGGCGACTGCCACAACAGCGACAGTACCCTGGCTTTGGTGCTCGCCAAGACGGGGAACGTCGGATGGATGACCTCGAGGTAGCTGGCTGCTGTTAGACGGCTCAAGTCCTGAGTAGCAGACTTGACCACTTACCGGTTGAAGGCCATGTCCTCAATTTCGGGAAGCTGGTCTGGCGGATGCGACGGCCCTTGATGCTGGCCATTTTGGGGAATTCCGTCCATCATGTCAGACTGGCCCTGCGGACCGATATCATTTGACGCGCCAGAGAAATGCGCCGGCATGGCAGGTTTGATGGCAAGGTCGGCCGATACCCCAGAGTCGTGCGGGCGGTTGTCGGGATGCAGGTAAGGCAGAATCGGCCGGTGGTCGGTTGCAAAGGCTGACGCTATCCTATTTGGAGACGGCGTCTGGTAGCCGTCACCCGAAAGACTCGAAAACGGCCTCTTCCTACTGTCGTCGCCGAGTCCTGGAGAGGCGAACACCTCACCTGATGCCCTTCTCTCCAAGCCTTCCACGCTGGTGTTAAGCTTGCCCTCTATCGTGTTAATTCTGTCGGCGAGCTCTTTGATGTAACTGCAGAAGTCAGGAGCCCCGTCGTTATGAAGTGAGTAGATTCGAGAATGAAGAGTCCGGCGAGACATACCCTTTGCTGGGCCCACGCTTCTGCGGCACGCGGCTGAATAGGCACTGTGCATTGGCCCGGCGGCAGTTGGAACACGGCTGCTCAGTGGCCTCGGACTGCGCGTCACACTTGATCTTTTTGCGCCGGCACTCATCGCAAGCACGCGACACCTTGGACCGTTTGCGCGGTGGCGTGTTGTCGGGCATCTGGTACGACGGGTGGGTCTGAGGCAGATGCTCCATCGGCATGTGGTGAGGGAGGTGTGGCGCTGGGTGTGGGTTCTGCACAAAGTGTTGTTGTTGAGCGTGTTCGTGCGGTAGGGCAGCCCGGAGGTCGTGGCCCTCGAGTTGGTGATTGTGAGTCTGGAGTTCATGTTGGTGAGACTGCATTTCGCGCTCGTGGTTCTGCAATGACGCCTCGAGCTGCTCTTGCAAATCGGGCTCGGCCTGGCCCTGCATCTGCTCCGCCTGCCCTGCTTGCTGAGGAATCGGCTGCCCCTCCTGGATGTGATCCTGGACGTTGGCGGCCATTACCTGGGTCAATTGGGCGGCAATCTGGAGGTCATCTACGCTGTCCGGTGAACGGGAACTGTGCTGTTGTGGAACCGCTGGCTCCTGCAGTCCTTGGAGTTGGTGCAGTTCATGGTGTTCAAGCTGGTCTTGATGCTCTTGATGCTCTTGATGCTCTTGATGCTCTTGATGCTCTTGATGCTCTTGATGCTCTTGATGCTCTTGATGCTC